AAAAAAAAAAAAAGTTGATTTTTAGTTGTGGCTGCTAGGCTCTGAGCTGGTCTTTCATTCCCTGTGCTGTAACAGAGTGATAATTTTTTCTACATGCTGCTGGAAAGAGCAGCCGGAAAAGAGCCTAAAATGGAGTGTTCAGGACCCAAGAGAGGGAATGCAGCCAGAGAAAATTACCTGTGAGAATGGCAGGAGATGTGACTTACATTAACTGACAACTGTAAATGTGATTTACATTAACTTGATGACCTAAGCATCTGTGTTTATGAGCATGATCAGTGTGTTTTGAGCTGATTGCTAAAGCTGTAGGAACTTTTGGTATGAGACCAGCCACTGCAGTATGTGTGGTACTTTGGGGGGGGGGAGGGGGAAGCCATTACTTTTTCTGCTGCTTTGGCTAGGAATTACAGAAGTTTTTGTAAATGTAAGTTGGGAGTGAACCCAAATGTATTTTATTTTGTTCAAGTTTGTTTGAAATTCTAGCTGAGTTTTTAAATATCACTTGTGGTGGTACCTACATTAAATGGGATGCTGAGCTGTGTTTGGTGTAAGTCTAGTGGAAAAGAAGGAAAAGGTGGAATGAAGCAACCTGCAAGTAGCAGTGTGTGGGTATTCAGAATGCATGAAGAGCAGCTCTCTGGTGTCTCAAGGTGGGAGGCTACAGTAGCTAATGAATCCAAACTCAAGTTGTTATATCCAGATTAAATTAGACCTTAGTAAATGTTGTTGGCTTTTTGTTGTTATTGTGAATGGATTCTTTCTTTTTGGACTGAAAACTTGAAACCAATAAGTGTGTGATCAGTAATTAGATTTGATTGCCACTGTTTCAAACTGATTTCAAATATCAGTAGGGAACCACATGCTTAAATGAATTAGAGCTTTGAGATTCTTGATGGGAGGGAGGTGAGAAATAGTTTAAAAAAAAAAAAAAATCTGGCTTTACCCATGTTCTCTGTGATCTGTGAGATCTGACACTCAGTGAATAGTTTTTACAGTTTATACCCAATCCCCTGAGAAAATCCATTCCTCCTGTGCTAAGTTAAAGGATGAATGAGATTAATGAACTTCGTCATTCTGGGGAAAAAAAAAAAAAATGTAGTTGATTAAATCACCTTGTCTTCCAACACAGGAATTAATAGCCCTGAAAACAAAAATACTGTTCGATATATTACAGCACGGATACTGAACAAAACAATATTAAACAATTTTTCTGTCTCCAGCTGTCAGAACCCTCTGGTTAATTTCCAAGTGATTTTTATTTTTCTTGCAGATTTTGACATCTTACAATAGGTTACTATTTTCCCTCAGCTAAAATACCAATTTTTGCTACTCAACTGACTTTTCAGCAACTAAAAACTTGTTTTTGCCTTTAGAAATAGAATGTGTCTCAGGGAAACTTGCATATATTTGAATTAATGCTGCCTATTGCTATCAGCATTCCACATGCATGCATATTCATTCATAACATAAAAAATCCTTAGCAAAATCTTGATGCTACTTGAAAATGAAGGGCAGTTCTCTTCAATTTGGAGACTATTTTGGATTACATAGTTTGAACCTGTACTACTCAGTAACTAGTTTTAAGTGGTGAAATCTAATGAAACGTCAGATCATTTCAAGATGAAAGTTGCTTGGCCTTTGGTTACTGCCCTGTTTAGACAAGCATCTCATTTGGTTGAAAGAAGCCTACAGGAATGGGTCACCCAATGACCCCTCTAGCATCTGTATCTGTGCCCCTTTGAGTGCCTCCTTCTCTCAATTAATGAGCAGTACAGGATCTTTAGCAGGAGGAAGGCTGGTGGTGTACAGAACAGTGCTTCTTGGAGAACTACAGTACTAAGAAGTTCTTTGCTATTGACTTATATTTTTTCCATCACGGTAATCCTCCAGCTTCCACTTGGAGCAGCAGTTGGCATCTCTTTAACCAGGACGTTCCCTCCCCTTGGAGTCACAGTCTTGTCTGGAGCCTGAGCTCTGAGTGAAGGATTCACAGATAGAAAAGGAGACCCTGAACTCCTAGGAGGAGGCGATAAGAAGGCAGATTTCAGATATGGAGTTTGACAAGTGGAGCACAGCCCCAGGTGCCTGAATGTCACTGTTCTTTGCTGTTACAAAGTCCATTGGCAGTGTGGCTTTTCTTCCCTTTCTTCATCTTGTGTTGTCCACAAAAGGTGATTATCCATCTTCTCTGTAGAGCTTAGTCTCATTGCAGAGAGAAGACAAACCTATTTTGGTGAACTTGGGTGTTTCCCTAAACAAGATAGCTTGTCTTTGCAGCGTTAGTTAAAATTCAGACATAAAACTGGGGACAAGTGTATGTGGAGAAACACACAGCTGAACCATTATCATGGGATCTGATACCTCAAAGAGTCGTCTGTTTTTGCTGTGCTCCTGCTGGGGAACTCGAGTTGCACATACCTCACTTTGTAGAAACCTGGGGTGTGAGTTGGATAGTGCTAAGCATTCGTAACTTCTTCTGAAGACAAGTAAAAGCTGTACTTCAAGGTAACCAGTACTATACAATGTGACATCTCAGAGTTTCCAAATTTCAAAGAAAACATTTAACTTAGGCTCACTGTATATTTGTAAAATGGCAGTAAGGAAACCTACAGGGAGTTGGAAAGGTGCGTGAGTCATTGTGAAACTGTGACTGCAATAGAAAGCACTGGTGTCACGTCATTGTGGGAGTTAACAGTTTTGTTCTCAGAGCTGGGTATGAACAGCATGTGAAGGGAACAGAACTACATGTTGAACAGTGATGGGAGAAAAAGCATTGTGTGCTTGCTGCACTTTCAACAGCGAAGGTTTTGAATCATAACAGAGCAGGTAGAGCAGTTTGTGTGGAATAAGAAGCTTGTCTGAAAGTAACTAAAAATACTGTGGTGTTCCACGTATACTCAAAGGTGAGCCTAAAGCTGTGGACATCTTCGCTGTGTCATTTCCTGACTTTTGAGTGCCTGACCTTTCCATTCTAGTAGGTTTCTACACTGTGCTTTTATATGTTACGCATGAGGGAGGCTCTGGTTTCACAAGGCACACAGTGTGGATGCTTGTATTTTCCAGCCTATTGTTTGATGATGAGAGGATGACAGAGGATGCCTGTAAGTGTCCTCCTCTCTAATTTTTGTTTCAGCTCTTTCTATGGCTGCTTATTACTGAAGATGTACATTTTTGGACTAAGCACATCTTCTCTGTGTTCTACCTGGAAATGATTGTTCCTCTGCTTATTGTAATAGACACAAAGGAAAGCCTGGTGGTGACCTAGAGACTATTTGCTGTATTGTTGTATGGCTATAAACTTGGAGTATCATTGAGAAAAAGTCTGGGAAAGAATCTATAGTAGAACAATATGTTTGAGAGCAGTTCAGAACCAAGCAAGAAGTGAGCTAGCTTCAGTTTTATAGTTTAATGCCTATTGGCAGGGGTTATTCTTATTTTGAATAGCAAAAAAAAAGTTTAAGTGTGTAGTTTCTAGTTTAAAAAATTAGAAAATCTTGGTGAGGGGATTGTGGTACAGAGCACAGCACTACTCCTGTGATGTGTTTCTTGTAAAGAAAGATTATTAATGATGTGCTGTGACCAGGAAAAAAAAAAAAGTAGAGAAAGTTCATGGTAATGGCAGCTGGATAAAGGAACATTGTTTTGACTGCACTGAAATTACATGATGTATCTTTGGAAGTACACTACTATGGTAAGAATATTCACAGGTTGTGGACCAACTACTTGAAGTTGAAATGTAGAAGAAAGAGGATGCTTTTTCCTGTTCTGAATCACTTCTTTGGAAAGCCTCCCCTTTACTCTCTTATAGTTCAGAGTGTTCTGATGGAGCATCAAAGACCAAACAAAAACACTTATTTGACTTCTTAAGAGAATCTTCCTCTTAGATGAATGAGCCTTTCCAATGAACTTTGAACCAGATTGACTGGTCTTATTTTTCTTCTTTTCCAGTATTTCTATAACCTAAAATTCTAACAAGAGCAGGCATGAAAAAATAATTAAAAAAAAAAAAAACAAACCACTAAAGAAAGTCAGTGCAACTTCACCTCTTTTCACTTAAAAATCAGATTCTTGGGTAATGCACTTATATTAGGCCATGCAGTTTAAGCCTCTTGCTACTGTTTTTAAGTTTAAATGTTATTGCAAAGATCCATTGTGAACTGAAATGTCTGAAGGTAGGCTGTTGCAGGCTGCACACTGGGTGTTCCCCCAGCAGCTCCTGTATGTGGGCAAATCTGCTTTTCCTGGTGGTGGGCCAAAGGCCTTTGATAGAAACAGCTGGAGCTGTGGAGAAATTTCATGTGTAATTGACAAATGGCCACATGGGAATAGGCATCCTGCTGATCAAGAGCAGTGGTCCATCGAAGGAAATGTGGGGACAGAAGCTGAGAGGAAGAACTCTTCATTTTGTCACTAAGGATGGTCACTCAGAAATAAAGGATGCTGCTTTTGTCATTATGATGACTAAAAAAGGGCATGCTTATCCAAAGCATCTTTTCCTCATCAGAGCAGTGGGATAACTCGGGTCATGCTGCCCTTAAATAGCTTTGAGCCGTAACTAGAATCACTTTTTTAAGTATCCTATTGGTCTAATTGGGTTTGTAACCTCTTACAGATGCTGCATTTTTCCTTTAGATGCTATTTTAAGAAAATGAAGTTGCTAATGCACGCCTCTTTTAATAAGCATGGAAAGATTTCAAAAAGGTCAGCATATGAAACTGACATTTCTTGATATTAAGCTGGCATTCAGGTGCCATTTTTAGGCAGTTAATAAGTAGGAATTGTTATATAAAGAACAAAAAAAAAAAGCCAAATCAATATTCATTCATATGACCAGTACAGTTTGTGCATTTAATAATTGCCCCCACAAGGCAGAAAAGCATATGGTGTCACACAGGTGAAGAACCCAGAAGGAGGCTGGGCTGGCTCTGTCCTATCTGTTCCTTGAGGTAGGCACATGGCTCCACAGGATTACTGTGTCTGTCCAGCAAGGACTAAAATGTAAAGGCTTAAATGGAAGGCTTTACAGCAAAGCAGCTCTTACTGTAGCATGTAAAAACAATATTAAAACAATATTAAAACCAGAACAAGGATTATTACAGGAATCATTACAGGAGGGTGAGGAACTAATTGAACGGAAAAGAGAAATAGATTTGGTTGAAAAAGAATCACTAATGATGTTTTGGAAAGACACCTTATTTAATATTGTCATTAATGTACCACACACACTAAAAGTATTTGTAACTGGTACAAAGTTTGCAGCAGTATGAAAAATAGGACTAGAATGCTACATAGGAAGAATTTAGTAACATTAAATCTGGAGTAACGGAAATGAAAAGGAAAGAAGTGTGAAGTCATATCTTGGAGAAGTCTTACTTTCAAGAAAGCAATGTGGTCCTCTGCCAAATCAAACAAGATAAAAGCTGGTAACAGCTTCTACTTCCCAGTTGCGAGGAGTAATAAAGCAACATCAATAGAACTGCCACTGGTACTGCCTTGAAAAACTGCTGACTAACAGAGCAGAAGGTTAATTTCCACTGTTGAAGTTTTATCAGTACTAATGCACGCAATTTCTGCAGCTTCCCTAGGACTATGATGTATTGACCCATGGTTGGAAGATGTAAGGACATGTCTATGCTGAACAACTTAACCTTGTGAAGAAAATTCCAATGATTGCTGGCTAAATTAAAGCTACAATTACATAGCTGCTTGAAGCCTAGGGCTGTGAGCAAGGTTATGCTCAGCCAGGTGGCTGCACAGAGCCCAGGACTAAGAGCTCTTGTTATTGGAAGTAGATTAGGAAAAACACATCTAGTTACCATGGCTTAAGGGAACTGCTGGCTGCTGGGAAAAAGGAAAGGCTACTCCTGACAGCTGTCCTTGGGCAGCTGATTGTTGAGATAAAAGTACCAAGACACGCTGTTCTAGCTGGAATGGCCAGCTGTAGCTATTGCTGCTCTCAGTACAGCCATGGTAGGAAACTGTAAGTGGTCTCTGTTCACAATAGAAGCAAATCGGGGAATAATAGAAGTTAACTCATGCAGCTTGTCATTTTGCATCACAGTCCTTATGATATTTTTTTGCTAAGTGCTTATTCAAAATATCTTCAAAATTAGTCTCCGGTTTTCTTTTCTAAGCCAGAAGACCTCAAAGCACTTAATAGCAGCACATGCAAATATGAATGCAAAGTGAATTGTAGCTATCATGCAAAATGAATTGTAGCTATCATTAGATTAAACATCAGGTGCAAAACAGATTTATTTTCCTTTTCCTTGGCAAGCTTCAAAGGTTGTGCAGTTGGATCCATACTTGAAGACTTTTTTTTTTTAATTTTGCTAAGGAGTGAGCTTGAGATTTGCTCCTGTGTTTTCTTCAGCTCATAATTTGAAGCTGTGATAGCAGGAAGACTGCTGGGCATTGTTTGCTCTGTTTTCTGGCTGGGAAACAAACTTTGTTGTCAAAAATGAGACCAAACCCCTAACAAATACAGCAGACTAATATGGTTAAGATTAATGAACTCATCTAAAGGAGCACTTCTTCACTAAATATTTAAACTGGTATATATGTATGAAGGAGAGAGTTATAAGCATGCTATTTACAGGTACAACTTTTGACTAGAAAACTTATTTTTCAGGTAGTTGTACATTAACATTGACTGCCAAGGCAAATTGCTTGAAGAATATCTTAGAATGGTGCTATCTTGGTTGTATTTCAAACAATTTTACTAATTAAAGTCATCTTCTTGGAAAACTGAACCTATCTCAGTGGGTCTGAGAACTATGGGAAGTTCTATGACATCCAGTTTTGATAGTATAGACAGCCAAATAAACTCTTCTCAATATCAGTCACCCCACAGCAATAAGCAAAGATCAGTCCCTCTGCCCCAGCAGTACTGCAAAGGCACTTTCAATCAGTAAGGTAAAACACATCTGATTTACAGGTTTCAAAAAATTAATGAAGCTTAAGAAATATACACTTTATTTATATCTTGAAAACAAGAAAAGTGTAAGGATGTAACAACTTGACAAAACTTTATTCAGTGCTCTCATTGCAAATTAAATCTGACTAAACTGTTGGAATATTTATGAAGACTCAAGGAGAAAGCACATGACAGATTTTGTCACAAGGAATTCAGAGATCAGTGCTTGTGTTGCAGAAAGCCAGTGGTTTTTCACCCATGAGAGGAGCTATAACAGAGCTGGATTGGATCCCGAGATCTATAGACCAGCAGCACTGCTACCACAGAACTATTTCATCCCCTTGGAGCATCAGCCACCAAGAAGACAAAGGTTCACCTTTAAGATTTCTTACCCTTCCTGGCAATATCACCTCCAAGTTCTTTAGAATAATTTCTGCTGTTGGCAGTTATCTGTATTTCAGGATCTATTACTGAGTCTGTAACAGGTAGTCCATCAAGAAGAAAAAGATACAACTCAAAAAGCAGTGTTATAGACTGAGAATAAAAAGGCAGTAACTCTTCTAATATGAGCAAATAGTGAAAGACTGAAAAGCAAAAGGAAAATCCACGGTGATTTACATATTCATTAACTAATTTGTATAATGAGAAGATTTAAAAGGTCATTACAGGAACACCTGCATGTTAGCAGATGTAGAAGAACGAAGGCCAAAGGACACCCAGTTTTTATAAAGATGTTGATAGATAAACAGTTGGCAGACCTACAGCTACCTGCTGTGGCAGCATGTCTTTCTGGCTCAGGCTACTGTTGTGGAGAAAGTAAATCTGGAATTCACCTCTCCATAAGCTGACTTTCCTGTTGCAAAGTCTGACAGTTTATTAAGGATGTGATTATTTTTAAGTATCAACATTCCAGTTAAATCAGCTTCTACATAGAAGATTGACTACAAAGATGTCTGGTTAGAGAGATGGGGGAAGAGCACTGTGCTCAGATCCTAATCAAGAATTAAGTCTGACTTCATTTAGGTAAATTTGCTAATTTCAGTGTCAGTGCCACTCAGTAGCACCAGGGATGTCAATGAGCCATTTGTACAGGCACTAAACGGGAAGCATCCTGTCCCCCTTTGTAAACAACCATTAGATATCCAAGTCTAAGACAGTCACTGCCATCTTTTCAGTCCCTGCTTGAATCAGTTTCTGGGGCTGCCTAGTAGGCTTACTTCTAAAACAGGCAAAAACATTGCATTGTGAACTTAGACATCTGATTTATATATGCCTCAGTTAAGGCAAAATAACATTCTGCAGTCAACACTATTACTAGTTTCGAGAGAGCATCTGTTCACATTGAAAAGCAAAGCAAGTGGCTTACACGTCTGCATCGCCTGTGGCATTAATTTGTAAAAAGAGCCAAATACAAAGCAATTAAACTTATTTAACTTGAGAGATAATTCAGTCCAATCCCCAGCTCAGGCAGGAGTAACTTCAAAATTACATCACAATGGCCAATCGAGTTCTTGTCATCTCTAAGGATGGATCTTGCACTGTCTTTCTGGTGCCCCTTTTCCATTTTGTTTCACTTTGATCAGGAAAATACTTTCATGTGTCCAGTTTCTCTTGCTGCAGCTTCTGTCCGCTGCCTTGTGTCTTCTTGATTTGTACTTTTGAGAAAAGTCTTTTCATAATCCTCATCACGTAGGTGAAGACAGCAATGAAATTGCTCTTCTGCTGTGGTATGGGATTTGTCCATTGCAGGTAGAGAACTTTGCGTGTGTCAGGGCTGAACTCTACAAGATTTGATGTTTTCCATGTCCATTGGTCAGGTTGCTACTGAGCTGGACAACATTACCCCTCAACTGTTTCAACCACTGCTCCCAAGGTGCTGGCACCTGGCAATTTGCATTTCATTCCCTGCTAAAGACTTTCAATGAAAACATTGAACAGCATTGGGAACAACGGTGTGTGCCTTGAGGAATGCCATCAGTAGGACTTCACAGCACCATTATTGTTAAACCCTGAGTGGCCAGGCAGTCCTCCACTCTACATGTAGCTCATCCAGCACAGTCCCTCTCTCTCCAACTTGGCCACAAATATATACTGTAAGTCTCTGTTAACAGTCTTTCTAAGGACAGGAAAGTTGACATCTTCTGCTCTTATTTCATCCACAAAAAGGAAGGAAACGTGATTGGCCAAGAAGAATTTGCTTTTTGTGCATTCATGATGGCAGTATCCAAACACTTTGTTGTACTTCACGTGCTTTGACATGAACATTCTCTGAGAATTTCCCAGGGTCTGAGGTTGCGTGCTGTCTCAGTCCCAAAGTATGAGATACTATCTTGTTCTTATCAGACAAATGATAATTGTGATTTTTACCCTCCCCCTCCCCATAATTTTATACAAAACCACCTTCTTAAAGGTCTTTGGCAATCTTTAATACCACATGTTTTCTATATACACTTAAATACTTTTTGCCTGCTTTAACTGTACAGAATAGCAGAAAATAAATCTTAGCTATTAATAAATTTACAATATGATATTTTCCTTTAAACAATATATCTCCTTTCAGATTTTATGACAACAGCTTCCACATGGTCAAGGATTCAGGAGTTCATCCAAAATTTTCTGAGATGATTCATACATTATTCTGAAACAGCGTAAAACAAAGCATAACACAGTTAGACAGCTGAAATCAGTCCTCAGTTACTTGATTGCAAGAGCACAGCTAGTTCTTTTTACCCTATTTCTTTGACAACTTATTCCATTAAAAAAATTAAATATCCCTTTACAAAACCACTTTTGAAACAGCTGCTTTTCTTCAACTTGTCCATTTTCCTGCTGACCATCTCTAGCTATAATTTACAACTAATTGGTTTAATTTACAAAGCCAATTCAAGCATTCTCAATATCTCAATATACAGATTGAGAAGCATCAACTCTCACAGCATTTTTACTCTTTTTTAAACAGAAATAGTCAAATTTCAACTCAACTGCTACTTCACTCTAAAACCACTTTTCATTTTTCCTTTCTCCCTCATTCTTTTCTCTTTGTAATTTTTCTCCTCATTTTTTTCCTCCAGCCTGAGCAGTCTGTCTTTTCCTTATATGCACCCATGTTAGTCACTTTCATTCTCTTGTTTCACATTACTCCTAAACAGCCTCAAAAGTCAGCTATGGAACTTCCATTTGGAAGGTCCTCTTTATTTTCTTACATTCCCTGAAGTTGTCACTCACAGGGGTGCCTTTGTAGCTGCATTCTGACATAACTTCTAGTAATGCTTCACGATACCCTACAAAGACAGAAGGACTTTGCTCTTCTACCAAAACATTATTTCATGGTCTCAGTGTTAACCACTATAAACTTTATTCTTCATGCTACTTTATTATTACTGTTGTTACAGACTTACACTCGAGAAGCAAGATTTAGTCAGATATTTACGAGGGCACTCATTAAGCAACACCAAGACCAGACATACCACAGACAAAGCAGCATATTGCTTGTCAGATCATCCCAAATTCCTACGGCCCTGGTGGTGTCACATATTTCTCCTTTAAAAGGAGAAAACATCGCCTTTGATGTTAGGAAATGCTGCATTTCTGATACGTAGCAGACAACTCTTACAAAAAATTTATGTTACAAAACAATGCAAGAATCATTATTCATAGGTGCAGTGAGAGCACAAAAAGGAAACTGGGAAGCTAGCTAAGTGATTATACTAAAGAAAAATTTCATTCTTCGTTTGCTCAGTTTAAATCCTAGCACCCAGATACTGAGATGCTAATTAAAGTAATTACAGAATACCAAGAAAAAAGGTACTATTTCAAAGTACATTTGTTTCAAAGAGCATGGAACGCTTTTCTCTAGTCTCCAAATCACTGCATTGGCAGCTTTATTAGCTTTTTTTTTTTTTTGCTTGAAATAAATACCTGCATTTTATAAACTAAATTAATGTGTGTGCTATTACTCTTGAGGAAATTCTCTCAATATACAGTATGCTGTCCAGAATTTTAAAGTGCACTGAACAGCAATATTAGACCCACAGGGCCTTCTTAAACTGCTAGCTCAGCTGAGGAGGGAAGACTAATTTATAATGAAAAGTTTTGCTTCTAAATTAGTGTAACAATTCCTTGCTTAACGACAGCACCTTAAGTACTCCACCAGACAGGTTTTCACCTATTTCTTTTTTCATTAATATGTAATAGATTGCTTCTAAGTTTAAGATGTTGGTGCAGAATGTCAGGTCTCTTGGGAAATTAAAGCATCTCACCATTTCCTATTATACCTGGGCATTAAATAAAGCAATCCACCAAAGTTACTACGACAGAAGAAAGTGGTAATATTATGAATACTATGAACTGTTAGTTAAAACACAGCAACAAGTTTTAGCATCAGTGCAACACCACGTGTTTGTAGCATCGGGCACAAAGTAACCATCAAACATCTAACTTGCAGCATTCCATAATTCGTATTTTTGGGTTTAGTAAGCAAAGTGGGAAAACACAATCCTAACAAGTTTACAAAGAACAGTGCACGTTTCAGACTGCATAACGCCACTGTAATTATACATGAGCACAGTGTGATAGAGCACTAAAAATGGCTTGTAGGCAACACTACAGGCCCAGCCTGTTCAGATATAAAGCCTATCTAAGAGCACAAACACTATAAATTAATCCTAGAAAACCTTATCATTGAAGAACTTTCTCCTGACCTTTTCCCAACATGAATTTGTTTACTTTCTGCAGATAGGGGTAAAAAAAAAAAAAAAAAAGAACCACCAACCCAACATATTTGTGGGTGTTCTTACTGTACAGTTCTAATTCTCACAAATTCAAAAGCTGGATCAGAGCTTTGCACAATTTTTTGATATCATAGTGTAATTCACATTCTTGTTATGAACACTTCCCATCATCATGTTTGTATTCATAAGCTCACGATTTTATCTGCAACTGGCTTTTTATGGTAAGGCAGCCATTCATACATCACAAAACTAAGCACTGTGTAGTATCTTATGCTCTCTGCCTGCCCCAACTTCCAGGCTGGGGCAGAGAGGTTCACATGCATTCATAAAGCAATTATCTGTTCTTACTGAAATTTATAGTCGGTAGTGCACTCAAGTGGCAGCAATTATTCATTCTCATGTGCCTATTTATTTAATCATGGTAAGATATGCTTTAAATTCTCACCCTTTTCTTGATTAAAAGAATTGCAGAGTGAATCACAATACTTTGCTTCTAGCCTTTCCTTTCCAGTATATAATCATCATTTTAAAAAACATTTTGGTATAACACTTGGTAACCCAGCATTATATAACTTAACAGAAAAACAATTGTTAAGTTTTGCTTGATTTTGTTTGTAAGGTATGTCTCAACCAAAAGAACTTTGTTCTCATTTCAACAACTAGCTAAAACAAGATCCCAAGCAGCAGTCACTACTGTGAAGTCTTGTGAATACTGCAATATATGGGATTAAGTCATAACACATTTAAATTAAATGCTCCCCCCCCGCCAAAAAAAAAAAACGAAACTAAAACTAAAATATGTGAAGATTGCAATCACAGCAAAATGCGTGGATAGGAAATTTGATACTGTGCTGAACTCAGTGTCTCACAAGGTTTTTACCCCCTATTTTAAAACGTGTGATCATTCAGAATGCTTCAGCTGTATTACAGAGCACAACAGAAAGGGTATAGGAGAGGTTAGTGTCATTCCCCCCTTAGCAAATTTACCTTTCAGTACTGCTAAATTCTTCTGTGGCAGCTTCCTTGTAGGTCATAAGCTTTCTCTGAATGACAGGTGCAACATCTTTTAGAAGTGATGTTTTGTGCTTACCTATTTGAAATAGGATTATGTTAAAATGTTGGACTAAAATACTGCTTAACCAAAATAAAAGAAAGCAAACCCAAAAACCTTTTGCACATTTTCATAGTGTCTTTTAAAAAGACAAAAAGCACTCCACAAGACTACTTAAAAAGATTAGATATGACTAGGTTTTCACTGCCCTAGATTAATGACTATGTGTTTCAGCCAAGCAAATATAGAGATGGACCCCATGAGTTAGCAGTCATATTTTCTGACTCGCTATAGAACTTGTTAAGTCCAAAGCTTAACACCATCATGTACAAGTGATATGCCTTCGTACCTGAATTGTTTTATTAAATTATACGAGCAATAAATAAATTAAAAAGTATATAGTACTATATTTTTTTAATACACACACACATATGTAGTACAGAATTGGTTTGACTGACCTTTAATTACAATCACAGTGCAGACCACAGATGTAAGACTAAAAATCCCTTCAATTTCTTCAGATAGAATGCATTCCAGTAATTCATTTAAAAATGACCTAAGGAAAAAATAACATAGATATACTTTCTAAATCATGTTTATTTCAAAATAGAACAGAACAAGCTTGTGATTACACTATGTTGCCAACACAGCTTAGAAGATACCATGTAGGGCAAAGGTGTGCTTATGGGGTGACGGAGAACAGCAGGCTTCTTATGGGACTGTGAGCGTGTTTGAGTTCATATATTGCTGGGGAAGAAAGTAAAAGGTTTCCCATAGAATAAGTAGCTTTTCTGAGAAATTAGAGCTTGTGGAGTATTTTGGGAAGAACAGTCTGAAAAAAATACTGTAACCAGTGGAATGTAATTAGTACGATTTATGGTGAACTTTCTAAAATCAATTTACAGTGAAGTTTAAAATACATTATATGACTCCAGTGGATTGCCAGTAACAACTCAGGTCCTTAAATCTAACACTGCTTGTAGCTCAATTACAACCTAGAGTTTAATTAACATTTTATTCTAAAATGTGTATGTCATAAAAATTAAATTGGAAGTGTTTCCAATTAAAAAAAAAATTAAAAAAAAAAAAAAGAGTGAAGAACTCTTCTCTCAAAATATAGAACTTGAAAAAGGTTTTGAATTTTATATAGCCATTCTTTCTTATGAATGAAAAGAGGAAAGAAGTCTGGTCAAAGACCTCAGTTAGATGAACAGCCTTGTAAACAAGCACTGTTGGACGTTTAAAAAAAAAAAGAAAGAAAAAACCCACCAGTCAGCATCTCTCAGATTACAATCATGCAGGTGAATTTAATAAGAAATTTCAGTTTCTCATAATTTATTTGAATTCGGAAATTAAAACATTATTGAATATACATAAGCTGTTCTATGTTATTAACAACCTTGGACAACTTAATGAAGAAACATTTACCTGACCACATTAACAGACTTCATAATTATTGCCATTAAGCTGCTTGAAAGAGGCGGAAGGTCTGAAACTGTCCTTGGTATCGTGAAAGCTTCTTCACCGGAAGCCTAGAGAAGAAACAGTCAATAACTTCACACACATGCAGAAAACATCCAGGCAAACCTATACTGCAGTAATTACATTAAGCAATTTATTCTTAAATAATTCAAGGCAACATTCCCATGCATTGTTTGAACACCTTAAATCAATTGTGCAGTGCCCTAAATAACAAAAAATGAAATTTGAAAGGCTAAAACTGAACGACGTAAACAGCATTGTGGGAAACAGTCTCCACAGTTTGCCTGAGTACAAGCTTATGACTGGTCACTATAAACACAGCATACTGAACAGAAATAAATATCCTTTGTGTCTTCATGTTTAAGTATATACCACAATTTCTTAAACTTAGATAACAGTGATTCCTTAGGCTAAGTCTTTTTGAATCAAATTCTGAATAGTATGGCAAGTATTTAGTTAGAACACAAGTTCTGATTTACTGGAACAAAAGCTGCACATATCTGTACAGCAAAATACAGAATTCATTCCCTTTTTTCAATTGGAAGGCACACATCAAGCCACCTCCTGGAAAGCAAGGCTGAAAAGAGGCTCTTTCTGACAGAGACCATAATGGTTGCTTAGAAAGACAAGTGCCATAACCACAAATGACCCTTCTTCCTCCTGCTTCCCATGAACTGTGCTGAGCACATAATCGGTCTGAAGCGTGCCTGCCTGTGGTCAGTCAGTGTCAGTATCTTGGCTGAGGGAGTCCTGACACTGTGCAAACACTGCTTACCAACAGCCAAAACTTGCTGGTGTACCACCAATACTGTTTTAAACTCAAGTGCAAACCACAGCAGCGTACAGGCTGCTATGAACGAAGTTAACTCCTCCAGAGCCAGACTCAGTACAAATACACAGACAAAGAAGTTCTCAAAAAAGACCTTGTTGTTTACCCCCAACACTGTCTGACTTCTAAAATTTTCTGCAAGAATCAGATACTGAACCAAGTTTCAGGACAGGCATCATACATGTGTTTGTAAACCCGAGAGATGCATTGTAGGATCAAATTATGGCAAATAAAACATCCTATTTGTTCCATGCCATAACACACAAAATCTTCATCTGCAGTAGGAAAAACACATTTTCTGAATGCAGCTTTCTACTTCCAGTATAACCTTTAAAAAGCAATCAGCATTAACTTTACCTCCTGTAGTGTATACTTTATCTCTGCCAGTATTGCAGCTAGGAGAGTGGAGAACACACTCTGGTGAACTGCAGGGCAAAGTGAATGCCAGCATTGGACTGCGTGTAAGAAATCTCCGAGAGGTGTTTGAACAGACTGAATCAACTGAAAGCAAAGACAAACAGATCAGCTGCTTGAGATTGCATGAAAATGATTAAAATATTTCAGCAAACTGCTGTCTGCAGAGAAGTGCAGGTGACACCCTGAAAGTCACTGTGGTATTCTGCTCACTTGGGATCAGGAGGGAAAGCAGTAACAAAGATCAGAAGTCTACTCACAGGTTTCAGAAAAAAAGCAAACAAAACAATGATTGAACAAAAAAAACAAAACAAAACACCCATATTTCAAAAGCTCTAATAAGCAGATCATGTTTTCCACTGTGATCTGTCTATCTTACTATTATCTTCTTTGCTATAAAACTCAAGAAGCTGAATTTTCTGTGAAGATAGGATGGTCTGAAGAACTTCGGGACATTTTCCCGAAGCTTTTGTAGTTCAAGCTGAAACAATCATAAAATAGCCATAATTTCTCATCTCTCCCAAGATCAGAATATATATGACCAAAACCTTTGCTCAGGATTGAGTCCATTTTCACTGACAAGGTTAATAGTGTATCTAACCTATGACCTAACAGTGTCACAGGTAGGTCACTGGTACGGTAGATTATTTGTAGTGTAGATCATAGGCAACATAACACACTGTTCTCTGGATTACTAGCAATTCTGCCACAAGACCAAGACTGGTTAAAAAAAAAAAACAAAACTAATGGAGATGGGGAAACAATATTAGAAAAACTTACTGAAAATATAAATCAGATGTTGAATGGAGTAACAACTTCAAAGTGTAACATCACATTGCATTTGAGTAAAAGTATGGATTCATTTGCACACAGGTAGTGATGTTAAGAGTAATACCTGAATCCCTTCTCCATTCTGTTCCTTGACTCTGCTTGCAACACATTCTAAAACCTTCTGGAAGATGCTCTGTACAGCATGGAGGACCTGGGCTACTTCATCCACCTCAGTGCTCTGAGTCACAGAAGCTTCAGTAATTTCTTTTAGTGCACACAGCAGCACAGGTGCACAAAAGCCACCCCTGGCTAAAGAGATAAATACCACGATATATACACTGAAATGAGATATTCTTTAGATACAAATTTACAAATAACTCACATACCGCAAACAGCTATAGTTTCCTAGATGATGCATTTAGTTTCTGAGCACCTTCAGCTGAATTTTTCATGTATTTCAATTAGTATTTAGTTGAGTATAAATCCAGCATTCCTTCAAAAAATTCGTAAGAACTGAGCTTTAATTCTGTCTCTGCTGTCAACTTAACTTTCCAAATGTCAGCCAAATTTAAATTGCACTACAATTTTGTCTCTTAAGATAGGGAGATATATATATGTACACATGAAATCAGTGTGCACAAATATTTATGTACATATACTACTGTGTGATATCCCAATCATATAACAGGAATTTAACAGCAAGGAAAAAGCATTAGTTATCAACAATGGTAAGATGCTGGACAGCTTCTCTGCTTGTTTTCCATTTGCTGAAAAGCTGTTGTTACTTCTCACTGTATTAATGACATGTGCATCAACTAAAAACACTGCTTTTTTTGAGAAAGAGATTCCACAATGCAAAAGAATAACAGCTCTGTTAATATAAAAACATGCCACCTAATTGTGTATGGGGGTGTTGATGTTAGCTCTACACTTTGTACCTGTTTGTATAACTGAAAGTGCCACATCTAAAAAGTACAGTTGAAACTTGACGTTTCCGAGACCAACCATTATGACATCTTTGCAGACTGACAGATAGTCCTAGAAAAGAGATACAAAATTTAAAAAAAAAAACAACATTATTACATAAAGCAACAGTTCAGTAGTAGCGAGAAGTAATAAAAATATGAAATCAAAGGAACCATTTAATTATCTTTTTTTTAACCAGCCTGCATTTACATGAGCTGGGCCATTCAGAGACGCAGACTGTGATTGAAGTTTGTCCCAATATTCTCTCCCTTGACTAAAATTTGAAAAGATCCACAGCTCAGTGGTAAAATTACACTTGGTTAAGCGACACACAAGGGAAATACAACAGCAGACAATTAAAAAATTGCTTAAACATTACCTAATCACATGCTTTCTACGTATCTACTAACAAGGAGCATTATTACAGACTCATCAAGCAGCATGTCAGATAGTTCTGTAGTTGATAACTTCCTATTTTATTATTTATCAGTACTTTCATTTTCAATTTCCATTCAGACCTGGGAAATTGATCAAACACACTCTAGAAACGCTGGTACTTATTCTTTATTTTGTGTCTTGTCTTTTCATCAGACTGAATCCTATGACTGCCAACTTCTGACAGATAGCCAGAGTAGCAGTATGCGTGCCAATTATTTCATTTTGAAAAGGGGCAATAGCTTATTAAACACACAATTAACCTGTCCCAAGAACGACTACAGCACTTACTTAACGCCTCTTTACAGCCTTCAAAAAGTCATTTGGCTGCAGCAGTGCGACTCCAAGTCAGTAAAAGACTCACTTCCTTACTATTAAATTCCCAGGCAACTCCCACTTCTCACTCTGCTGACTCTCACAGATGTTTTCTGGTACTCAGCACCAGAATGAAGTATGCTGAATTCCTCAGGGTATAATTCTACCTTTTCTTTTGGGAAAGCGGGAAGGAAAGGAAAGAAGGAAACAAAGCAAGCCAATATGATTAGATTTAAATCCTCTCTTTCACAGTAACATGACCTTCCTTGGCTTCCAAATCATCCTGCATAGTGCACTGGGCATTTTGGATAACAATGTTTGTAAACCTGAAATTTACATATACCACTTATTTGGCTGCAAGCAGTTTGATTTATGTGAGAAGAGAGCTCTAACCTGGATAATTAATTCAGGAACATTACTCTGTTTTGCAATTCCATCCTCTTGTTCAGTTGCTAGTATATAAGGTAAAACGTGACTTTCTACCCAAGCCCCTGTCTCCTGCAGATGTGACAGATAATCTTTTCCTTCTTCAGAAAACTGGAAAACAGAAACAGAAGTTTATAAACGTTTTCTAATTCTTCTGGAATTTCCTTATACTGTCAGCTTGAAGTCCTGCTTATACTAAAAAAGTATAAACGTACCTTGTTTTGAAGATGAATACTCAACCTGCAACATAGGCTGAAGGCTCTTAAGCCAGTTCTTTGATTGCAGCTACCACGATTTGTATCAGCTGTTTTCAGAACTGAGCCAAGAATCTCCTGAAATACCAAAGCTGACATTTATATTTGCCAGAAAAACCTTTCAAAAAAAGTTGTGTAGTCTTTTCCTCAACACTTTTAAACAGAAGATTTTAAAATAAGGAAAAAAAAAAAAAAAAAAAAAAAGACAAAACCAAGGAGCATCATTTCAAGTATTTTCATTTTGGAATGCTGGAACCCATTTTCAAACTATTCCTTACACGTACACTCTGAAAGTCAGGTTCCTTAAAAATGCTCAACACTGGATCACACAAATTAGAGGCACCTACAAGTGAAAAAGCAATTAAAATTTGCTACCAATAAACAATTCTGAACTAATGTACTTCTAGTTTACAATATTTGTCTGAAGTAGAAGGGGAAAAAGCTGTAACAAAATCTACTTCTGTATTCGCAGAGTTTAATGTAAGGCAATCATATAATGCACTCTTTTATAAGCATGGCTTGTGGTAAGGACAACACTACCTTAGCAGCACTGAGAACTTTCAGAAGATGGTTCAGTTTCTTTTTAGGAACGGAGAGGAGGCAACCACGATTGACAGGATGAGTCAATAAATATTCAATGTAATCAAGTGCTAATTCTGGCTTCGATTCATGTGTCACATGGATACGTACGCGCCGTTCCGATGTTTTAACATTCTAAAGGAGAAAGAAGCACAACATTAGAAAGGTACAGGTAGTATTTTACCATTTTTACAATTAATTCCAAAGAAGGAAAATACAGCATGAAAGAAGCTGCTCATTAAAGAAAAAACAAACAAACCAACCAACAACAAAGGAACAGTGCATCAATTCCTTGACGTCTGCATACCTTTTTTGGGGTTAGCATGTCTGACAGCCAGTCACAGGCCAGTTCCAACACATGACCCACTTGACCCCAGCGACACATACAGTCTATCAGGGTAGAGTATTTGCTTTGGTCAGCTCCACTGTCAATGTTTCTGAGTTTGGAGATCACACCACAGCTTAGATTAAAAAGAAAAAAGGAAGGAAAAAGATGTGTTAACTTCACATTCATTACTGTAGAAATTATTCAAAGAAGATCAACCAAGAGAGACACACAGGTGGCTCAAAGATACGTTTACACCACACAGATTCTATTAACTCAGTACATTTATTTAGCAGATTATTTTATCCAAGTTTACCCAAATTATCCAATTTATCAAAATGGGCGCTTAAAATGTCAGCTTGGGAAAAAATTAACAGCCAATGAGTGTCACTCACATTTTTGGATCTAAAAATAGTACCTGAAAGTAGGAATAGCAGCAGGGGGCATAAAGGATGCCAGAATAACCAATGGAGTTGTGCAACGGTCATCCTATAAAAAAAAAAAAAAGTACACTGCAATGATGTACACATACAGACACCATGCAAAATTTAAGAGATAACTTAAAGTATGATTAAATTATAGCAATTTAAGCATTTCTTTCTTTTCACTAGAAATGGAAGTAGAAAAAAATCACATGGCTTACAATCCGCAACTAAGAAATGTAACAGAAATGCACCAGAAGTTGTTACAACATCAAAATAAGAGGCACAGAAACTGACCGGTGTGACAAACTGCTTAGAAATAATGTATCTGTTGTCCCTGCTTCGTGAGTACTATCAAACAAAATGATTATTCATTTAGACATCTAAAGAGCTGAAATCTTTTAAAGATGATTTTTAAAATAACATTTACAAAAAAAAAAAGCATGCTGATTTTCAGGAAAGAGATACCTTGCCTTAACCTGTAGTCTCCTAGAAAATTAGCTCCTGATGACAGATTGTTTTAGATGCAAGCTGCTCACTCACTGTAAGAATATCACTCAAGAGCTAGGCTAGCTAAGGCTGGATGTCTTGCCTGGTGACCAGAACTTCAGAGGAGGGACATTACACCCTCTACCAAAAAAAAGGTTTGGAACGTCGTTGACAAATCCAAATGTTTCCAGGGTAGAAAGAATATTTGGTAGATCCGTACTGCAGAACATTATGTAGAAATGAACAGCTTTTCACTCTCTGATTATCTAAGCTGGTTTGAATGTTGTTAAATAGCCAGAATCAAAAGACTGTTAGAGAGTAGAATCCAATTATCAGAAGACAATCACAAGAAAGTAACAAATGAGCCTCAGCTGTTTCAGCTGTTCCAGCAGCTGAAGAGAAACTGGATCATAATAATAAGTGATAGTGGTGAAAGGGTCTGGAGGAAGGAAGTACAAAAACATGTCGACTCTCATCTACAAAAAGAGTATTTTGCAGTGATTGATTTCCAGAAGATTAAAAAACTTCAAGAACAGAATAGTCCTACAAAAAGCAGTACAAGCAGAACAACTTAGTGCATAAGTATCTGTGTTAACAATTAATTCATCAGATCTGGAACTAGAGGATGGCTTTTCTCACTGATGCAATTTCTAGGAACTTGCTATTGTTTACAGCAACAAAACATACTTAATACCATGAAAATAGATAAGACACACAACAGAACAACATCAGAGGGAAATACTGGAGCAGTGACAGGAAAATCTAAGTTTAAATCCAGGCTTTATTTACCTTAAATACTTTTAAATACTCAGGAAGTACAGAAGCAAATTTTCTGATGGTGTAATCTTTGGCATCTTCATTGTGATCCAACGCTTTGTGAATACTTCTCCAGAGAATCACTGTAATCTCCAATAAACTCGCCATGCTGGCCATGTCATTTATTGACAGCACATCATTCAACACCTGAAATACAAACACAGATGATATTACCTGCTATGTTCTAATAAACGAATTTACGTTAAAATAAAGTTTCAAAACACTGAAAATTCTTACATTCGTGTCTCAGAGGTGTTGTGCTTATTGTAAAGCATCAGCTCCACGATTCATTCACATGAAGCTACACATAACTTGAGTCATCCCGCTACAATACATTTTTTAAACATTTCAAACAAAATCAAACAAACGTAATAAAGAGTGAAATGTGAGAAATATTCATTCTAAGTATGCTCCACATGCCTTCTAGCTTATTCTGTGTACTGCATGAAATTTCTAGTATTTCAGGCCATGAAAATACCACAGTAGTGGTTTTCTCCTTCCAACTCCACAGATGTCTAAATGCCCTCCTTCAGATTTCTCTCACACCATTAACTGCCTATATCTGAAATCCAGCACCACAAACATTACCAGAACTTATCATAAAATGGTGTATCTTACACTTAGGTTCTCCTTTTCACCTTCATCTTCACCATCATCATCAAAACTCTCTTTCACTGCTTTCTGGATGCAGGCATTCAAGCAGCGTCGAATAGTTAGCATCAATTTAGCTACATTTAAATATGATAAGAATAAATCAGATGTGTACTACTTCTTAAGAACGTCATTAGTAAATGCTTCTTAGTATAATGTTAGATAGCTATTCTGAAGAGCAGGCAACAGAAGCAGAAATAGCTAGAAAAAAACATACCAAATTTCCTGGTAAACAAAAGTGGAAAAATGGACAAATGTTTTATATACTCAAAAATGAAGAAGAAACAGCCAACATTATCATCAGATTCTGTAACTTCAATGTTAAAAACATCTATTCAAAGAAAAAAAAAATCAAAGCAGAATCAGAGGAAGCTTCTACAATTCCTACATCTGTCTGGCATAGCTATTGTTTTCATGAACTATACCCAGTAACACATCTCCTCTAATGTGCATTCCAACTATTAGTTATAGGCAGCAATCTAACCGTTGCGTTCCCTAATGCGGAGCTCATCTCGCTTAGTTCCATTTTCTATAGAAGACTCAAAATGTTTTGTGCTTTACCTATATTAGTGGGAGCAGTATACTCATAAGCATATTGATAGAACTTTCTAGCTGCTGCTGAATTCATCTGGATCAAAGTAACACAGCGCTCACACCACACATCCTCAGGCTGGTTCACAGGCAGGAAGGAGTTGAATAAGAGATTGACAATGCGCCGCGACACGGGCCGCGAATCAACCTCGAGGCGAGCCAGGAGGTGCTCCATGGGACAGATCTTCCAGAACTTGAAAAAGTGAGTAAAGATATTAATGGAATTAAAATAAGTAAATGGAGCACGTTTGCAGTTCTCCACACATCAAGCCTCAATAAACACCAAGAGCATTTACAGAAAAGCAGGTATGTTTTACATTTTCCAGAAATACCAGCGTGCACTTGAAGTCCCATATTCCTGTCACGATGCTACGTTACTGTCCTGATATGCTTCTAACTCACCTGGTATCTATGAGAGACCACTAACATTCCGGTTAGGAGAACTCCAGCTCAACATATCTGCAGTGCTAAATGTAACTAGATGATCATTATGGTCCTTTCCAACCCAGGCCATTCTATGATTCTGTAATTCTATGATAATTAAAATTCTTATCCTAAACCTGAAATTGTATACAAACAGTTGGAAGCCCTCAATTCTGAAGTGGCTTCCTATTTATCTTGCGTTCTGAGTGTATATGAAGTTGGAAAGTGCTAGGGCTAATCACGTCTCAATATAACATCCTTGAGTTGCTGTGATCAAAGGTGGAAGGCACGCATTTGGCAAGTAGCTAATTCTCTCATTAGGGATGGATAAGATCCTTCAGCACTGAAGCCTTAAAATCTGACCAACAAATCATTTATTCCAAGTTTAATTCTCTCATGAACAGAGAACTGTGCATGTTCTATGCAAATTCACTACACAAAGTCACAAGATAAGCATGTCATGGTAAGTAGGCTCAGCAAAAGACAAAACCATCATTGAAATAAAATATGAAAGTTAAATTAGTAAACCATTAAGAGCAGAGAGTGGAGAAAGAAGTTAAAGGAGCCATAACGCCTAAGGCTGGCCAGTATCACCCTAAATAAGAATCCACAGCAGAAAATAAAGTTTGTTTAAAATCATTATGAAAAGAAATGAAATGCTGAAGCACGTGCCCACAGAAGGCAAGTAAAAAATTATAAAAACAGGTAAACAAGAGTAAAAAAGCAGTTCAATAAAGATGTTAAGCTTTTCAGAAGGTGACAGTCCTGAGGAGCTGTTTGTCTGACTGTTCTGCCCTGGCATGGCCACCAGAGGGCAAGGAAGACAGAAACATGCTGAGAAAAAGATGTGTTGAGTACTTGGTGATCCCAACAACCAGTGAGCAAAAATACCCCCAAGCAGTATGTACAGAGAAACTGCTGGACCTCCTGCATGCAGTAATAATCCCAAAGCAGTTGAAAATTAAAAAAAAAAAGTGAGCTAGAGCAGAACAAGAGTGTAGTTGGCTTAATTAAAAACAAGCTTTCCATCGTATTCACCATGCCTATAAAATCTCTGCCACAGCAACATCCATACAAAGTATTATTCCCTACGGTTACCTCAGCTGTGCTGAACAGCTATGGAAAGACCACAGGTTCAAAACCAGTCACAAGTAAAACATTAAACGTGTGTTGTTTTTTTTCCTTTAAGTCTGACTGCAGTAGTCTCAAAGGTACATTTGTTTTTGAAATCAATGCCTTAATTTTTACCTCCTGCCTGCTATCTATCTACTCAAAGCACCACTTAACCTACCTTTGCTGCCTTCGTAGCCTTTATTTTCAGCAGCATATCTACAAAAGCCACTCGCACTTTCTCTGAATTGTCATGAAGGCTGTGTTTAACTGTTGGCAGGAGCTGCTCCAGCAATGGATGACTTAATTTGTTGTCCAAAGTTATCGGTAGACACTGCGAGAAAAAAACAAGTAGAGTAATTAAAAATATTTAGAGGTGATTTGCAAAAAAGACATAGCTAAAAACTGTTGAACTGGACTATGACACTTCTAAGGTGAACTTCAGTAGGGGCTGACACTAAGTCTGCATGCTTTTCCTTTAACATTCTTTACTAAAAGTTGCTTCAAATTTCTAGTGCCCTGCATTCAGCAGACTCATTTCAGATGAATAAGATTCAGATATATGCTGAGGTCACAGTTCTGCCTTCTATCTGAGGGCACAGTATAAAGTACCTTTTGTGGTAGCGATACCAGCTCCCCAAACTCTACTAATTTTGGATTAAAAATCAGTCTCCTTTATTTTGGATTAAAAACTAGTCTCCTCCTTTTTTTGCCAAGACACATTTAACTCAGCTCTTCCTGCTTATTCAGTATAGATTTCCATACTGCTATAGTGGAGCAAGGGAGAATTAACATAAAGATAACTTCAAATTAAAAGTGAATCAATACATTTTAAGTGGAAACACAGCATAAGGAGATTCTCTAGGGATGGATTAAAACCAGTGATATAGAAATATACCAGAACTCGCCTGCATACTGAGCATAACTTCTATTAGCTAAAATTGCTGAATTATCAGGTCCAAACAATGCAGAAAGTCTATCAGACTAGAAATGCAAAGTGAATGAGATTCAACAAAGCCAAACAGTCACTACTTTGGAAGATGTTTTTTCTTTCCAGCTGTATGAGTTTTCTAAAAGGTGTGCAGAATTTGCATGTACCAGGAACTCACTGAGTAAGTCATTCTGCAGAACAATTACTGTCCTTGACTTTAAGTGGCCTGGAAACCAAAGCTTCATGTAAAAATGTAGAAATGACAATCACAATTTTACATTCAGAGGAAAGACTTACTTTAAAAACCGAGCATCGAACGTCAGCAGATGTTACATCACACGCCAGCTCTTCAATTAGCTTTTTTAAAAGGTCAGTAATAACTGTTGGAGGAATCATCTCCCAGTATTTGGATGTTATCTGACTAACTCCAAGTATCCCTGTAGAGCGGACAACTGGATGAGGATCTTCCAAGAGGCTCTAGAACAGAAGAACAATGTGAACAGAAGCATTATTGCTGATCCACTGCTGTTTGACAATAACTTGCAGTCCACAAATAGAATTCCATAATCATAATGCAAATTGTTATGCTATGAGAGAACAACAGTACTGATGTTCTCTCAAGGCATTTTATTATGAAGTAAACAAGAAAATTTAAATCAGGAACAAAGTTAAGACAATATTGTCCGATTACTTTTTTTAATATGACCTTTGAAATAGTTTTGAATTGTTTTTAAGATAACTTACTTTAAGTTTTGCACCTGTGATTCAATTAAGAATATTCAGACTTCTATGTACATGAGTTAGCATTGGATACTGCTCATATATGTTAATATAAAAACTTGACATTCAGTTACCTGATGTTTATGTTCATAAAGACGACACTGGTGATATCCAAAACATTTCAGTAAAGAATATACGTCCAATCTCATCTATCTTGACTAATTAAATTTTTTTTCCAGATTCTTACAATTGTACTTCACTTTAGAACTATTTAGGAATACAGTACTAAGCTTGAGGCAAATGCTTACTAATTAAATGTAAAGCTCTCTTCACCAGTCCCAAATAAGGATAAGATAAGAGGGGTGGCCAGCAGGGACAGGGAGGTGATTGTCCCCCTCTACTCTGCTCTTGTGAGGCCCCATCTGGAGTACTGCGTCCAAGTGTGGAGCCCGCAGTACAAAAAAGACAGGGAGCTGTTGGAGAGGATCCAGAGGAGAGCCACAAAGATGATCAGGGGACTGGAGCACCTCCCCTATGAGGACAGGCTGAGGGAGCTGGGCTTGTTCAGCCTGGAGAAAAGAAGGCTGCAGGGTGACCTCATGGCAGCCTTTCAGTACCTAAAGGGAGCCTACAGAGGGGAGGGGAATCAACTCTTTGAAAGGTTTGATATGTGTAGGACGAGGGGAAATGGTTTTAAGTTGAGGCAGGGGAAATTTAGGTTGGACATCAGGGGGAAATTCTTTACCATGAGAGTGGTGAGGTGCTGGAACAGCTGCCCAGAGAGGTTGTGCCGTCCTTGGAGGTGTTCAAGGCCAGGTTGGATGGGGCCCTGGGCAGTCTGATCTAGTATTAAATGTGGAGGTTGGTGGCCCTGCATGTGGCAGGAGGGGTGGAGATTCATGATCCTTGAGGTCCCTTCCAACCCTGTGATTCTGTGATAAGATCATTACCCATCCATGCAGCCCAAGGGCGTCCAACCTTCTGGCTTGCCTGGGCTGCACTGAGTGAACAGGATATTGATTTGGGCTGCAGACACATAGGGCTCTCCAAAAGTAATGCCTCTTATTTATTTCCATGGAAACTACAACAGATACAATGAACACAGTAACTCTGCTTGATAGAGCCAATTCTCAGCAACAAAACAATACTTTCAAGTATAGCAGCCACCATTAGCTGTGCATTTTTGCCAGTGATGAACAGGAGGCTGCATGCCATGTTTTGTCAATACCCACACCAGTAGAAGAGAGACCCACTGGTGCTGTCACCACTGCTGAAATACACCACTGTGCTCACATCTGCTGTTTGGCTCCATAAATGTTCAGGAAACATCAATGAATGTCAATGGGCACAATTTTTTTTTTCTTTTGCATGGAGGAATTCAGTTCCACCTCTTTGTTTCATACACACTTCCATGTCAGACACCATTTTGTCAGATGGCCCATCTGTCACACAGCAACAAAATGTAAGGTAATATTGGTGAGAAGTTTCTACTTATACTGCCATACCACCAACATCTACCTCTGATGTCGTGGGCCAGCATAAAAAAGTAGGAGGCATTACTTTCAGAGCTGTCCTTGTAAAATATATACTACTGAGCAACAACAATACAGAACAAGTGGGACACGTGACATTGTTTTTGTGAAACTAATGCATCAGTCTGGATCAGTGGCAGAGGTTGTGATTCTCAGTAAGCTTTCAAGGTGCTCAGAGCTCTTTTATGAATTGTTGCCCTTCCTGTACCTCTTCTTTGTCCAAAGCTGCTCACAAACCATTGCCAAAAGCAATGACATCAATAAGGAGTGACTGTGAAACGAGCGATATGTTTCTCTGTTAAGAGAGGTCTTACAGAAGTCTAGCAAAAGGACATGATCAAACATTTGAGTTGAATATCTGATTGCAACTCTATTTGTTCCATTTGAAAATTTGCAGGTAACGTATGTCAACTGCAGATGGATTAGCAAACATAATTTTTTTTCTTTTTTGGCAATCTTGAAACTGTTCTCAAATTCCTGTATCAAAACAGAAGACACAGCTGCATTTTTTTTTGCTGTTCACAGGACTCTGTTCAACCAGCAGCTCAAAATGCATGCAATTACTTGCCATAAATTGATAAGCACTGTGCCCTCCCCATACCCTGCATTCAGCCCAGACAGTTCCAGTCACACACGATGTGTGGTTGTTGTGAGTGATGAGTGCACACCTGGCCACTTAGTGGGGAAGGACTGCAGCCAGGAAGCAGGCCACACTGTGAGCTGTGCTGGGCCACATGCAGCCCATGTGCTGGAAACACCCGATAGAGCTTTCAAAAGCATCTTTCACTCACAGCTCAGTAAAATAGATAACCAATTTTTTCCTTTTCAGATTAAAAAAACAAATGATGTAGCATTGTCTGTTGCCAATGTGGCACAGAAAATTAAAATATTAGTCTATTTTTGCATTTTCTGCATCTCAGGCATACATACTATCCTGAAATTCCATTCACTTTAACTATACCAACAGCTTATTTTTAGCATTCAGCATACTAGTTACATCAAAACTTACAAAAAGTTCTTCAAACTGTTTCTGAATTTCAGCATCCATTTCTTCAGTGTTACAACTAGGATCACGAATAGGAAAAGCATCAATAAACAAAAATGCTGCATTCGATCGAACTTCTGAGTTTCTTGCCTGTTACAACGAAGGAAAAATTGTTATTTCAGTAAGTATAGACTTAAAGGCATATCCTACAAAACAAAACGTCTCCAAAGACTTCTGTTATTTGTAATTAAGTAAATGGGAGAGAAGTTCTTAAATATATGGAAGAAGTTGTAGTAACGTGATTTTTTTCACCTTACATTTCTGCCCCTCTGTAACACCTGAGCTATCAGAACAATAAGCTCTCAAAATATTAATGATCCTAAAGAGTCATAGTCTGAGCCCTTCTTTCTGCAATGCTAAATAAGTTAAAAACAGTTGGGATTTCTCTTGGCCACCTGACACGTAAACTTGGGCATGAATCCTTAAATCTCCTCTACAGAATACAAGAACCTCGAACTCAAGCAAAGCTTTTATCATTAAGTTTATACAGACAGGCAATTCAATGGAAAAGCTGAAGCTTATTTCCTCAAGAAAACAGTTTTTAGAAACTAAGTACCATCAAGCCTAGAGCATAACATCCAACGTGAACATATTCAATTCTGCATCTATGCATGTAATAGGATCATGTTCTGAGCTTCTACCAGCTAATCAGAAGCCTAAGATAAACCTTCTAACTCTGACATTTTATCATTTGTAACCATTTTCAGGGTGCTACTCAATATATTTTGCTGGCTGTAGAGCTCTAAACATAAGGAAAAATGAATAAAGTATATATTTAGGCAATCAATGAGAAATGATTGGCCCCTGTAGGCTCATAAAGGATAGAAAATACAGAGCAGTCAATGAAATGAAGAAAAGATGAGATTCAAGGTTCGTCAGAAGAAACCTGAAATAACCTGAAATACAACCAGCTGAAAATATTTTATTTGTTAAAGATATCAGTCCTTGATATTTGTGCTCACTTCTCTTTGAGGGAGAAGGAATAATTTTGTTCAGAGTTTGGTTCCAATTAAGAAAATGTATAAAAAACATATATAAAGAGTCTAATGTGAAACAAACAATGTAGGCTTAGTTAAGAGCAAGATTAAGAGACAGTGCAGGGGACCTTCTGACTACATTCATGCAATTTTCTTCTTTTGCCATGAGATGCTCAGATCAAAGGCAGGGAAAAGAAACTGTATAATCATGTAACATTTAGAATGAAAGAAACTAAGGGTAAATAAAAATAGAAAATCACAAAACAAATGAACTACAATTACTCAATGTGAAATTTATTTTGTATTTCCCTTCTGACTTGATCCTCATGGGAGACGAGGGATGGGCATCTCATCTCCAGGTAGAAAAAACAAAACACCACCACCACCACATTCTTCAAGCCAGCAAAATTAAGAAAAATTCTACATTTTGATACCATGAGAGTAAATAAAGCCCATCTACACATTCTTTAGAGCTTAGGACTACCTTATTTTACCCCACAGGCACCAAGAGGAACCTTCAGTTATTTGATTCAAAAAAAGAAGTTCATGTTTCTTTACCTTCATGCCTGTGATAATTTGAGGAACTGTTAAAACTGTTCTAAGACAGACTGATAGACCTTGAGATATATAGATCCACTTTCTGGTTATACAATCACGGCACAACTGTTCTGCTCACTTGCACACAACACTTTTTCATAATAAAGATATGAAATTGCATAATATTATAAAAACTAAATGTAGCACAAAGGTTTATAAAACACATGTAAGTAAAAGCCACAAAGGAACTTGTGCTATCTAACATCTGCTAAAGTATCAATTTAAGAAGAAAAAGAGCAAAATAGCCATGTATTCTAAACAACCATTTTAGAGAGAAAATCAAGTAGTTTCAACATGACCAGTTCTAGAATACCTTGTATTCTTACAGCTGAAGTAGTTTTCCTTTTTGCATGGAGGAGGGATAAAAAGGCCTTTTTATGGGTCGCCCTTCTTTTATACAACCAAGAACAAGATTTATTCCTCACTATATTAAATTAGGCTTTCATACAGTGGTTGAAATAGCAAACTGGTTATCTAAAATGAAACTGAGATTTCAAGCCTAGGAGAGGAATCCAAATCAGTAGAAGTGATGGTAAGCTTCCCTTTTATGTTCTGTATCTTAAAGTATTGATGATCCCAAGGCACAGCAATAGTCCCCTCAAAAATGGTAAATACTTCAGCAGTACGGTATAAAAAAGAAAAATGAACTAATGAAATTAAGATAGCAGCCTAACCAAAAATGAACTGCCCAATTTTCATTTTCAGTCAGATATTTCCTTTCACCTATCACAAATATGCTACTGAATCATCTGGAATGGAGTACCTTTACCTTTCCTTGTATTGAATCATTACATGATTCATATAATTGCTGCATTCAGCTTTTTACAATCCTGTACTTTTCTAAAGTATATGTTCACAACAGTTGGATTATGTTGCTGAATTAAAGCAAGTTCTCCATGACCTACTTGATATATGTGCTCACTTCTCAGCTCAAAGCGTTTAACTCCACATGGTGAAGTTATAAAAGTAAAAAAAAAAAAAAAAAGAAAAATAATGAACAAGAATTAAACCAAATAAATAGAAGCAACAAAAAAAGCATTGTTCTAATGATGGAACCAGAAGTGATGTGAAAATTATGAATATAGTTAAATAAAATTACATGCTTATAAGTACATGATTATGAATGGAATATGTGGGAGGGACCCAAAACTCATCAGCTGGAAAAAAACAGTGCTACATTCTGAAAAGGAAAATTACCTTTAGTGCTCTCCAAAGGATGGGTTTATACAACCGACAGAGCATTTCTTCAACTCCTTGACGAACTTTACTTTGTTTATGAAAATAACTCAGCATCTGGCAAATCAAACAACAAAAAACATGTTTTGTACACATCTGTGCACGTTCAAGAAAGATGGGGTGTTGGGGACGTCAGAAGTATTCATAAGGCAGGTTGTACTTGTTGTTTTTTGGTTGGTTTTTTGTTTCTAACTCTACTGTTCTTTCAGTAAAGTAGCCCGAACACTGCTCAACTGAATAACTGTTGTTTAGTTACTCTTCTATTTGATACAGGAACTCCTGCAATCCGTATCATTTTTAGTTAAATTCTTGTATATTGAAGAAGAACCAGCCATCGTTAGCAAATTTCTTCCAAGATCCTTCCACACCTTCTCAATTCAAAAGGGATTTATTTACATTACGGTCCTCTTTTGAGATCATAAGCTTCTCTGTTTCTTACTGAAATGAAATTCATGAAGATCTGTCAAAACCCTACTCCATCAAAATTCTAAGCTTGTACCTTGTAAAACCTTTGTATCTGATAGCATACATTCTTAAAACAGGTTTTGGTATAAATTTGTACTTATGTTCATGGAAAAATATGAAAAGTATGTTAAAAAATGAAAAACTATGTTCAGTACGTGAGTGTTCAGACAAGCGATTCTGCCTTAAAATGACCATTTAACTGAAATATGTGGATCCAGGAGATAACCAAATCTGATGGATGGGAACAACATACTGGTGCATTGAGCTGTGTATTGCACACTGGATACCCTCTGGCTTCTACATAATTTGAGAGAAAGCACAAGAAGTAAAAAGGCTACATCAGATATGAGTGTCTTCTCTTAAAAAGCTTCTTGTTCAACTTCGAATGTTCTGCTCAGGAATAAAAGCCATAGATAGGCCACTAGAATCTGTACCCAAATCAAGGATTGTCCCTACATACATACACAAAATCAACACACAGCATCTCTCTATATAAAAAAAGATATATATCAATGTAAGCTTTATATACAGCAAAGACAGACAAACCTCATTTCAGACCCACCATAAATTTGCTTTAAGGAGCTTATGACTTTTTTTCACTGTGATCAACTATGAAAAGGTCAAATCCCTAAGTAAAGAAAAGAATAGATAACAGACAGCAAAGGCTATTTCTGGCACTCTTTTCAAGAGCAGGAAAATAAGGGGATTTTTACAGACAAGAGAAATGTGATGCCAAACTATATGAAAATTCCTTATAGCATTCGTTCTAATAATTTGCCTTTCAGAATATCAGAGTGTATTTCATTTTTTAAATGTATATAAAGTATATGTATAATAAATATATGTATATGTATAATAAATATGTATAGGTATAATAAATAACAATATATAAAGTAAATGTATAATAAAGTGAACTCAGTCACAAGCAAAGCACCACACAGGTGCTCACCCACTCCTCTTTGGTGGAACGACAGAAAAATCTGGGAGAGCAAAAGCAAGAAAACTTGTGGGTCTAGATAACAACAGTTTTATAACTGAAGAAAAGAGGAATAAAAAAAGCAATTATTCAGAGGCAATCACCCACTACTTCCCACAAGCAGACCAATGCTCAGCCAGCCTCCTCAAAACCCCACTTCCCACAGTTTTTATTACTGAGGGTGGCATTATAGTGGAAGCAGTATCCCTCTGATCAATTTGGGTCAGCTGTGTCCATTCCCAAGTTGTTGCTCATCCCATCCTACTTGCTATGAAGGCAGAGTAGGGGCAAAGATAGCCTTAACATCGTGCAAGTACGGCTCAGCAAAATCTAAAACACGGGTCTGCATTTACTTTTTGGTCTACAAAACCAAAACCCAACACAATATGGGCTGCTATGAACAAAAATAGTTCTATCCCAGCCAGACTCAGCACAGTATTTTGGCAGGAAATGGAAAATTCCCCCTTTATACTAAACCAGTTCAGTTTGATACCACCGGTTCACGTCACAACACAAACTTACCTCTCTAACTTTAGAATAAACAGAAGAACTTCTGGGAAGATGAATTCCATGGTGCATGAAATCCTGAATACAATTGTGTTCAAGTATCTACAGTAAAAACACACATTCATGCTACTGTTAACACACAAGAAAAAAATAAGTACAGACGGCCATCCAGCAACATTTTTATCTAAAACAAAAACTGAAATAATAAATATTATTTCGTACTCAGCTTCTGCTTAGCTAAATGTTTTCCATGCTATGCTTCTATCAGCATAAACTGATTTTCAAGATATCAGCATACTGATATGAGAACTTGACTTCTGAGAGTCAAGTTTTGAATTCCAAAGTATCTCCACATGAATCTACAGGTGGTGGAACTGCCTCCACCCTCAGCAAGCTTGCAGATGACACCGAGGTGTGTGGTGCAGATGATACAATAAAAGGAACAGATGGCATCCGGAGGAACTCAGAACTTCAGAGGTGTGCCCACGCAAATCTCATGAAGTTCAAGAAGGCAAAGTGCAAGGCTATGCAACTGGGTTGGGGCAATCCTAAATGTCAGTACAGGCTGAGGGGATGAGTGGAGTGAGAGCTGCAGAGCAGAGATGGACGTGGGGGTGTCGATTGATGAAAAATCAAGCATCAGTCAGCAGCACAAGCTTGCAGCTCAGAAAACAAATCATATCCTGGGCTGCACGAAAAGAAGCGTGGCCAGCAGGCTGAGGGAGGCAATTCCTCACTCTGCTGAGCCCTTGCAAGACTCCAAATACAGCACTGTGTTCAGCTGTGGGGCTACGAGTGTAAGAGAGATGTGGAGCTTAGTTGGTTAATTAAACCACATGTAAGTGTTGTCCAAGCACTTCTTCAGCACCTTGGACCAGTGCCCTGGGGAGGCTGTTTCAGGCTCTAAAATGAAAACACTGAGAGAACTGGGGAACCCTATTCACTATAATATTCTGAGCCTGCATCTGAAATTTGGCGGGGACTTTGCTGTGATGCTGTAATTATGCTTTTGACCATCCTCCATAGAAATCCACAAAACCTTGATAAATAAGCTATCAAATATACAGACCTGCAAATACTGAGTAAATGCTTCAGTAATTTAGGGAATTACTGTATTTACAAAAAACATTGTGTACGTATATAGTTGTGGAAAGAATCATTTCAGCAGCAGAATTGAAAGTGCTTAATAGCAACCATGCTGATCAAAGTAGCTAAACGTTAGTAGCTTAGCTTGCAATTGCTCCTTGGCACTGTTGGAGAGGCCCTTTCCTTAGGGAAAGGATTCCTTAAGGATTGCTTAGGAATCCTTCCTAGGATGAATATTCATATAATCTCCCCCCATCTTAAGATTCAGAGCTATCCAAATAAAATGTCAAGCATAGTAATACCTCTAAAGCTTCTCCTGATACCTTCTTCCATGCTCTGAAGTAAATTTCTGAAATGTATTCCATCAAGGATCTGGATTAACACATGGGAAACACTATCAATCAAGCATCCTATGACAACTCATAAGAATAATCACATGAAGGTTTTGTTAAGTACAGTGATTAGTTGTAATTCTGTGTACCAATGCTGTTTTTAGAGGAAGCAAATACCTTAACACAGAAAATCTCTCTTGCCAGTTGGAAATTCAAAAGAGTAACACAGTTATTTTATAATTTCTCTCCAACAAATGCCTTAAATTGTTTACAAATACATATACTCTTGTAACTGGAAGCACTGGAAAGCCTCTGATTTTAATATGAAGAATAATCTATATAACACTTCCCTGAATAGTCAAAGGAAAAACATAAATCTACATTCTTCATCCATCAATCAAGTTCTCAAGCTATGACCCTACAAGTTACTTGTATTTATAAATAACAAGTTATTTGTTATTAAAATGTCTATGCAGAATCTTACCACATTAAATCAGAGGTTGTCCACAAGAAAAATAATACTTCACAGAAGCAGAAAGACTTGCAATTCTCCAACACGAACACCGCAAGTAACACACCATGGTTTAAGTGAAAATCATTTGCCTTACATAGTTCTAAAAAAGCACTTCATTACATCTCTAATTGTTGCTTTATACATAACTGTATACAATTAAATAAAGTTGTTGAAACAATATGGTACTTAGACTCAACAGATTTGATGTTCTCTGGATGCTGAGATATTTTATCAACATAACAGATATCTGAGTTTGAGACAAACAAAGCCTTAGTCAGGCCTCTAATGATTAGTAAGAAGTGTAACTGTTATGCTTACCTTGGAAAGAACTGTAATTGGTTCTTAACAGTTCCGTGTATCATTTTAATGAAGTTGACATTCCAGCTGAAGAAAAAGCTCAAAATTCTTCTTCCCTGTTGGCAGAAGAAAAAAGGAGGTGTATGGAAACTGCAAGGTCATGGCCTGAACCAGTGACTGAGCACCAGGTAAGAAGGGGCAGCCAAGGCAGAGCTGAGGCACGAGCAATGCATCTGAGTGACCCTGGATCCACCCTTGTTTACCCTCTGTTAAAGCAGCCAAGGAGCAGCAGTGCTATTCAGAGATGGTGCTCTTCTCAAGATGTCACCAGACTTTGGAAAGGGCAAGCCACCTTCTTATGTATTGCTTTCTAAACTAAATATTAACAAACACCTTTATAAGCATGCTCCTATCCTACTAGGAGACACTGTTATCGCCTTCCATTGCTCCACAGGAAGAAAGACAAAAAAGTAAACAAAACAATACAAAAGGGAAGACAGAACCCAGAAGAACACCAACTTAAGAGCTACTTCAACAGTAAATACAGATTCCTAATTTTTAAACATAATTCAAGTGTTGCAGTTGCTACATCAAAGAGAAAACACGAAACAAATGCCATGTGATTTACATATTTGCCTATTTTTCCAATGTCCAATCTGCTCTAAAACGACTTCAAGTAATACGCTATAAAGATAAGGGACTGTACAAATCCAGGCTTTCACACCAAGGGTTATCAGAGTTCTGCCTAAGGTACTTTCATTCTGGGATGATGCTGTAAAGATGGTGAAGGTGCAGATAAGATGGCACGACAGTTCTCCAGCTTTAGTTACGTTTTTGAACAAAGCCACAGAAAACAGCTGGGATGCTGAGGAAGATAAATGATCTGATTAGCACAGACAATTCCCTTCATACTGTCTCATGGTAGGTAATAGTGCAAGAGCCCTGGAGCTATTTTAATTCATGAAAGCAGAAGAATACTCTTTTTCCTTTAGCAAGTTAGAAGTGGTGATGGAAAGTCTAATGAGCAACCAAAGTTTTGCAAAAGAAAAGACTGAAAGGCTAAGGAGAAAGAAAATAAACTCTTCTGGACTGAGAAAGATCTGCCCTTGGAATTAGAATCTTGTACAGTAACTGCACAAGTAGCCTAGGTCTGTGTCATCATACAGTATCAGACTGTATCCAGCTTCTTGAGACTCTGAAGAGTCTGATGATGCATAGTGGTGAGACAGCCTGTTGCAAAGTTCCTTTGTACTTTTCTAGCAATAACAAATTAGAAAAACTCATAAGGAGATGCAATAAATAAGTAAAGACCCAGTTGTCAATGACAGATGCTACTACCAAAAAAGAAAAACACTGGATAATAAAATCAAATTGTAAAAAGAGTAACTTATCTTCACCTTTGGTAGTCTGATACCAGCAATGCACTCACCCATCAAGATCCTTGAAAACTTAAAGGTCAAGAGAATCACAACCTACAGCTCCTACTTCAACAAGGCAAAGGTGAGACTGCACTTAGCAGAAAAGACAGATGAAGGCACAATGTGGCTTTCTATCCTGGAAGGCACCCAACAGAAATCTGTATTCAGTTTGGTTCAACAATTCCTTTTTCCTTCAGTTTCAATTGCTCGACCTTGATCACGAGAACATAGCAAATCCCTTCAATTTAATCTCCTGCCAATGAATCTCACTAAAACAATTCTCACTGTCAATATCCTCAGCAACCTGGTAACAAGTGAACTTGCTCTCCACCATATTGGTGCAGACATAATGAATACATTGTGATTTGCCAGATGTATATACACACATAGAGTTAGTAAGGAAAGATGAGCAAGCAGACCTTCTAAGGGCTCTCCAGGTGACTGGAAACCCCACTGGAACGTTTTCATAAATCACACAGAGATAAATTCAGAGGAACACTCCAGTAACAATCTTAAAATAAACCTGTGAGAAATACTGCTGTGTTGAATAGCACAGTCTGGGAAAGCAGAAAAACTGAACCACAGGGATCTTGTATTGCAGCATAATTGTGCAATTCTGTATCAGTCTAGTTTGATCTAAAATCAAGTTAACACAGTTTCTGACCCTTCCCTTCTCTTCATCCTTGTATATGACGAACCACTCAAAGCAACCTCACAATCTTACTAGGAAACAGATCAGCTACCTCCTAGAATGAACCCACAGCACTGCTGTATGAGCACTCACGCTGAGGAGAGGAAAAAAATGAAAGGAAAGCCTGTGAACAGCTCCAGCATCCCTGACAATCTGTTAGAACTTATCAGTCAAAAGGCTTAATGCGTCACCATTAAAAATAACCAGAGCTCACTCACAGAAAAGCAGGGCAGGAGAAAAGCTTGCTTACCTCTTCTTTTTTGATGTGCTTTACACTCATGAAACACTGAAGTAACAGGTCTTTGATTTCATTACTGTCCTCTGAATCATAATCAAAACAAAGTAAGGTCTGATGTAGTTTCCACAGACTAACGATGTCTACGCCCTGACAGAAAAAAAGCCCACATTACATTGATCTAGGCGTACTTTTAATGTGAAGAATCATTTAATGGATTGTAGACAATGAAACTGAAGCACTTTGTTACAATTGGAAGGTTTCCAGATTGCAAAATTGTGAACATTAATCAATTTTCACTCCTCTCATTGGGAAAAGACTACAAAAATATTTTTAACAGTGGAAATACAAACTTCCAACAACTGAAGAAATGCTTTCTGTACAGAAAGCTTGCATTTTACACAAGACACACTAAAATGGCATAATTCCACTTCTCCGCTTCTCAAAATTTGAACAATGAAAGCAGTTAACAGGGAAAAATAGAAGGATAGAACACGAGGGAAATACTTATAGGGCTAATGAAAGGATTGTCACAATGCTCTAAGTAGCTTTCACTTGAAAACAAAAAAAACATTCAGTTCACAATAGATAATTAAGCAAAATAAATTATCTCTAGATACAGAGTAACAGAAAAAGAAATTTCCCACTTAAGAATCCGCTATGAGTTGCTGAGAGTAGCTCTTAAAGCCTGAATTAACTAATAGAGCTAACAGCAACTTAAACCTTTGCCACTGGGCTTTACAAACGAGCAGAGGAGAAAATAAAGTATGTAAAGCAAACTGTTCTCTGGTGAAACTACTGCCAAAAGTCTTTAAAGTTCATTCCAGAGAAGGCAGCATTTTGATACACTCCTTATAGCAGCAACACCAAAAACACAATTTGTAACCAATACATATAGTAGGGTTCATTAGTGGAGAAGCACTAGAACAGAGGAAAAAAATTAACACAAGAAAGTATACTTGGGAGAGAGTTTCCTTCTTGCAATATTCACTAATAATTTAAAACTCAATATAACTTCAGCATACCGTAGCAGCTTTACTCAGACTTTTTCTTAACAGTAAAATAAATACTGTTTTCCCTAGCTGCTCCTTTCCTTCCAGTCCTTTCTCCCACCACATTTCACACACACGCTGGATGGCACTCTGTAGGACATTTTCAGATTCAGGTAATGCAGGAACAATACCTACAACAGGAATAAAGTAAGTATTTATTGCAACGTTTTTATTCACGTAAAACACCGCTCAGTTACTACACTAAAGGTATCTCACAATATCTGTCAGCTCTTGCCATATTTATATGTTTTAAAAACTTACTTTCACTGTGGATGTTTAGGCAGCTTTGCTAATTCTACTGTTTTGGCCAAGTTTTTCTACCAGTAGCAATGGAATCTCCAGTTTTTATTCTTCTGTGGCTAATAGGATTTTTTTATGGCAAGCCATCTCTCCTTGGGTGAACGTGTGGGGAACGAAAATTTCTGAAGTTCCATACTTTAGACTGTGTAACTCATGTCCAAGTGAGTACTCCCTCAACTCTCTCTCTAAAAGAACTTGCATCAGTACCAACTTTTGTCCCTGTGGTTTTTTTTTTCTCCATAGATCCCTCAGGTCAAACATTAAACTTAGTATTGCTATCTGCTAAAAACCAGTGGAATGTGTTTCAACTCTTTGAAAGGGTTGATAACAGCAGCACAAGGGGAAATGGTTTTAAGTTGAAGGAGGGAAGATTTAGGTTGGATGTCAGGGGGAAGTTCTTTACCATGAGAGTGGTGAGGTGCTGGAACAGCTGCCCAGAGAGGCTGTGGATGCCCCGTCCCTGGAGGTGTTCAAGGCCAGGTTGGATGGGGCCCTGGGCAGTCTGATCTAGTATTAAATGTGGAGGTTGGTGGCCCTGCATGTGGCAGGGGGTTGGAGATTCATGATCCTTGAGGTCCCTTCCAACCCTAGCCATTCTGTGATGTAAGTTAAAACAGACAAGTACGCACCATTTAATATAAAGGCACATTCTAGAAGAGCTTTGTAGTTCACAGTTTCATCCACTACGGGTATGGAAGTGATAACTACAGCTGTCACTCCATGGATCACAGCTACAGTTTGTTTCTGAAAGAAAGCGATGTTAAGGAAATAATTCTGCAATTTATTTTATTCTCAGAATACAGTCATGCCAAGGTTATTTAGCCCAGGGAGAAGGCTCCAAGAAGACTTCATTGCACCCTTCCAGTACTTTAAGCAAGCTTATATTGAGGAGACTGACTTTTTACATGGGCAAATAGTGATGGACAAGGGGGAACAGTTTTAAACTGTCCCATCTTTCAGAATTAAGTTATCAGTGGATCTAATCTTTTGTAGTAATCTGTTATACTATACTGAAATCATAACTCCTGTTTAACCTAAGTATAACAGTTAAGAGGTCAGTTATAATTATGGTAAGGAGATGTTTGGACCTGACCTTGTTTGATAAGCCTTGCATGCTTAGAGTTGCCATGAAAATACTCCATTTTATTTCCAGGTAAATATTAACTATTATTTATTTTACATGATTTTTTACCATTTCTGGAGCACTGTCGACTTCCATGCCATCATTACTTTCAGCATCTTCTACCCTTTGCCACGTTTCTACAGGCTTCTCCATCAAGGTCTCTTTCAACAGGTGTCTCAGTCTCTCCCATAGTACTTCTTTTTGTTTTCTTGACAATTCTTGAAGTAATTCATTCAGATTGAAAGGATCAAATGTATCTTTCTGCAGTCAGAAGATAACACACCACTCCACATCAGAGTTAAGACGTGTTTTTCTTTTTTTTTTTTCCCCCCCAAAACTAACACTTTTCTTGACATAAAGGATTACTTTCCATGCCTTTACAGTTATAGATAAAACACCTTCTACAAGTTTTATTTCTTTAAATATAGCATGAGAAATTCCTGACACCCTTTATTGTTAAACAAGGGTGGTTTTTAAAAGACTTTAGACCTCAGTGACAACATTGCTAGTGATGTCCCTACAACATCAAATTTTTTCTTGTGTTCCGGATGCTACTTTCCTAATGGAAACAATTCCACATCCTCATCTAAGAAGCATGGAATTAAATTCCCTGATTGTAGCTTTACTGTGTTAAACACAAACTGATGATGGCAGATGATGGCATTGGTCACCTCATCACTCTTCTTTAGCCTTGTGTACCCAGTCTGGGAAGAGGAGGCATTTCTGCTGAGCTACTGGACTCTTCAGACAGAGCCTCCTCTATCATACCTATAACTTCTAGCAACATCTTCAAATGCATTTTCAGTTGTAATCTTGTGTATAAAGAATCATTCCTAAGTTGTCACGTATAACTGAAACTACAGTTCTGAGAGGAAAGGTGGTGCAATCTACTGGTGTTGTGATAGTTGAATCATTTAAATGCTTAAAGAATCTGCTTTGATTAATAAGGAGTATCCATTGTACTAGGAGACTGATCTGAACCATTTGATCAGAAGAATTACCTCAGGTAGGAAAAGGGAAAATTTCCATGATCTTGAAATAAAAATATTTTTAGTTTGAGAATGCGTTAAAAAAGACTTGGGAAAAAAAAGTTGAAGGGTAAAATACTGAAAGAAGATGCAGTAAGTATTAGGAGGTTCCCTAAGGCTAGGAGAAGAAAGATCCTGTTACATATTTATGGCAGTCTTTCTATTCTATTCTACAGCTGGAAACAAATACAATAAAGCAAAGGCTGCACAGGGAGTTCTGCAGCTCTCTACTTCAAACAAACCCAGAAGACAGGATATTAAGATTGTAGTGTTTTGAACAAAAGAACAGGCTCGTAATAAGACTAGAGCTTTCTGATCTTTCTCTGGGATGATATGATGGAATTATTCCAAAACCTATGAGGAGAAGGATGCCACTGAATGATAGTCGTATCTGTAATTCATATTCTCCTCTCTAAGAAGTGTTTTCTTGAATTAGAACAGGATTTAGTGGAAAAATTTAACAGTGCCTGATAGAGACAATGATAAATAACACAATAATATAGAAGTGTAATCTTTAAAAAAAAAAGAAAAGTGAAAAGCCCAAGGCAAATCACAGAGAGAGCAGCAAAACCCCAGAGTTTTAGAACTGAATGAAACAAAGCAAGGAGAGAATGGAAAAAGAAAATTAAAGCAGGAGAAGGAGAAGAATAGGAGGAACAGTACATTGTGATTGAAGTTTAGTGGCAAAGACCACAATGTAAATAATTATGCAGTATCATATAGAAGAGTGAGATTTCACTGGATCTTTTTCTCCTCCTGCTCTTTACCACACTGTATGTACAGACTGCATTTTATCACATCTCCATAACACTCAGTGACAGAATTACCAAGTACAATTACTCAAGGACAAAAGAAAAAGTGGGCAACCAAATCTATCAAATGAACAAATGCTGCTGAAGTGTACTTCTGCTCATGTTCACCACTATGTGCTATCACAATGTGCGAACACAGTTTAAAAATAAAATAATCGACATCAGCAGCAAATGACTATTTCTTTTCTTTGCTATTGCTACAGTATTTGATCATTATTTTAAAAAGGAAAAACGTGTATGCAACAACCAAATGTTAGAAAAATCAGCCTGTCCACAGCATCGAGTCATTTCAGATCTCACACCTGTATCAGCTATGATTCACTTGCAGGTGCCAGAGAAGCAACTTCTATGCCATGTATCCCATGCACCAATGGGCTTTAGACTTTATTATTCATACACACAAGTATCATGGCTTACTTACAGAAATTTGAGTAAAACGCAAGAAGTCCTCAATTGACTTTTTAGACACAGCTTGTAAAAATGCTTCACGTTTCATTGTGGTCTTGTTTATCCTTGCTACATAAACAAAAAATAAACAATAAAAGTATATTTTACATACATATAAATTATAGAATGGCTTGGGTTGGAAAGGACCCCAAGGATCATCAAGCTCCAAACCCCTGATGCAGGCAGGGCCACCAACCTCCATATCTAATACTAGACCAGGCTGCCCAGGGCCCCATCCAACCTGGTGTTGAACACCGCCAGGGATGGAGCATGCTAGAGATTGGAATGTTAGAGAAAAGCACCATATCTCAAAGCGTTACCATTTCATGGTTGCAGTGAATAACTGTGAACATACATTCTTTATCCACACAGTTATATGGAATCACAAAATCATTAAGGTTGGAAATACCACTAAGATAATCCAGTCTGACCATCAATCCACCCCCACCATATCACTGGCCACATCCCTCAGTGCCACATCTCCACGGTTCTGTAAAAACCTGCAGGCATGGTGATTGCACCTGGGCAGCCTGTGCCACTGCCCAAGTGCTCTTTTAGAGAAGTTTTTTCCAAACACCCAACCTGACCCACCTCTGGCACAACTTATGGCCATTACCTGTTGACCTATCACTGTTACCTGTGAGCAGATGCTGTCCCCAGCTCAGCACAACCTCCTTTCAGGCAGTTGTTGAGAGCGATATGGTTCCCCTCAGCCTCCTCCATATAAAAGATGCCCTCCCCAGTGCATTAGTTACCCAACTCAACATACAGACTCACAGCTGCACTGGGCCACACTGCTCAAATGTGCACGTTTTTTTTTTTTAATTAAACAAGGCCTGAAAGCTTAGAAGAGCATTGCAGCTGACAATTTCACCTTAAACAAGGATAGCATTACCAGCACAAGCACCCTATTGATCCAGCCACCATTCCAGACAGAAGCATTTCCTCCCACAAAAAGCAGCAAAACACTGATCCCTTTTCCTCCTGTCAAGCGAGGACGAGGGGCAATCAAGCCACTTTTTGGCGCTAAGTGCTTCATCACTGCACGTCACCCATCTGCCATTCCCAGTTCCTCTGGGCGGGACTCCGCGTCCCTCAGCCTCCGCTCCACAGGAGCCGCAGCTCCTGGCCGTGCCCGACGCGGGGAGGCACACAGGCCACTTACCTAACGCTTCCACAGAAAGAAATCTTCATAGACCCAGGGGTCGCGTTCCCAAACACGCCCGCCTACCCGCACAAGAGCCCTCCCTCCCTCTCGCTGAGCCCCGCGCCGCGCCGCGCCGCGCCGCCGGGTTCGAATCGTCCCGCGGCGGCCGTTGGGCGCGAGCGGCGCCGAGCTCTCGTCTCGCGAGATCTTAGAGCCTACCCCATCGCGGGGCGGGCGGAGGATGCTGGCGCGCTGCGGCTAACGGAGCTGTAGGTAGGGGGGGCCGTGCGGGCGGGAGCGCGCTGCTATGCAGCGCAGGTGCCGTAGATAAGTACTAAAAAGTTAGATAGGTAAATAAAAGGCGTTTTCACCTTTTTGCGTGTGTCTACATGGAGCTGTGGCCACCACACCCACTGACCACGTCTCTCAGTGTCACATCTCCGCCGTTGTGGAAGAGCTGCAGGGCTGGTGAACGCACCGCCTCCTTGCAGCCCGCGCGGCTGCCCGACTGCTCTTGTAGAGAAGTTTTGCCGAACGTCCAGCCTGAGCTTCCCGTTGCACAACTGAAGGCCGTTACCTCTCACCCTGTCACTGTTAAACCGAGAGAAGACACTGTTTCAGTGTGCAAATAAGCAAAAAACGGACAGTTTCCACGTAAATGCTGACATCTGGCAGGACTTTTCTGGATTGTGATTTTTTAAAAACGCGATCTGATCCAGATTCCATTCAATGTTATGTGCAAAAAATCACTTTTAAAAAGCTGTATTTGTGTTTGCAAACATCCCTGCCTCACAGCTTTTGTTCATGCTTACAGGTTGTAACATTTCATGTCATACAGTCAATTTACTGACTTATCCTATTACATCTTTAAGCTTTTGAGCAAACTATGTGTCTTTATATAGTTTTAAGGCAAAAAAAATAAAGTAGTAGTTTATTATATGCTTGTCCCATATGATCAATGCTATTTTGTATAGGTTTAAGATGTAACAGATGACTAACATTACTGAAAGCAAAGATAAAATATGGTTTTATTTCCTGAATCAACAGCCAAGTGCATGTACAACTTTTGGAGTAACTTGGGTTTAAAACAAGTATTTGCCAGATGGAGATTAAACACCCATTGGGGAATAAGTGACATTAATTACAGTATGGATATGATCATGGAATCAGATTTACCCTAGGAAGGGACAGTATGCCAGAAGGTGTTAGCAGCCAAAAAACTCATCTTCTTGACCAACAAAAATAATGAGTTATCCGCACACAGACTGTTCAGTGCCACTCTTCAGCTCTGCCTGAACCCAAAGAAGCACATACCTCCTCAAAGCATTTTGCACGAAGGCAAAGTCTCCTCATCTTTGAAGCGCGTAAAAGTCCACCCAGCAAATGCCAACATCAACCACCCTGCATCCAGAGGAAGGGTCCCAGGAGAGGCAGATCTCTGCCCAGGCCTAATCCCCAGCAGCAGGGGACAGCAGCTGTTGGCTTCCAGAGTAAAAATACCAGAAGAAGGGAAATTTTCCTGCTCTGCAGAAAAGGATCAGGCATTAGGCTTGCTGCAGGTCCTATGGTCCTGACTGTTTCTTAAGGTTCTTCTTGCACTTATTCAGCTAAGTGTAACAGGCCTGTGAAGCAATTTGCTTGAAGTAAGTTGTATGAGCAATTATCATACTTGTTGAGGAGCAAAAGTAAATTAAAAAGTATGAAAACTGACATTTATGCATTGTGCTAAAGTCGAATTTTTTGCATATATTAAGAATCTTTGACATTTTAGATACAAACTGATGGATTTGTTTATCATGTGTGGACTGAACATTTCATTAATACCTTGATTAGGCTTTAATTAGGTGCTGCATTAGTCACCTGGTTACAGTTTATTTAGTCGGGCACCTATCCATTTAGCATATGAATGACAACATATTCTAGCAAACAATTTGTGTTGCATAGCAACCACAGAATGATTTTTTTCTTGGTCTTGAAACTAAAAGTTGATACAGGTAACAACAGGCTGGGTAACAATGATTCATTTTAAAGAGCCACACCTAAAAGCACAGATGCAGAATAGGGTTGTGTTGGATTTTTCAAGGATTGTGCTCGAGCTGTGAGCTGGTAATGAAGCTACAGCCCCATTTTCAGTTTCTCTAATGTTCTCCCTTTCATGAGTACCAAATTACATACCTCTTTTTGACATGTCTGTTCATCTGCTCAAAATAATCTATACCCTTTGATAATAATCTTATATTTATTATCACTTTCCTGTCAAGTCAAGTTAAGGCAAAAATGAAAAATAGGCCTTCCACACATGGTTGCTGAGCAACAGCAAATAAAGATTTGCTTTTGTGCTATCGCTTCATAAACTGGTCTTTATTCTTGTTGGTAACCTGTGTAAGAGATCTCAATTGCGGATGCCTCTCAGGAGAATATCACCATTTGGACTTCACAAATATTCTGTTTTAACCTGTATGTGACAACATTATAAATGCTTGTGAAGAAGCAAGCGAGTAATTCCCTGAGTGTCAGATGCTTTCTTGACATTCAGATTATTCTTTTTCTTTTTTTAATTTACAGTGTTATTTTCTAGATAATAACTTCCGATGATATTATTGTACAAATTATCTGCTCACCTATTAGAATTGTTACTATTTTTCATTGAACATGTAATACAATACAGATAATACAGAATCTGTGAATCTGCTCATCCATGAGGTGCGCTGTTAATCATTTACATGCCTTCGTTGCCCTTATCTTTTTGTTTTCCATACTTTGATAAATAATCAGAACAGCACGGGAGAGAGCTGTAGTTTCTGAAATGCTATAGAATGTCCTCAGAAAGAAACTATTTTTGACAATATTTGCATGGCTAAATTCATTCCACTGTAAATATAAGAAGCATTACTTTTCATGGTAACTACACCATTTTATGGCACAAATTCACAAACATCTTTCAGATTATTATATATCGATGAGTACATTTACATTTATCTGTCATTTATTTCAGATGTTCCATTCCATTTCCATCTGCTGTTGCCTAGATTACTTTCACCCTCCTAAATGGAACATCCTGAGTTGTTAGAGACCAGCAGCTCTGGTAACACTCCTCTATATGGATAAAGAGAAGTCTATATGGATAGTCTATATGGATATTAGCATTATATATATCATTAGTCTATATGGATAAAGAGAAGAACTGTTTCTGTCGTACAAAAATACTGTTATTGTTGATTTTGTTAAAGCTTTTTTAGGTTTCAGTGTGACAGAGAGGCATCATCAAGATATGCGATTAATTTGATGTGAGATTATCAGGTGGAACATCTGTCCACTAGAAAACTTGAATACGTTGTGTAAATATTGGGCCAGGCATGATTTACTTGTTCATATTTGTTTTTATATGTGTGTGGATATCTATCTATCTATCTATCTACACAGCATACTAATTGGTTGCAGAACATAGCAGCGTTTATTTGCCTCTCACATCGCTGTTGGCTTTGTTAAGCCTGTGACAAGAGTGTTCCCCGTGTTCCTGATCTGGATCAGGAGCCTAACCAAAGCCCATTGCACTGTTCTTACAGGCCGTCTGTCCAGTTTCCTTCACAGGGAAACAAGTAGGAAATGGAGGGGTCTGTACTGCTTGCTCAGGGCTCTCCCAGTCTGTGGGGATATGGCTGGAGCACTCAGAAGTGCTTACAAGCTCACTTGTTTGGATGCACCTGTCTGTTATTCCTGTTCTGTGCATCAAACAGATTTAGTATCACAAGACCTCCTGCCAGTGTCATTGGGCGTATTTTATGATCGTGTCCTTAAACAATAGTCGTTTTGTAAGATACATTTTTCTATTAGAATTTAGTCTTTGCCAACTTTTCCCATGTTTATTGTACTGCTGCATGATGGAGTTTCTAGCCTCATTCTTCAACCGTTAGAAATAAATGGCTAAAGCTTGATAATGTTTCAAGTGTGATGGTCAGGGACTTTTCCCATGTTTTAAACTGTAATTTGACTTCTGTCTCCTCTGACTGGTTTCAAGTTTTTGCACTCAAATCCCATGATGGAACTCAATTCTTTAAGTATCATCTGTGATCCAGAGCTAAGAGGGAGAGCAGAGCACATGGCAAATATGCCCTTTGTTTACTGCTTTTAAACTACGATGACTTCAGGCTCCACTCCCAAGGATGCCCAGGATCCAGGCCCCTTGACTACTGTGCAAGAAATGAACAGGCAGCAAAGACTTTTCAAAATAGGGTCTGCAATGCCATCTAGAGGAATATAACAGTGTTTTCAGGAGAAAAAAAACATGCACCATGTCCATAAATCCAAAACTTTAGTCTTGTTGTGAAAGATCAAAAAAGCAAAGCTAAAATCCTTTGTAAGAAAACTGCATGTTAAAAAAATAAGCATTTCTTGTATTTCCAATAAAAAACACACACTAGAAAGTGTGCTAAATACAGTGAAAGCTATGACCCAGAACAAAGTTGCACAAAATTCAGCAAGCGCCTCAGCAGTTCCAGTTCGAAAACACAGCGAGGTGCTGACATGAACTAAACTTCCAAAGACCAAATGGGGATCATGCAAAATACTTTGAATATTGGCAGAAGTATTTCTCCTATGTTGAGGGATGCAAAGAACTGTCTTGAAGAGTATTTAATTATTAAACTGTGTGAAGTGCTTGGTAAGCTTCCTTTGTCAATTTGTGAGGATCAATAGAATAACACATTAGTTTGCAAATCCACTGGAAGAATAAAAAATTCTCATTTGAAATTCAGTGCTGGAAATGACTACTATTAAATCTGAGCACCTGTTTTTGTTCTAGGGATCCTGCCTCAGCCATCCCGTGGGATTAATGACCTTCATTCAGTACCTGTGGCAAAGCTGTTGCTTTGCCAGCATTATCTGTGTTACAGCTGAAACTCTGTGCATAATATTTGTAATTACTAATTTTTTCGACCCTCACTTATCAAAGCTTGCAACCTTTCCCTTTTTTTCTTTTCTTTTTTCTTTTTTTTTTGTTTTTTTTTTTGTTTGTTTGTTTGTTTTTTTGTGCTCAGAGTTGCTACATGCTCAGCTGCAAAAACCTGGGGGCAGGCAGCGAAATACCCATGAAGACCTGCTGCAGAGGCCCAGGAATGCATTTACTGATCTTTACATTAAAAGTGTATTGAAGAGTCACAGAATAATTCAGGTTGGAAGGGACCTCTGCAGGTTATCTAGCTGTGACGTCTGCTTAAACACAACACAACAACACAAGTTGTCCCAGTTACTCAGCAGATTCTCAGCACATACCTGATGAATGAAATTGGGACAGTCAGGTTACCGGAATGTCACAGCTTTCTTCTGATGGTCACTGCTTGCATACCATCTCTGGGGGCTGTTGGATGATCAGGAGTGCATCCCATTGTCCCCAGGCAGGAGCCACCCCTGGACATGGGCACATGCAGCCCCATTGTGAAAAGATCACAACTAGCGTTGTGTGTCCTTGTGTCTACTTCCATATGGAATTAAAAGGGTGGCAGGTAGGCCTCACAGTGAAGTTTATGGCTAGTGAGGACACAGAGGAACACGGGGGAAGACATGCTGGTTTCACTTCAGTTGCAACTGAAGAAACAGATCTGCAGCATTCTGCTCAAATTGGATCCACCGTAGGTGACTGGCAAGCAGTTTTCCCTGCAGATGGTGAGAACAGAGAGCATCGCCTCTATCACATGAATACAGATTAGAGAACTTTACTCCCAGAGCTGCTGTCTAATCTGGCAGCTAAACTCACTGCCTAACACTGAAAGAAATAAAAGTGAATTTCTTACTGTAGTTGCTTTGCAGTTTTCAAATAATGTATTTCAGAAGTTGGCAGAGAATAGTGGCAGCCCAACTGTAACCCTTAGAAATTAGCAGAAGAGCATACAATGATTAGACACTTCATTAACCTGTATAAAAGCATTAAAAAAGCATGTTATTAACTCAAATCTTTCAGAGGTCAGCTACAGCCACAAATGGATCTGGGAACCACCTTAAGTTTTGGTTCTTTCTACCAAATACCGAAATTACGATCAGAGTTTGTCTAGAGGAGAATATAGGTAACTAAAATAATTAAAGCATAGGAAACTAATTTTGGATTCAGCTCTTAGCTGTGAAAACACCTCAAACAACTCTACTGGTAACCATATAGGCAAAACTGCTCTAAGATACAAACTGGTATGGTCCAAAACAGATTAAACACAGCAGGAAATTCTAAGAAGTCTAGTCTTGGCTGAGCCTGTCAAATTAACAACTAAATCCATCTGGAATGTCATATGTAATCATTTCTGCTCTCTGATAAATCTTGTGAATGCATTCTCTCCAAGTGCAGACCCACTGGCCACCTGAAGGGAAGGTTTGTTTTGGATCCCAATCTGGAACATGGAGATACCTGAACAGCACTGGGGCTGACTGGAGGTTTGCCAGCCAGGCACACCTTCTTGTTACGGAGTTATGAACATGAGCATGGTTTTACTCAGCATTTGCTGTCTTTCCAGTAATAAGCAGAAGCCATTTATTCCGCTAAAAAGGAAGATATCTTCTGTAAAAGAAAACCAAACAAAACTGAAAAAAGATCCTGTAATTTTATAGTTAGTATCAATGAAGTGTCCTTTCAAAATACAACACCGACCAGGTAATGAACTCCTGCAGCTTTTCTCTACAGATGATGACAACTTAATACTAAGAATTCAGACACTTTTCAGCTGTTTAAGGAAAAAGGCTTTTATTACAATTACTTAATACAAACATTTTTCTGCAACAGATAGATGAGCCGATGGCACTTCTCTACTTTATCAAGTACATAGCTGTATTTTCTTCTAATATGTGCATTTCCAAGCAGGTGGAATGAAAGAATGCCATGTAGAAATTTGATGGTTCCAAATCCGAGGCAATTACATGCAATTCCAGGTCCTTTTGAAAGCATATTTCATGACATTCATTAGGAAGTAGTAAAATTCTGAGAATTTGATTAATTGATCATTTTATGAGGAAAAAAAAAGCAACACTTAAACTGAGCTTAATTCTTATGTGTGAACTGCTGCTCTTGGACCAAGGCAATCCCAGATATGTGTACAGAATGGGAGAACTCATTGAGAGTGGCTCTGAGAAGGAACTGGGAGGTCCTGATGGATGAAAGGCTGGATGTGAGTCAGCAGTGTGTGCTTGCAGCCCTGAAGACGAACAGTATCCTGGGCTGCATTACCAGAGGGGTGGCAGCAGGGAGAGGGAGGGGACTGTTCCTCTCTGCTCTGCCCTTATGAGGCCCCAGTACTGTTTCCAGGCCTGGGGTCTCCAGCACAATAAAAATGTGTAGCTGTTGGATAGGGCTACAAAGACGTAAGAGGGCTGGAACCCCTCTCATATGAGGAGAGACTGAGGGAGCCGGGCTTGTTTAACTTGGAGAAGGCTCCGGGGAGACCTTCCAGTACTTGAGGGGAGCTTATGAGAAGGAGGGAGAAAGGTTTTTTACACATTCGACAGTGGTAGGATGGAGGCGGGTGCTAGCTTTAAGCTAAAAGAGTGGAGATTTAGCATAGGTGTTACCAGTTACAATTCTTTCCTCAGCGTGCTGTGAGGCACTGGAACAGACTGCCCAGACAAGCTGTGGATGCCCCATCCCTGGCCTGCTCTGGGCAGGCAGACTGGGGGAGCAGCAACCTGCCCACCGCACTGGGCTGGTCCATTCCAACCCAAACCATTTTATGGTTCTATGATTCTGCACTTCTCAGTTCATTTTCTCTGATGTAAAATTCAACAATCTGCCCCCAGAGCAAGGCTACCTAGATTAGAGTGGTTGGTATATATAACTATATTTAAGAGCATAAGAAGCTCTTGTAACATTGCAAATAGGACAGGAATATGAAAATAAATGAGTGCGCATGTGTGTAGAGGGAAACAACACACTGACTTCCATATGAACCATTTATTGAATAAATACATGCATCATAATGTAGAATTACATGAGCAAAAAAGGCAATCCGTACAAAATTAATTACCCTTTGTTCTCATTCAACTCTCACCATTAGCTGCAGCTCTGATAAAGAATTCAAGACAAAATTAAAATTCTTTTATTCCAAACTCATGTGATATGCATGCTGATTTGAGTTTGGGCTATGCCACCGTGGTAAAAGAGAGCTGGTTTTCTCATCAGTGAAGCAGTTATTCTAAAAACAGTTTCAGCAGTAGAGAACATGTTGGTACATACAGGTAACAAAGCTCAGTTTTAGCCACTTCTTAAACTTCTTCATACGTTCATATTTTAAGGCACAGAATAAACAAGAACTACGTGAACAGAGATCAGTTGATATTAAACACATTGACTTGATAATGAGGTGCAATATCCGTCCAGAGGAAAAGTGCTTGTCCTTTCTTCTTCCACACAAACAGAACACTTAGAACTTTGTAACTATGATACAGAGGTTTGATTCCATTATCTAGAACAGCCAGTTACATTCTGATCCAAATTCACAGGGGAGAACTCTTCTAAATAAAGATCATCCACAAATGATTACTGTCAACTGAAAATACTGTTGTTGAATTACCAAAAAAAAATAAAAATCTATCCATTTAAGATTGTTAATTAGGAACTGCACTTCTCTTGAGATCCTATTCCTAACGTGGGGTCCCGAGCTATTTTGAAAACCTATTCTACATAATTTATCCACGTCTTCACTCTGTGATATCACCTTGCATTTACCCAAACACTGCATCTTTTCCTCTGGAGACTTCAGAAGACAAAATACACACTCTTTTTTGTTTAAGTGCAGAAACATCTAACATCTGTCCTCACAGCTCACTTATACCTTGAAACACCAAATCAGTCTAATGACTTATTTGTAGGCTAGGGATGAAACCGGTGAGTCGTTGGCCAAGATGCAGAACCAAAGTCCGTCCACCTCTGGCTGAACCAAGGCAAAGACAGCTGTGCTGAACGACTGCATGTGCATCTCTTAGTTACAGCAGCTTTCACTTCTCTGCATTTCAACAGCATTAACAATCATTCTCTGTCTTTCCATTCCCAACATTTTAATGGAGAACTAGCAAAGAGAATCTAATATGAACAGATGAGTGTATACACATATAGAGACACTCATACATTGTGATATAGAGTGAAGCCTTCAAAAAGAAATGTTTTCTTACAATCAGGCTTGTTTACTAAAATTGTCTTATTCGAACTGTGACAATACAAAGGCCATCACTGTATAGAGATGTATGTATGTCATCTGACAAATGTTCTACCAAACCAAATTCAGACAAACTGAAATGAGTCAAATTCTTAAACTGGAAAATGACAAAAAGCTACATCTATGGTAGGCACTTTGGTACATCTAGTCATGTAGGCATATTCTACATCTAGAATTAAGGTTCTGTCAGTACTTTTACAATAAAGCTAATTTCAGGAGTTTATTATTCTGCTTTAAAATTCTTTCTTGGCTGAGAGATCATTCTAGAATCTTAAACTAAACAACATACTTTGTCTGTCTACTTGCATACTCATCCAAGAAGGAGGCTGCTGGCTCTGAAGGAGCCAAACTGTTCTCTTGGATTCATAATGCACTTTTTTTTTTTAATATAACAGTCAAGAAAACTAGTTCTGGTTACAAAAAAGTTCCCCTTAATTCATAAAACTAGAGCAGTGAGCTCAGCTCTTGAGGCTGATGCTCTTCCTTCAACTCCCAATGTCTACTTTCATCAGGTTGTGCTAGCCGTGTCACTGCTGCTCTTGCACAGACTGTGGCAATGCTTCAGCACCATGCCATGATTTCTCAAGAAAGCTGTGTGGACCACTCCATGCACCAAGCACAGTAAGTAGCAGTGAGGCAACTGTAAAGACAGTTTCAATTCACTTTCACACTTCCTTACATACTGGTGTTCCACTGTAGTATTAGAGAAGGTACAGCATAATAACTATTTAGCACAGCACTGTATAATAAAAATAACATGTTTTGTACATATGCCCACTATATGAACTTACAATGCAAGCTGATTTGTATACCTTATCAGAGAAACAAGGCAGCAAGGACAGTTCTGAACAGCTAGAGATTCTGTTTGTAATACAGACAAAGCCCTGTTCTCATGTCTGCAGAGTGTCTAGTACTGTAGAGTGCAGGAATAAATAACAAAACCCAATGAACCTGTATAATAAAACTCCACAGTTTGTAATGTTTAGTGCATTACATGAAAGCTCAAATTTATAAACTGATTCATGGACCTCTTTTTATACAATATTTATAGAATTTTCCTTTTTCTTTATAATATTCTATAGCATGATTTTTGAATAATACATTTATATATAAATATTAAAATGTTAATGTTTTGTACATTTTAAGTTTGCCACGCCGGGCCAGAAGCATGATAAAGTAAAAACGTTTTTCTGCACTTTGTTTTTGAAGACTATCACAAAATGATAAACATTAAGACCATTGTGCTGCAAAGACAAAAGAGATTCATTTGAAGAAATTAACATGCATTTACAAGAAAATATCTATATCCTTTATCCAATTTTCTTCTCAATTCAAACCAGCATGAAAGAATTATAAAAAAATAGTATATATTTACATAGTACAGTATATCTTGGTGAGATATAAAACAAGGCAGGAAAACAGCAGAACATCTTTTCACTTTCTAATTGGTATAACTGCCATAAAGACCAATTTAAACACAAAGGTTACATTACTGTATTATTGCACATGACAGTAACACGTAAAATTGTGGAGCAAATTAAAATGCAAAGTTTAACAGTGAGAAAGGATATGTCTACATAAAATGGCCGAGCGTTATAAAATTATTGGGGATGTGTCTAACAACTAAATTGGTAAAGCTATAAAAATAATATTGGTACATCTGTGAGAACAATGCTTTAAAAATATATAAAGGTTGGCAAAAGGAGGTGTGGGGAATTGCCAGCATCCATGGGCCTAGCTCACGCCATGTGGTCTTGTACCATCTTCTGTTAAATCATACCTTAAATTAAAAAAAAGGCAAACTTTAAAAAAAAAAAAGTATGCTATTAACACTATTGTTAACACACCAGTTATTGGTAGGTAATATTATTAATAAGGGAAATGTTACACTTACCACTGGGTCCAGCCTTTAGCAAGTTCTTCAGATGCCAGAGGTATCAGTACCTATGGAAAGTTAAATTCATGCTTAATGCATTCTGTCTTTCATTCTGTTTAGTTTTTTAAAGACTAAATTTGAAAATCCTCAATAGTGCAGTACAAGTAATGCCATTAACAAACAAGATATTTTACTATTTACATACCTTCCATCATAGATCTACCTATCAACTGTAGCCTTGTAGCGAGGTCTGAAATTGCTGGCTTTGACCTAAAAATCTGCACCCTTAAGTAAAAACTTCTGAACCAGGCATACAGCAATCAGATGATGTATTTATGCCAACAGTCTTCCTTGTACAATGAAAAATTTAAGGATACCACTCACCACAAACTGACCACAATTCTGATCTATCTTATCCTCTTCACAAAACTTGATTACAGCAATCTGCGTGGCTGTAAGAACCTCCTATTTCTTTTTGGATGCTCAAATCAAATGTGTAGGAAAGAGAGTGATTTAATGAGAGCCTACAGAACGCAAGGCAAAAACACAACAGCTGGTTTTGGTATTGGGAAAGTCTCCAGTAGCAGTTCTTTTTCATGGATTTCACAATCTAGAGTATTAATTACTAAAGCTAAATGTGTTGTGTGCTTCTAGACAACGTGTAATCTTGCTTGTCTTTCTTGTTTGATATAAAGCAAAAGCTATCCTCTCACCGCTACTGCAAATAACATGTCAGAGCCACCTGTTCAAGACTACCAATTTTGTCAGACCATTTTCTGAGATATCCCTAGTTTTCTACTGGTTATTTCCTTTCTCTGGTTCTATAATTACTACATCAGACATGCAGGGTTTTTTTTTTGTAACTGCCAGCCTCAAAACTCACCATTCTTTAAAAGATGACCACCCCGCTGTCTGATACCTGTCCTCTCATCCTCTGCAATTTATTCCTTCCCTTCTTGAAGTCTGACATCTAAGCCATTTTTAAAAGCTTACTACCTGAATCGAGTCAGTCAGTCAACACTAACAAACTCATATCACAAGAGGACTTTAGTCTCTATATAACAACATACTGTATGAAAGGAATTTATTTTTAACTTACTTTGCCAAGAAGCCCTTTGTCTTTGGACAAGAAACCACCGCTGTTCTTCACTGCTACATCGAGTGTTCTTCTCTGTACTTCAGGCAGGGAAACACTGAAATCAAATCTGACAGGCAAGTGATGTTTTAGAGAGAATTTCATAGCTTAAGTGCGAATTCAGATCCTAAAGCTAAACAACAATTCAGATGAAAATCAAATCATCTCCTTTGGCAAACTACAGAAAAAGGAAAAAAGCTTGGAGATAAACGAGATTTTAAAAATCCCAAAGTTCTGCCAAAATACTTTCCTCTATACTATGATCATTATCAATACTCAGCATCAACACCAGATATTAGAGACTTCTGTCCAGCAGTAAAAACAAGTAAAGAAAGCAAAGGCATCCTGATATCTTGACAGCTCAGCACCAGAAAAGAGAACAAAAACTAATTGGTCTTGATTCTCATTCCTCTAGAGCTTGTTTTCACACTAAAGAAACCTACTAACTTTTAAGAGACAATGAAACTTATGAAGAATTAGTACTTGACTGTACCACAATCAACATCTGTTTGTCACTACAGCTCTTAAACAGCTTTGTGGTTTTCCAATATCCTTTACCTCAAAGGGCACAGTAAAAGCAACCTGGAATAAATAGGAGTGAATTGCACTACCAGCTACACCTGCCAGAGCCTCCAGCTGACCATCTGCCCAACTAGAGCACACTGCTTCTTAGCTACCAGCACAAACAGCGTGTAACAGACATGGCATAAGGCAGAAGAGAGAAAGGGCTGGTAACAGAGTGAGCAGGGCTACAGGCAGAACAGGGAATGGGAGGATGGGAAGAGCTGTTACAACTGAAGAACGAGGTATGACCAAATCTGCTGGTGACAACTGGGAGGTCCAACAGCACACATTTAGGTAAGTAGAGAAGTCTTGGTTTGTGAGCTTTATGATTAGATGACCTGAAACTACCACACACAATTTAGAACATACATTTGATCAAACACTGGGTTTAATGTCTTCTTTGATACATGTGTTTTTCTTCTTCCCGATCTTCTCTTATCAGGCAGTAAATACATTCGAACATATGGATCAGATCCTTCTTCTGAAAATGCAATTAGATTTCTGTGACAAGTGAAAAACAAGGAAAAATGCTTTAGAAAATAAATGAAACACCGCTAAATATATCTACATCACTGTCTCTTCATTTGGCACTTTTTACTTAACCTTCTTTTCATCACCACATACATATTTTTGGTGTTTCTCATGCATCAAGTCCAAATTTGCCGGAAAAAAAAAAAATCTCTAGAAATAAAGCACATAAATCATTTGTGGAACATCCTGCACATAGTATGGGCAGGATGGTTACAACCTGATATGTAGAACAGTGAAAAAAAAAACACCTGAAAAATACCAAGCAGTAACTTGTACAAAATCAGAAAAACTGCAGGCAGAGAGCAGAGCTGAGAACACAGTGTTTCTTAAATTACAATTCAGTGTGTAGGGATGGCTTTCCAAAAATCACGTGATTTTTGTTATTCTATGAAAAACTCGAGGCTCTTCACACAGCTTCTAGATACTACCAATAGAAATTTACACACCATCTGAAACTACAATCAGATGCAGGCAAATAAAAAAATCACAGCAAAGTCTTCAACAAAGTTTTTACTGCTCTCTGTATGACTTAGTATATTCACAATTACAGCCAGCATGTAATTTTGAAAGCAACAAAGACGGTCCACACAATCAACTTCAGAGAGTTAGTCAAGCTGTGCTAATGTTTACAAAGAAACATGCACAGAAATAAAGTTTGGTCTCTGATGCTCACCTGCAGGAATGCACCACCACGATCAATTTGTTTCTTTGTGAACTATGACGAATTGTTAGCTGTACCTGTCCTAACGGAGACTGCCCCAGAGTTGTTCCACTGTGGGGGAAAAAGCAGAACAAAAGCTCAGTTCTGAAAAAGCACGTTTACAGTAAGATCCAACTGAAGTACATAATGAGGAATATTTATCCATTTCCATTTCTGCTTTATCAATGTGAAAGAAGAGAGCGCACAAAAGTGAGCATTGTGAGTGTATCATTATGCTTGTAGTTTAGGTCTTTGTCCAACAGCTCCATTCATCAAAAGAAACAGCTTGAATTCCTGTCAACTACAGGAAAAGAGAAAAAACAACTTAGATGCAAAAACAACGAATTAATATCATACTTTTCAAGTTGCCGTAGTCTTTGCCGGAGCTCCTGTGTGGCAATGGGCAGAGATATGTCTGAGGCTATGCTAGGAGTTGGTTCTTTGACTGAGAGATGGCTGGGAGAATAATTGAAGTTAGAGGCATGAAGACTAGAGGAACTTCGGCTGAGATCTGTTGGCCATTGTGGGCTCGCATTAGGAGGATGGCTCTTTTCAGCCACATCAGCCTTTTTATCACCGTCTGTCGCTGGGGAAGCTGGAGCATGTTTGCTTGAGTCGAGCGGTGGTGAGACAGGAACCTGAGGCTTAAAAGATGATTTTCTTGCATCTTTGGAAACAGACGGCCTTTTCACTTGTGCTGAGTGTTGATGATCTGGAGATCTTGCTTGCTTTTCAAGAGAAAGGACCTAGATATAGTAAAAAGATGTACAATGTTAAAATACTACAAAAAAGAGGAACATGTTTGTTTCTTCAAGAGTACTACTGACAAGGTGTTCACTTAAGATAGTAAACCAGGACAAAAAATGCTACCTCTAACTCTACAATAGACATTGTGACACAATCTATCTACTATCTACCTCATAAGGCTAGAATACCAGAAGTCATATTAGTTGTAAACACGCTTAAATATTCACAGTTTGAAAAAATTTAAGAGTACCCTGAGTGCAATCTTCATGTTTATAGTGCTGTTTGGACCAGAGTTGCTCAACTGGAACCGCTGATGCATCGTCAAATCTTCACTCTCCAGCAACTGGCTTAGAGGCAGTTTGAAGTTCCCTAGAGAACATTGGTGCTGTTCATCCCTCACCTGAAGGAATACAGAAGCTCAGTAACATGGCACCATGTAATTGGAAATATTCAGAGAAAGGAAACAACAGTTTTATTTAAAAACAAAAGCAGTAATGCATGCAGAACACAGTTCTTCAGCCAAGTTTTCCTGATCATAAATTTACACTGAAGAAGACAATAGCAAATATGCTCCACACCTATTACACTTCCATCTTCCACAGCAAAAGCAAGACAGAAGATTAACCATCAGATCTACATCTAATTGATCCCTGATCTGTGGTTTCCAAATGATCTGTGCAAAATGAATTCCAAGAATTGTTAGAGGAAGGATGCAAATGGCACGTTGACAGCAAAAGGGACATTTGGATAAAGCGAAGACTTCCTCAGTATAAGAAAAGAAATAAATCAACCATACATAACAGCATTTCTGTTTGTAATTGAGAAGACTGTTAAGATTCAAAACAGACAGCAAAATCTACTTTTGTTTGTACTTTTAAAATATGACAACTATCAACTGTTATGTTCTTCTGAGAGACTGGTTATAATCTTTTTTACTTTTAGCAGTAAATGCAAACAAACGTTTCATTGCCTATTTTTCAAGTATAAAATTAATGGTGTTCACAATATGACATTCATGTCATAACAGTTGTAACACCTGAATATTGCTACTGAAATGCCTTAGAAAAGAAAGATATCTAAAGCATACCTCAACTTCAAGATCCTGTCTTTTGGGATTGTGTACAAAGAAAGTGAAGTTTTCCTCCCATACTGGTTCATTGGTCTTGTATCGAATCTAAAATTAGAGAATAATAGGAAGCAGACAAATTATTAAAAAAAAAGTCTAATTAAGCTAGTGTCAAGAGTACATTTTTTTTTAATTTATCTTTGCAAAATACAAAAAGGGACCTTCAAAGGTCATCCTGTCCAACTTCCCTCCAAGGAACAGGGACACCTACAGCTCCATCAGGAGCCCTGTCCAGCCTGACCTCGAGTGTCTCCAGGGATGGGGCATCCACCACCCCTCTGGGCAATCTGTGCCAGTGCTTCACTACCCTTATTGTGAATAATTTTTTTCTTATATCCAGTCTAAATCTGTGACCAGTTTTGGTCCCATTCTCCATTTAAGAGCCATTAAAGCAGCTGTTGAGGGTCTACTGGAAGACCATGAAGATGATCAGTGAGTTGGAGAACTTGAAACATGAAAGAGGTTTGAAGGAATTGGGTTTCTTTTAGAGACAAAGATGTGCAAGGGCGATGGGATTGCAATATTCCATTATGTGAAAGACAGCTATTGACCAGTTGGGGATACTCTTTCACAAGGGTACACAGTGACAGCAGAAGAGACAACAACCACCAAGTTCTTAAGGTGAATTTTTGTCTACATATGTTAAAAAAATTATTTACCATGAGAACAACTAAACACTGGAATAGGTTGCTCATAGAAGTGGAACGTCATTTTCTGGAAATATTCAAGACAGCTACATAGTACTTGGCTCATCTAAGGTCCTTCTTAAGTGGTATCACAGAATGCCTTGTGTTGGAAAGTACCTTAAAGCCAGTTCAATTTCAACTCTCTTGCACAAAGCAGAGCTGCCAGCCACCAGATCAGGCTGTCCAGGGCCCCATCCAACCTGGTCCAACTCCAGCGATTGGGCAACCACAGCATTTCTTGGATGTCTGTTCCAGTGCCTTACCACTGGATCTGAGTACAAATTTTTCCTCCTAATATCTTATCTTAATCTCCCCTCCTTTGTCAAGACTGTGTAAAAAGTCAGTCTTCCTCCCGATTATAAGCTTCCCTCCAGTACTGGAAAGCTGCAATGAGGCCTCCATTGTCTTCGCCAAACAGAACAAGTGCAACTCCCTCAATCTTTCCTCCTAGGAGACGTGCTCCAGCCCTCTGATCATCTTTGTGGCCCTCCTCTGGACCTGCTCCAATATCTTTTGTGTGCTGGGGTCCCCAGGCTGGACACAGTACTCCTGATGTGGCTTCATGAGGGCACAGCAAAGAGGAACAATCCCCTCCATTTCCCTGCTGGCCACCCCTCTTTTGATGCAGCCCCAGATACAGTTGGCCTTCCAGGCTGTAAGTACTCATTGCTGGCTTCTCATCCACACAGAACCACCGATTTCATAAAATTGATCCTGATGATCTTCAGAAATTCCTTCCAAACTGGATATTTCTGTAACTCTGTGATTCTACACATTTTATCTTGATCAGTGTTTTTGAAGCCTGCTCTTTGTGTACAGTGTTACTTACACAACCACTATGGTAGAAATCCCAGTTGCAGATCACAACCTACTGCAAATGGACAGTAGTTACTACTACTAAATAGTAATTAATACTACTAAAATAGTTACAAATCTGGTCTCTCCTCAAGGACAGCTTGAATTAAGTACCTATCCAATTCTTGGCTTTCTGGTGGCAGTTTCAGTTCAGATGACACATTTTAGTGCAGTGAATGCACTCATCCACTTCACAGCCAACACCAAGTGAACACAGCCACCAAATGCCTACAGACAGAACCAGACATTGAGAGCAACAACTTACCTTACTTTCCTGTGCCTTATGTCCAACTGACAGCAAAACAAGCGGGTTGGGATTGCTGTTTAGTTTCTTTCCTGACTGGTAAAGAAAAAGCAAAAATTTTGTCCTCAGAATAAACTCCCCTCCTAATTGCCTCCTCTGAAACTTATATGTTTTCATCTCAGAAGTACAAATCATTTGCATTCTATTATATGTGCATCTACTATTCTCAACATTGTACAATTTTATTCAACAGGCTGGAATAGCAGTCTTGTTAGTAAGTTGAAAACACATTAACACAAAGGTGTCAAACTATTCCAAGTAAGCTAAAATATACCACTAGAATTAAACAGGAGTTTTAAACTCCTTTCTGTTTTCTTTGGATGAAACTGATAAAATGCAAACTGCTATCTTTTAATGAGCATTAAAACAACTCCCAGAATCCATGGAGCATAGTTAACATTGCAAAACGAGAATTTCATGCAGATGGGAGATATGGAGAAAACACAAACTTGGGAAATCACTTTATGTTATACTGCAGTAGATTAATTAAAATGGATGTAATATCAGAACATTGATTTTCTCCCCTTTTCACTTTGGGGGGAAAGAAGATACACTATAATGTACCTAATGTATATTTCTACAGTTTACCCAATTCTCTTTATCAGAGAATCAATTATCTACCATATCTGAGCCTTGCTCACCAGCTGTATAGCATTACATCAAACTGTGAAAATAAACACGGGTTTAGAATCAAATCATATACACAAAGATACATTCTGAACTACATATTTATTAAAAAAAAAAAAAACAACTTAATTTACATGACAAAGAAAGTTAGACATGAAAGTTAACCATCTCAAGTAGGTGTTAATGAAGTTTTAAAAGCCTAGAAAATATAGTATGCATGGTTAATGATATACTTTGAGCTCTACTCTGTAGGAAATTGTTCATAGGCACTGTAAACAGCAAGTTAGTTAAGATGTGCTTAATGCATGTAAGGTCACAACCAATTCAAATAATCTAAAATTTAAGAATGAGAGTATTTGAGATATTTTTGGATCTGAATTTACATCTTTGACATCATCGTACTTTCACTAGTACTACTTGATTTTAACGTTACACACTGGTTATAACAATGCTTCCCTTTAGAAAAAAAAGCTGGTAGGAAATAACTCCTTTCTTGGATGAATGCTGCATCTCTTTTTGTGATTTGTAATCAAAACAGTGTGGCTCTAAGCAGAGGCAATGGAACACAAAGGTTTATAGAATACAGAGAAAGCTGGATTACACTCTAACTGGTGGGGTTAAAAATAGTAAGAGAAATTTGTTCCATAAAAAGGTGCCTAAAGTTTCCTTTCTTCATAAAATCAAGAAACTACCCAAGTTTGCAAAAAGACCATTTCTATTTATGCATCAGAATAAGGAACATTTTAAATTCATGCTAAATAGGTAGTAATATATACACACACACACGATGTACCACTAACATCTGCCACTGACAGATTTGCTGTTGACAGGATATTCAGACTATCTGAGCTTGCCTATTGACCAAGTTCTTCAGCTAAGAACTTGGCTTACGCCTTCCAACTCTGCTTCTCAACACCATGTCTTCCATATCACATGGCTGGGTTGAATATATTCAGCATTTATATAAATGATGTAAAACCTTCTGAAAACATCTAACAGAAGAATTTCAAAACCACGTTAAGATACTGGTTAGTCACTCAAAATTGATCAGTGAAGCACTGTTCAGTATATAAAAGATGTCTTAGCTTTCATGTCAGCTTGGATCTTTAAATATTAATTCATACCAGTTCTCAGGAATACTTCATATTGATCTCCAAAAGCAGCCTATACTCACTGATGCAAAATTCAAACTCCCCAGACCACAGTACTTCACCAGACTCTTAGCCACTTCTTGAAACTGAAAATAAAACTGAATTGTTCTAAAGAAATTCCATCCACCATTGGAAGAGAAACGTTGCAGTGTTTGTGCATTTCCAATTACTACTGCGACCTTAAATGGACAACTGTGTTAATTTTACCTTTAGGGCTTTCTGAACAGCAGACTTCTTCAAGCCATCAGGATTAAATTCTAATGGATTATGCTTTTAAGTCAAGAGAGAATGAACACAGGAAGGGTTAATAAAGTCATGCAAAGAAGCAATTTCATTAGGTTAATTATTACATGACAACACAGGACAAAGCAAAAATAAATAAATAAATAAATAAAAGAAAAAAAAAAAGAAAAGAAAAGAAAAGTAAAGGAAAAAAACTCCAAAAAAAGATCACAACAATATTTCTAATAAAACACTGAAGGAATCACCCAAGTAAATAAATAAATAAAATCTGGCAAAACTTTTGCTTTCTGTCCTCTCTGGATGTTTGTATTGTGCTTTAAAAATAAGATAGACACTTTCCACTTCTATTTCCCTTACCAAATCTTCTAAAAATAATAAAGAAAGTTCATGAAATAATGGTTTGGTGGGTTTTTTTGTTTTGGTTTTTGTTTTTTTTTTTAGTATATATTATATTATTGTTTCAAAGGATTTTAAAAGCGCCGAACAATTATAAAAGTAGGCAGCCAATGATTTGTGGCTATTGAGCATGTCTCAGTTCCTCTGGAATCACAGCAAGGACAGGCCAAGAGGGATATTAGCTGGGGCAAATATGTTTAAGCCAGACTTCAGTTGAAAAGGGAACAAGCTACAGGTCCACGAGGAAGAGGGCTGAAAGGCTTGGAGGGAGGAGACTATGAGAAGAAATGGGAGCATTCAGTAAAGAAAGCCAATAAAGGACTTGTCTTGGGTGACAAAATTGTTTTGCTGTGGTTCTGTCTCTACAATTACATGGAAAGGGGATGGTAATCCAAAAACTACACCAATAACTGCAATGATGGAATAAATCATTAGGGTGGCATTCTGTAATGGCCAATGACATTTGCAGTAGATCCTAACAAACCCACACATTACGCGGCAACTAACAAGCTGTTTTATTACTAAGCCAGATGCTAATTTGATGTGCTTTGGAGTACAACTTCTTACTTCTGTTAACACACTAATTCTTTCCTGGGGTTCAAATGGTGTTTTAGCAGTTTCTAAATCTCAGCTGATGACCAGAAGACAATCACTGATCTGTAAGAGCTGATTTAAAATATGGATAATTTATGTTACACATACAACAAGTGTAATCATGAACTAATGATATCATAACAATAGCATTATGCATTTTCAGAAATTATAGTAAGAACATTACTCAAATTCCTTATCGTCAGATACCTCAGGTTTAGACGTGTAAATATCTGAATTAGGAGTTTTCAATCTAGGCTCCCGGCAATCAATAAAAGCATCTAGAAAGAATTAGAGCACTCAGGACTTTGGATTTTCCTCTCCTCCATATAAAGCAAACCTTTTTAGGGCCACTAAGAACATACACACCCACAAAAGATAACTCAGACATGTCAATTTTACACCTGGACTTAGAGGTGCGAATGTTTGCGTAACACCTCACCCTTGAAGAAGCCCTTAAAAACAAGGTGTGGTTCTAAGACTGTGCTGAAGCTGTTATCTCCAGCCTAGACGGTCCTCTCCTCCCTCCTGCCTGCAGTCAATAATCCAGTCCCCTGCTTGCTGCCAGTCTGGCAGCCATGCACTGCAGAACATGCACCGTAACAGCACTGCTGGAGGAAACTTAGACCTGGCTATCTTAAAACACTTCTATGCTGACTCCAAGAGAGCTTCAGGGATTTGGAAAGCTTTGTCTTGCATGTGAACAGGTGCCATTCTGTCCACCTGACACGCTGTAATACAATGACCCTCGGATTGACAAAAACACCAGGACTTTGCTTTTATCAGAAATTTTGATCGTTATTTTCTTATGATCTACCTGTACTTTCTATAATTACAGCAGCAACTGCTTATCGGCTGTCAACTGAAGCATGCAGTACATTGTTTGAAGCCTTACAACACCTATATGCAATGTGTATTTCCCCACAAATATAAATACATATGGTAATAAACTGGTAATAAATAAATCTTATATGTTAAATTTTAACACACTTTGGTAATGGATGCAAAGGTTTTGATACTTTCAGATGGACTTCTATAAAGAAACTAATTGAAAGGACCGAAAAAAGGATTTTGTTTTGTTGGTTTTTTTAAAGAAAGAAGAGTGTATTTAAATCACTGATATGAAACAAAAGTAGCAGGCTACAAAGTAAATCTGCACTACCTACAACTTACTGGCAAAAGAGTTTTTATTCTCAACAAACACTCATTCCTCCAGGGGACGCAATGGTTGTGTTTACAGATCTAAGCTTTCACATTGATTTGCAATCATCTTTTAATGCTAAATTCAAGGAAAAAATACTAACTTGTGGTTCTCCTTAGCTTGGATTTAACCAACTACAGACTAACTTGGGGGGGGGGAAATGAAATAAAAAGGAGCTTGGGAATTTGCAAAACAAGGAGCAATATGGAGTGAAACAGAATTTACAAGGGAATTTCAGAGTCTGGTGATGCACAAAGAGTCGCAGCCATTTTAAAGTTTTTAAGGAACACTCGAACCTGTGTGGACAGGTTACAAGTTCTTGCAAACATTGAGTGCATCACAGTTTAACAAAATGCTAGGGATGTTGGTTGTAGTATTTCGTACTGTTTCGTTTTTCTGCAGTAAAAACCAACACGTGACCAGCACCCAGTGTGCTAGGATAGTATGCATTTTATTTCTCAAATTGAATCACAGATTTCAGTTAAATGGAAGAGCTTTTGTAGCAAAACTTATATTGGGTTTTTATCAGAAAAAAAGTTAGTTACTTACCCAATGGTATGCTGACCAATGAAATTTAAATAGCCTTTAAAATGCAAGAAAAATAGCACAAAAAACAATGCACACTTGTTGAAACCATGCAGCAAAACAAATTGCATGCTCTCATTCCACTAGAGTGAGTGGCTTTAGTAGCACTAATCCACACTCTGGCAGATAAAAGGTACAATACAAATAATACCAGAGAACTCACAAATAGTGCTCTATAGAGTGAGGTAGTGTTTTCACAAAAGACTAGTCCCGATGCTCTCCTCTCTTTTAAGTATCCACACCCAAAGTTTCCCTCGTAGATACTCTTAGGAAGATGGAAATGGAAGGAGAAAGCAGAGTGATGGGATTGTGGCAGAATGAATGCTTAAGCAGCTTTACTACACAAGAAAGTTAAAGAAAACAGTCAAAGGATTCCAGAGAAAACAGCAGATACAAAAATATTTGTCATTACAAATAGTCTCATCTGTTAAACAACTTTCTGAAGCACACTAAGGTGAAAAGTTTTTATTACTTAATAGCACTTTATTGATTTACTCTTGGTAGCTCAGATTTGCGTGGCAGACCCAACTAAGAATTTAGAAACCAGACTTCTAAGGCATTTCTCTTTCACATAAAACATATTTCTGATAAATCATCCTAGAGCTCAGAAGTTCACAACTTGTGATGATGAAAATGAAGATGCAAAAGAGAAACTTATGATAATGATCCACTGTAAGTGAAAGAAAATAAGGCCAATACCAAATCTGAAATGTACCTGTGATCAGCAATAACTTAACAATATTGAAGATAATAAAAAGTTCTTATTCATTCAAAAAATATTTCAATTTTAGCAAAGAACTCATGGATAAAAGTCCTCAAAGCTATTAATAAAGAGCATAATTTTAAGCGAGAACTCACTGTCTTTTAACTTTTGTTCCTCATAAATATACGCAATACTGACGAGCAATTAGTTTTACTATTATATAGTATGTATATTATATAATAGTACATAAATATATAAAAATATATATTAAAAATTTACTACATTAACCCAATCAACAAATACAACATGAGAAACTAGCAGACTTCCATGTTTAGTCTCGTAACTGTTGCTCCATATCACAAACTAATGGACATCAGAAGGCTGTCTTTACTACTATTTGCTGCATTTTATTATGGAACTCTCTGGCAGGATCTAATTATTGCTGTTAAAGAATCTATGGAAAACATTCCAGTTCTGTCACATGATGAAGTCATCCCATGGTATTTTTATCCCCAACTCCTTAATCAAAAAGCCTTTGTATCTGTTTCTTGTACAATGTGAATTTCACACAATGTTGTATTTATTACTGCTGTAAATGTAATTTTTAACTTTTGTTGCTACTTTCCTTTGTATTCTTCATAACACATAACTGGACAGAGAATAACTTGCAATTAAATACTGAGTTTTCCATAACAAATATTTCTATGGCCTGGCAGAGCAAGAAAATGAAAGGGATAAACAGGTCTCACATTATGACCATCCTTGTTCCCAGCCCCACCCAGGCAGTCCTATACTGTAAGCAGAACATCAGACAGCAGTAAGAAATTTGAGATCGTGTTCCCAAATTACCTCACTACTCAGCTGTGTGTGAGGAACTTCCTCTTTCTGTGCTCTACAGCTCAGAGATCTACTAATCAAAAGTACTGATTAAGACACTGACATGAAAATACTGTCTCACACAGTAGGCTAACTTAAGGCTTGCAATCAAACCATTCTGATGAAGGGAGACAATGTTGCAGAATATTTAAAATAAGAAGGAAAAGAAACTAAAATTTATGACAAAACTTGTAAGTATTTGCTGGAAAAGCTATTAACAGAAGCAAATAGACATCATTTCAAATGGCAACCTGACAGACATCTCATACAAACATCCTGCCACTGCAATATCAACAACACAGCTGATATTTTATGCTGAAGGACTTTATTTCCTTCAAATCTACCACAAATTGCCTAAACCAAAGGAAGCAAGTTTACCTGAATTCAAGGGAGTAGGCCTTTTCCCAGTTAGTTCTTAAAATTCCCCATGCTGATCCCATACTATTTATGGACAACACTGCATAATAAAAACATGCAGCCTTTCAAGTCCAGGAAAGGAGCATTCTTTAAAGAAAAAATCACGCCTATTGAAGAGTCATGTCTTTTAAATACACGTATACATGACCATACGACTAGAAATACGGACCTTACATTACACGTTTTGAAAAAAGAGGAAGTGTAGAACACATGGCTTAATGTGTGTTAGTGAAGCAGTGTGCCATACTACCAAGCAAGACATGCTGGAAAATAAGCAAGAGATACCTATGATGGAAGGTATCCACAAGAACATAACTTACGGGCAGGTTTCTTGCTGAGTCCAGGTAGAGAATCAGCAATGCAGAAGACAGCCCATCATTGGCTTGGTCTTTATCAGCTCTAATGCTTGTTAATACCTAAATCAAAAACATACTGTGAGCTTTCCAGTAAATCAAATAACAACAATATTATTTCTGTCCCACTCCTGAAAAGTATTTTACAAACAACTCCCCAAAGCCAAACATTCACAAATGCACACTATAAAATACACAACACCTTTTTAAGACTTCATACAGATACAGGTATTTCCATCAACTCCACCTCACTTCTTAAGTATCTTTTTTCACATTGGAAAGATTATATGTCATTGTCAGCTTTATCTCCAATGAAATGTTATCTCAATGAAATGTTAGCTGATGGTTTTTTGAAATCATAAGATTAAGAAAAAAGAAAAAAAAGTGAAAATGCATTTTAAAATCCCATGCCACAAAAGTACAGACAGGTAGGACTCATTTGAGATTACTAAAGAAAGACAGCTTGAAATAAAGTTAGAGATTTATCCACATTTACTACAACTAGAGAATAAATTACTTACATATTTAAAAAAAAAAACAAAAAACAAAAAAAAAGAAAAGGAAAAAATCTAGAAGACAAGTAATGCGTTCCTTAAATACCTTGTCCAGGTTTTCTGCTGTTGGCATCAATGTGAGCCATTCCAGTTTTAAATGCAGTTTTCCTTTGGACACCTCATCCAAAGTAAACCACTGAAAGTTAAGCAAAGTAACGTGAAATAACCGGACAAACAAATACATAACTGTAGCTGGCTCTGCAGGAAATTTAGGAAATGCTAAGGCACACTGGAAAAATCACTAGAGCTGAAATCTGCAAAACCCAAAAATACCTCAAAAGACCTAATTTGTTAAACCATTTATTAAAATATCAAAAGAATTCTTTGAGTTCTTTAAATCTGGTCTGCAAACACAAACTCTGAGTAACATTACTGTAAAACTGCTCCTGCATGTAGGATAAAAATTCCATCTTCTTCTAAATTAGTTTAATTAGTTTAAGTCTAAAAGTAGTTAATCCAGTGGTTATTCCAAGAAAGTGTCCTCACTAAACACTTATGTCACTGTTTCCTGCATTCATATATTGGTAATCTTAAGCTCCAAAGACAGAAGAAGAGTAAGAAGAATGCCATCATTCTCAGCTATCAGCTATCTTTAAACTACTGCGCTGCTTGTCATGGAATCTATTTCTCTAGCATTAAGGTTATTCAAGCACAGAACTACAGAAAAAAAAAATACAAGAACTAAATACACAACATATGCTCTGTTTTGGCTTTGGTCTTTTGTTTTTCCTTTTCTATTGTTTAAAAAAAAAGAACTTAACCAACACTTACCTCATCTAAAAGTCGCTCCTTTTCAACCTCAATTAAATCTATCATCAAACTAGGAAAAAAAAAAAACACAAATATGGTGTATTAGACAAGCACCGAGAAATTACAGAGCTCAAACCCCACCCTGTTCTTGTTGGAAATCCAGGCTTCCAGAGAGAGCAAGAGAGCAGAACAATATTATTCTTTTAGCCCCTAAGAAAGAAAGAAAGAAAAAGAAGTAGGGAATAAAATGGCTGAGCCAGAAGGAATGCAGCATGATAGAAAATATGTCTATACTAGAGCCCATTCTGTAGCTAAGGGAGAAACTAGCAAAGTACGGCTCACATACATATGACAAAACTCTCCAAACAGTGACCACAACCAACCTACCAACTGGAAATACCCCCTGGACACATGACCAAATTCATGCCTTAGTACTGTTTGGAAGAATACTAGTTTGCACAAGCCGAGAGTGTACCAGGGAATCTGCCAACAGTAAACAGTGCAGACAAATGTGTGCTGGCTTTTTATTTTACTCATACCGATACAGACATCATGACCGAGTTGCCACTTTCAACCCCCCACCACTTCAGTGTAAGATTAGGGAAGTGCAAAGAAAAGAAGCCTTTGTACTACCTACTTCTTTATTTAAATGAGAAGAGAAGTAGGTACTGTTGCTCCTGTTAAGAGAGAAGGAGCTGGAAAGATAAGGGAGTTCTACTCTGTATGGAAAGCAACAATTGGAAGCTCCAAAACTCTGTAAGAAATAAAGGTGACAAATTACTGGAGAAAGAAGCAGACTAAAACCCTGAAATGTTTATGGGTAAACACTGAAGGTACACCTATGGAATCTAAGAGTGCGTAATGTTTGCAAAAGCACTAGAGCAATATTTTTTCTTTATCCAACCTGCTAAAATCAGTTCTTAGAGGAATAATAAACTCTGAGCTAGCCATTTAAAAACCATGCAGATGAGAAAGATGCATAAAGATGTGCTAACTTTTCCTGAAGAAATAATTAGTTCTTAATGACTTAATGCTAGCTTAAGAACATTAAAACAGGTAGGGTACAACTCCTCAAAAAAAAACAAACAAACAAAAAAAAAAAAATACAAACCACACTTTTTTTTTTTAGTATTGATAAACTTACCTTATTTTTTTTTTCAATAAATATATAAACATGCATCTGTGTATCTGTACACACAAGCACAATATTTTAATATGCATGTCTCCAAATATTCCGGTTTTAATATATACAGAGAGTCCAAATAATTAGCAAACTACTTAATACCAAAATTTGAAAAAGGTGAGTAATTTATAAATGCAATAATGTAACAGAAATTCAAGTGCAATGAAACACAAAAAGAGGAAAACCAAACATTTAATTTTTCTCCAACACCTACATACATATTCTCCACAGCATTTACCTTCCAAGGAAGTCATCTTTGTCTGGATCTTCATCAAAGAGCTCAATCTCTAGCTCCTGTCCTGGATGTTCATATACTAAGGCCTGGAAGTACATTAAGACAGCACTGTTAATGGTAAAACTGACTGTTTTTTTCAAATGGCACATCAACAATAAAACCTCTGATGTAGTATGCTTTAAAACAATTCTATGAGGTGAGCAAGCATAAGAACCTTTCAGAAGTAATCTGTTAATGATGGCATTAAAAGACAAAATGCTTTTTCAAAGTTATGGATGGTAAGTCTGGATAAAAAGTATATATAACAGTTGAGAATTTCTGTTTTGTTGTAAAATGGGCTTTTAGAAGTTCCTCAAGGAAATACACAAAGTATTTTCTTTAGAAATTACAGAAGACAACTTTACAGAATGCACAACAAGACATTTTTACTGATTATACCTCATAAACTTCATTCCATTTTGGATTGAGATTTTCTTTGATGACCTTGCTTTGGAAAATCTGGTTGCCCACACGAATGATTCCATAAGGATCTGACTTGCCTTTGACAATCCCTTTTAGGTAGGTATCTTTACCCTCCAAATCCTGAGCTTCAATAAAATGTATCCTTACAACACCCTGAAAAAATGAAAAGCTCAGTTTACATGATAATCAGAAACTCTCTGTACGATTACAATTTAAGCAGTGTAAATTTTTATAATTTCCATAGCAGTTTCCTTAAAATAAAACATAGTTCAGATATTTTGTGGACAGGGAAATACCACAGCAGACCTAGGATGCAAATTCCTGAAAAGAAAAACTGTCATTAGCAATCAGAAATGTGTCTGCTGTATCAAAAACTGCCATGCCATTGGGTAGGAGTTGCAATAAGTAGGAAAAGCTTCCAAGTTAAAAGCACTTCACCATGCAGTGATAATAAAAAACATACACTACTTCATTTTTAATCTATACAGTTGAACTAGAACTATGCTTTACAGGTAATATGTAAAAGATAGAGCAAAACAAAAAAATCCTTTCTGGTTTTTATTATCAAACTCCCTAAAAAGTTCATAAATGGTGTCATTTAAATAATGAGAGTCGAGGCAACTTGTATAATCACAATAGCTATATTTTGAAATTCCTACAGATGCAAATAGCTCAGACAATTACTACTGTAGAAGAAAATAAATGCTTAATTATTACTACTAACAGAAACATGTTTACCTTCGGTATAGGAAACCGCAGCTGAGCAATCTGCACTTCGCTGACAAGGGGGACTGTAATTCTGTTTGGAAGAACCAGGTAGTTGGATATTATATCCAATATTATCGTGTCTGATAAGCCACTGTTAGAGAAAATAATCCTCAGTTACTTCATGAGAATTAAACATGTCACACTAATGCAGCTCAAGCATGAAACTTAGCAGACAATCACATCAACATCCAAAACCCTTTTCTTTTTTTATAAACTTCAAAAACATACTGAAATAAGCCTAAGTACTAATGTATTTTTTTTTCAGTCACATCTAGAAGCTAAGAGTGGGTTTTGTCACTTTTAGAACAGATAACCAGCACTTGAAGGAAATCAGGGCAGAATAGAAAACAAATTCCTATGTCCTCACAGTACAGCAACTTTTATCAGCTACCTTTTATCTCTTTTGCTGATTAGCAATTACCTACATGGACAAATATTTGTCCTTTTTGGGGGCAGAAGTCAAATCTGACCTTTAAACGTTTTTATTTTTTTAACTGAAGGATTCCTCCCAAAACAGCCACCAGGTGGAGACAGCCGATACTGAATAGCAGAAACCGAAGACACGAACATACAGTTCTCCGAAGTTCCCATCCCCCTTCCAAAGCACCCAGAGTGAAGGGCTATTGCATAAGTCTTCTTGTCAGGGTTGCACAGAACCAAGCAGATGTTAACTGTTAATCTACTTTCACATTTCGGTAATAACTGTCCCTGAAAGTTTGGCTACCCGCTGTTGTATTGTTACAAAACAAGTTGTTCTCTGGAGCTAGGGCTGTCATTTGAACAGCAACACAAAGAAAGCATGCTTTGTGGACAAATAAAACATAGCCTAGGGAGGCAGAACAGGTTTTGTGCTGGTAAAAAAGGGAGTGGCAGCACAAACACAGCGGTAATGAATCATTTAAAAACTCAGATCCCCAATTAGAAAAGGCTTCCTAAGCTAAGAGTGCACCCAGTTTGGGTCTGAACTACACAAACTGAACTACACAGCGAACACCAGTGGCTCACCGTACTGCCAAAACTGCCAGCAGGCAGAATGGGATCGGCACTGCATACCAGGAACTTGGGGAGGGCCATCGGCTTTAGAGGGATGCCCAGACAAAACAATAAAAAAAGGCATTGAGGAGGTATTGTGATCTGCAGCCACACTGAAGCTGGGAGAGCTGATCTGGGGACGAATATTTCTGCAGCTACACACACTTAATCTGTAAGATTCTCCTTTTACAATCTTTATGAAATTATGATGCAGATAATATGTTTGATTATCACATGCATTCTTCACATTAAATACTTACATGTAATCTTTTTTTTCTAATGCTGAATCTGCAGTTGGGAGTGGTGCTGACTCAGCAGCTAGCATATTTATACAACATGTATTATAAATTTATGTTACAAATGTAATATATATTACATTTTCCATTTGGGAAGAAAATTTACTCATGAGCAATAAACATATTATGGTAGAGATATGTAACAGAATTAACACATTAAATACAGTCTGTCCATTTCAAATCCATAGTGATCTTCCATGATAGAGATTAACAACCTGAACAGCCTGCATCCTTTGGCTGCCCTCTTTCACCACAAATGCACCCACTAGGAGGTGCTGGGACAAGTAAGGATTATAAACCTGCCAAGCTGCACTTGTACACAGCAACCTGGTCTCTAGTTCAGAAGGGTGAACAAGCAAAGGACCCACCTGCATGAATCTCTTTCACTGAAATACTTTACCGAGACTTAGATATGAATGCAACTCTTCAAACTCCTAAGTGAGAATTTATCTCAGCCAGTGATCGGCTGCCAGCTAAATAAAGGAGTTGAGATGTGCTAGGTGAAATTTCTATGTAAAGATGAAATGTACATTTGGAGCAATTTTCATGGAATCATGGAGCTGCTTGAGTTGGAAAGGACCCCAAGGATGACCAAGTCCCAGTCCTCTGCCACAGGCAGGGCCACCAACCTCCAGACCTGGCACTAGACCAGGCTGCCCAGCGCCCCATCCAACCTGGTCTTGCTCATTCCAGGGATGGAGTGTCCACAGCCTCTCTGGGCAGCTGTGCCAGCACCTCACCACTCTCTGTAAAGCACTTCCCCCAACATCCTAATTTTAACCAGTAATGAGAGGTTCCTAGGTTCCAATAAAATAAATGTAAAATGGTGAGACAACAAGAGGAACCTGTGATTACAGACTGAACTGTAATGGGTGGAGTATTACCAGTTAACCTCAAATACTTACCAGCTGAGCTCTATGTGCTAAACTGTAGTACATTTGCTATGTTTATTACTTCCAGTCTGGAAGAAAGCATGCTACTGCCCTCTAAATGTGATATTACTGCTGACTTTGGAAAAAAAAAATACAGCAAACCTATGCTACTGATACAACTGCCAGTACCAAGGTCTTTTGGAAGAGGTATTATCTCGTTTGGCTAACCTTTTAATGAGGGCAAACAGTCACATTTATGAAGATCTTCCATCTACAGGAATGTTAAACCATACATATTTACAGTTTCAGTAATTCTTAAAATAACCACTACCACAAGATAATCACGTTTTTCAATTAGGTAGCTCTCTTCAGTTATCACAGTAACACATGGGTGCTTTTCAAACTTACTCAGCTCTGTTTTGCTAAATATCAAGTTTTCAACTTACAAATGCCACCACTTGCATTTTGCTAAAACATCACAGAAATGAACGTGAAAAATGAACTGGCATTCATGGAATTTCATTGAATTTTAGAAAGAGAAACTGGATTCATATCAGGTAGTAGATACTCAGTCTTTAAAAGCATGGTGATCCCGTAAGCTTAAACAATGTGGCACCTTCCAGCATGGATGCTCCCAGATGAAAACTATTTGCTATGAATACAAAGTAAATATAACTTCTTTTTTTTTTTCTTTTTAAATTTCATTACTTGAAAGTTTAACGTATGGAGAACAGAGGCAAATCATTGATCAAGCTATAGCCACAACAGTACACATTTAAATCCTTACAGCAATGAGAAAACTGTTGATAATGCAGTCTTAAAGTGTTTTGGTCACTGACCCTTGGTACAATTATTTTTTTAGCTCATGAAAATGAGAGAAATGGGAAGTGCTTTGCACAGTTTATTACAAAAAATGTCTTCAAAAGCTCAGTTTCATTGCAGAAAAATAACTAGCAGTTAACAAAACATAAATGCACTCTATTTAGCTTTCCCTAATTTTTATTAAGAGAACAAGCAGCTATGAATTTTTTTCCTCAATCATCTTCTATCATACTGTAGATATAACACCTCTCTGATTGCACAAAGTATTTTTACTGCATCTCAACCAACCACAACAGACTTCATTTTCCTGTGACCCACATCCCCTTCTGACAGCACTTGAGCAGTCACGCTACCTCCCTCATACTGAGATTTTAATTCCACTCTTCTGTGAGCAATATTAAATGATAGAATATGAATTACTTGTGTGTCCTTTCCCTTGTGGAGTCACATAGAAAGAATAATGGAAGTTGTTAACAGCTGACACCAACTTCCAGTAGTAAATGAAGAAATTCACTCAGTAGTACTAAGACATCTGCAGAATACAAATAAGTAACGTGCACCCAACAGCCATGGGATGAAAAATGTATCTGTGGCAGCAGCAATCTCTTGTTCATTGCTGTTTGTAACAATAGCAATATGCCAGGCTGTCAAACCGAAATATACAATCCATCTATACAGATAAGAAAAGCAAATACAGCATGAAGAAATCTACAGGAGAGGCAGAGCATGAGTCATCTCAGATACAGTTACTATAGAAACCATACCACATCTAGCCAGCACCATTATACACCAAGCCTCGTTGCTCTGGAGACCATAAACTTGAGATACTTAATGGGACTTCATTTACATTTCAGGTTTTCACATTTCCTGTCAGGCAAATAAGTAGCATGATATGTACCTCAGGAGACTCATAAGTTGAAGTACTAAATGTAGATTAGTCTTATCTCAGAAGAGCAAATCATTACTCAGGACCTGTATTTTGGAAGATATTTTCTCACTCATCAAGAGAACCTTTTTCCTTGGAGGCTGTCTTAAACAGGCTTAAAACATGAGCAATTCCTGCAACCATTAGCCTAATTAATGCAACTTCTAATTTCAAGATGTTTAACTGGGATTCCATGCAATGGCTTCATGTCTAAGCAAAGCAGAAATCGTTTCAGGCGTGCAACTGAGCACTGAGGGATTAATTTAATATCTAAATTTAAACTCTTGGTTTTAGATAAGAAAAATAAATCTGGAATCAGCTCAGCCTTGAGTGTGGGGGTTCAAATAAAAGAGCTAGTCACAAAACCTGTGTATCAGATCCACTTATTATCCTCTTAGCCACTGTCTCAATACTACAAAGCCCCTGGGTAACTATTATAATTTTGATAAGTACTAATGTCTTCATGGATTTAATCTTTTCAGAATGGCAGTGATACAAAACAATTTATTTTCCTTCCATACTTCTGCTTTTTCCTTTGTGTTTTTATCATTTACTATTCCTAAGAGCTCTAAATAAGCCATGTGTTTTCTCCAACACATGGTTAATGTTTTTGCTACTCCATCCAATCTTCACATTATAAACCGAAAGCTCTAAAAGGAAGCACTCAAAAAGATTAGAAAGTTTATTTAACTTGATTACAGTCTTAAAGGTGTTTCTTAATATCTTTACACAAGCAACTACAGGTTTATTAGCATACATAGCCAAAAGCTAAGATGCTGTGAACACTCTGGCCTGAAAAGTAAAATAAGGCTCTTTTTGCTGTCATAGGAGATGGCAGATAGGAAATTCAAGAGATTTTGAAAATCTGGAAAGGCTGAGAACACCAAAAAAAAGTAGATTACAAATTGTATTTTCTAAATATTATTTTAGCAAGATGTAATTAGTTACACTTTTGATGTACACATATAATCACTACCTTCTCCACGTTGAGTAATTTCACTTAATTCAAAATAAAGAGACAAATGCTCAGAGTCATTTAACCTAAAGTGATTAGGTGGGTCTTATTCTGGGTTTTATGGGGGCTGTTGTTGGGGAAGAGATTGACTATCAAATACTGCTTTACATATACTCACTTCAGCCCTGGAACATCGAGAAGATTGGTCAGTCCAGTCCAGTTTATTTCTAAAAGCTGTGAATTACAGAGAAAGAGAAAACAAAAAAAGAGAAACAAGAAAAGCAACTTAGAATTAATAGTACTGAGGAAATTAATGTGATGGTAACAACTTCTGAGAAGTTTAGTATTAATCATAACATTCCAGGAGGTGCTTTTTTTTAAACACAAAACCAAAACCTATTCCATTCAAAATAATTTTAGCGATGGCTTTTAAAACAGTATGAGCAAAACAACGCATCATCCTATAATCCATCCTTCCCCACGCACAAATACACAATGCACACGTTGCTCATGGCTCAGCTCTGCCAGCAGTGGGTCCCTTTAAGGGAGCTGGAGCTGGCTCTGATATGACATGGAGCTGTGCTGGGCTCTGCTCACATAGGCCTCCTGCTACCAAAAATTACCAAAACTACCAAAAAAGCTTATTTGCCACATAAGCTCAATACTGCCTGGAGAAGAGAAGGCTCCAGAGAGACCTAATTATAGTGGCCCTCCAGTACCAAAACAGGGCCTCCAGAAACAATGGGGAAGGACTCTTCACCAGGGAGTATCATGACTGGACAGGGGGCAATGGTTTTAAACTAAAAGAGTGTAGATTTAGATTAGATATAAAGAAAAAATTATTTGCTATGAGGGTGGTGAGGCACTGGAACAGGTTGCCCAGAGAAACTGTGGATGCCCCATCCCTGGAGGTGTTCAAGATCAGACTGGATGAGGCCGTAGGCAGTTGGATCTAGTGGGAGACGTCCTTTCCAACCCAAATTGTTCTGTGATTGCATGAAAAAATGTTAGAAGGATTCAGAGATTCCTCAGTTGAGAAACTAATAATGGTGAGTGTGGAAGAAGACAGACCTTCTTCAAGAACTGTGCTGCATCTTTCCACAAACCAACAAAAAGAATCACCTACACTTATTTTCTATTCAAAAACTAGTACATACCGTTCTCTATCAAGGGTCTGTTTATAGTTTAATTAGTAACTTCCTTTGTGAATACTTAGACTAAAGTATCTTAGACTAAAGATAACATATAATAAATTTACATACATAAGTAGCAATACTTAAGTAGTTCCTTAATGTAGTTTTTTAATGGTGGCCAACTATGTCAACAATGTTACCTACAAACCACTTAGCTACGAACCACTATCTGCAACCGATAATTAGGAAGAAAATGTGCCTGCCAGCTGCAACTATTCTGTAAACCTACTGTAAGAGAAAATAAACTGGGTACCATGCAGGCAATAATATTAGCGTCCAGGCAGTGTTAATGAGAAGGATCAATAAACAGACTTCAACAGATGCTTAATGTTTAGTACTTGCCTATTGGTAGCCCTTTAGAAAACTGCTGCCAGATCATCTTAGCTTCCTTGCTTCCTTTTACACTTACTACACTCCTGCATCTCTATGTATTCAGGAGAGAGACTGAGAGTGGAATGACCTCCATTTAATATAACTAAATGCAATATACGAAACACATATTGTCCTGTGGAACAATCTCACTATCAATATGTTGATTTTTACACAGTTCTCAAAAACAATGCTACCAATTAATTGTCATTAGTCTGAAAACCCCATCAAACCATAAAGCATGTAAAAACTAAGCATGGAAAGAAACTTAACAAATATATTGCTAATAATGGTGGTCATTTAGAGAAGAAATGCAGTTAGTGTCAATAAGAAATACCTAATCATCCTCTTACTGTACAGGAGTAAGTATGAAAAAGGTTAACTTTCAAAATGTTAAAGATAAATCCTTTTCCATTCAAAGTTGGAACTAAGAAAGTCAAAAACATTACTGAGGTTAAGCACTTTACAGGATTACTAGAAGAGCTTTGCAAATAAATCTTAAGCCATGAAATGTTTTGGAAGGGATATAAGCTTTCAAACTCCTGGCAGAAATCAAGCTTTAACTGTTTGAGCTTTGAAGATAAATCGCCTTTGTGGACAAGGCTTGCTAAATTTGCCCAATGCTGTGCCTTCCTTCCAGTTCTACCTGAAGAGACCAGCACTAATTGGAAACATACCTAATATCACTATAGAAAGAAAAACTTTCTGATCGTAATCTGCAGCTATTAAGGACAGATGCTTTTTTGGGTTTTTTTTCCCCTTCACATTATTTCCTCTCAAAATGGTTGTTTGAAGTTGAACTTTTGGCTTCCATACAAAATCGCACTCCAACATAATACACAAATTCACTAATGTAGGAAAAGATGAGTTTTCCAAAAGGTAACACCAAATTCAGGCAATACCTGCAGTACTACAGAGATCAGCACTGACAACAAAAACGTTCATCAGAGAGAGAAGAAAGCCATCAAGCTTACTGCAGTAAAATGCACTGCAACTGCATTTGAATACCATAACTTGCAGGGGAAGAAAAATAATTCTTAAAACTTCTGGCTCTGATAGTAACCTAAAGCATCATCACCAGCCTAAAATACCCTATGGAGAAAAGGGAGCAAGAAAAGGATTGCCACTTAACAAATCACCTTTTGAAATTCTGAATACAAAAAACACCACGCTAAAACAAAAACAGAATACTGAACAAAAAAACTTTCAGCCTGTTGAGTGTCCAAAATAGCTGAGCAATACCATTCCCTTCTCTGCCACCACCTCAAGCAATGCATAATTATCTCGGTTTAGCTAACTTCAAGGAGTGCCAGCTGGTTCCTTGCAGCAGAACCATAAAGGCAGCAGCAGTGTGAAGGCTCTGTTCAGTTTGTCATCCGGTGAAACTCTGCCTGTGGCCAGAAACAGCGCAGCGTCCTTCCAAAGCTCATGGTAGCCTCCAGGTGAGATGCCTTGCAAACAGAGGCTGTTAGCAGCCAGCAAACTGCCCCAGGGCAGGATTTCACACGCTCATTTATAGTTTCCAGTTAATGAGAAAGTGCCATATTACTCAAAGTTCTTTCAATTCCTTCTCAGCTGACAGCAGTGGGAAAAAAATTTGTTTCTTCCTGAAGAGCGAAGAAATTTGTCTTATCTAAACTCTGTACTGAAAGGCACTCATACTCAGACACAAATCCTTATTCCTGTACATGTTTTATTATACTAATTAAAGGAAAGGTAAAGGAATATAAAATCTTTATGTGAGAACCAGTGACTGTTCAAAATCTGTCCAATAAATTGATTTGGTGTACATGTGCTCACAGTGTTCAATGACTCTGTTATTGCAACTGGTATTCCAATAACAGAACATGTCTACATTTAAATACTGACTTGGCTCAAGGCTTGTGCTAGTGGGCTGCTTTTCCAGGCCTACTGGGTCAGACCCTGAGCCAGCAGTAACAGCAGACAGGGAGATGTGCTCCAAGGAGGCACATATAGGAGGCTGAACTTGCAGTTAAAAGCTTGCAACTACTAACACACACCAAGGACTTCTTATGCGATGAGCTCGCAGTGCAGCTGCCCACAGCAGGCAGGGAAAATGAAGGAAAAGAAGGCAGCCAGGGTCTCCATGTTGGGCCCCAGGGCACCATCCACTGCGAAGCTACCTCTCCCAGGGGCAGCTGAACCTGCTCATTGGGGCAGCACCAAGAGGGAAAGAGCCAGCAGCTGCACAGCCAGGGCAGTGATCTCACAGCTTCTCCTCTCCCTACCTGCAAGGGAGCATGGACCCCAAATACTTCACTACTCAATCAATTCTGCTTCAGAGCTGGGAGCTGTTTTAAAAGTACTCTACACATTTTGTGTTTAAGAAGCCCCAGTGATCAGAAGTGTTTTTGGGTTAACCCTGGCTGACTTAAGGTCTCTTCAAAGGATCATATGATTTTGGAATTTATTAATCAAACATTCAACCGAGATTAGACATCACAAATAATCATGTTATCCGAGAGAAACCCTATTGTAAGCTCCAAGTTCCAAATATCAATTCTAATTTCCTTTATTCTCCTTCCCTACATCTTCTATTTACAGTATTTGAGACTTGAGGCAAGGCAGGGAACTCCTCAGAACCACAAGCTTTAGAATTCATCAACTAGCACAGTAGCAGAAGCACTGTGAGAAGTGGAAAGCTTCCAAAACCCATTTCAGAGAGCTTTCAGAACAAAAATGAAGAGCTTTCAGATATTTTCTACATATAAGAGAAGGAGTGGTTACATGTAATGCTTATTGATCATCTGGAAAAGCAACAGTAAAAGGAACCGGGGGGGGGAAAAAGAAAGCTACCTTTCCTATTTCAAGGGACAGTGAAGGAGTTCAAGAGTGCCTGATGTGCAAGGTGTGATTCTCAGTGCTGACAAAGCAAAACAATGCAAATAAATAAACAGGTATTATTGAAACTCACAGGCACAAAAATAGCCGTGCAGATGTTACAGCAATCACATAAAGCTCGACATCAACCTGCAACTGCACTAACAAGTTCCATAAATCTCTATATTAGTTACATGCAACACAGGACAAATCCCAGGATGGTTAAATAGTACAGAAGAACAGTTCTGAGGTTCATAGGTTTTTAAAACCATAATAAAACGCTCCCTAAAATCAAGTGAAGATCAATAGTCTGGGAAGATGAGATTTTAACAAAGATAAAAAAATTGAGGCATACGTGTGAACCAGGCAGATATGACATGACTGATTTATGCAGCTTTTGTTAAAATGCAAGAAACAGTGTTGTAAATATGCGATTTACACTTCCACTTATTATGTGCAATAGGAAAAAAAACCTACATCTGTAGAGATCCTTTAGAACACACCACTGAAGAAATAGAAATGTAAAACATTTTAACAAGTTAACTTTTTAATTTTAACTTAGCTTTTTTCTTCTGTACACAGATAAGCACAGCTTAGTTTATTTTTTCTGTTTGGTTCAACCATGGACTTATAGCAGTTGCATGACATGCAAGAGAGACTGAGTGTTGCTTTGAATTCTGCTCCAAAATCCATTGCTTTTGTGATATTCTTAATCCATTCCTTCATTTCCTTTGTGTTAAAGAGTTAAAAGAATCAATACACACACCTGCAGCCCATAAGAAAACACAGGCCAAAAACTGCTGAGTGTACTTATGTGTATTCAGTGTTTTCAAAACTGTAGATGCTTTATAAAGTGAAACAAACGTACTGGTATTGCAGAATATACAGTGCCATTACAGAAGTCCATAGCTGCACAAAAGGCAACCTCTACATATTGCCAACGTTGGGGCTTTATTTGGCTGTAAGTAAGCTCGGAAGAAAAACCACAAAGTCAGTTTTCAAATGCTGATGAACTTCCTGCTAATCAAGTTAAGAACTGTAAGATTTCCGCAGGACAAATTTGAGCTCCGCTGTTGAGCCCAAGACTGCAACTCCAGTGATAAGCTGTGCTGCTTCTAAGAAATCTACTAATGTGCCCTCTTCTGTTATTTGTGAATGGTCGTCCAGGAATAAGTTTGTTTTAATAATTTCATAAATAACATTCTCCAGAGCGTTTCCGCAGCAAACTTACTTAGGCATAATAAATCTCGAGCAAGGCTAGACCATACAATGTCATAGAAAGTGGAAATAATGTCATTTTTCATCATTGTTATAGGAAACAGAAGGATTTCTTTGCACAGGATCTGTTTGTCAGTAGAAGGTTTTCCAGTTTTATCTGTCTAAAGATTAATGCAAGACAATAATTACACGAATAAGAGGTGTAGTTCAGCAGGGAGGAGAGCAGGCAAATTTGAGTGAAAGTGACCAAAAGAAGTTTCATGACTGATCCTGTAAAAATCTTCTTAGAGTCAACTACTCAAAGTTAAAATTCAAGCCAATTCCCCCTGATTTCTATTTTTTTCCATCCTTCTATCAGCTCTCTGTTTCATACTCTCACACCAGTCCTGACACACCGACTCAGTGACCAGAGCCCAAGTCAGCAAGTGGCAAGCACAGAGAGAATACAGAATTAAGAGCTATAGAGGAATTCCATTCTACATTCCAGCCCTTGTTTATTCAGAACAATAATGTTGTCAGTTTTGCTTTTTGGAGGTGGGCAGGTTTTGGTTTACCTTTTTTTAAGTGAAGGAGGCAGGCTTAGGACAGGTTTTCAATAGTAAACATGCCACTAAATAAGCTTTTGAATATTACCAATCACAGTACAACACTGTAAGCCATTTCTGCAAATGAGCCAGAAACCAAAACCATTAACTATGTGATATATTTTGTTATGAAACTGGAAGATAACTACATTTGAGAAGCAGAATGAATGGTCAGTGTATGCTGTGTTAACATAATGAAAAGCTGTGTAAAAGACCTTAAAATCTTGGCCATTTCCACAGTGCTAACCCATCCAGCACTGAAGCTCTGACTTAAAAGACAACTTCAAAACATTAGAATGCATGCATTTCTCTCTCTTGAGATTTCTTAAAATTCTGACATACTTCATGAGCTGTTGAAACTTCTACTTCTTTGCACTAGGAAAATACGGTATTTTGAAAACTCTGTGCAAAGTAGCAACTCGTGGAGCATTTTATACTCCATGCATTACTCGGAAATATGAGACTGGCAAACTCATTAAACAACTATGTTCAGAACTATTAATTTGGGCAGCATTGCCTTATATAGTCATTAAGGCCAGCAAGCAGACGATACAGAGCTGGAATTGTTGTCCGTTACTTTAGACTGGAAAATATGAGAACAAAATCTACTGCTAATACTGCCAACTAATTCCTCTTCTCTCCTAACAAAAAACTAAAAGTCAAGTCAAGCCTTTATTGGCTGCAGCCACTTGCTTTCTAGTAAGGTGACAGAATTTGCTTACTGCTGTAAGTCTGCTTGGAAAAAACCTCGAGATCAGTGTATAACATAAAACTACAGAATAACTTGATTCACAGATTTTTTTTTTTTGGGGGGGGGGGAAGGGACAATCCACACTTTAGTTTGCTGGGACCTTGACCACTAAATGAAAATTGAATGAAAACAGGGTGAAAAATAATTTTATTAACAGTTTAGGGTGTGAGCATTGACTTCTTGGATTTTCCTAGTTTAGTCTACTCCCCATCCTTTCTCATCATACTAAGTGAACCAGACCCTTAATCACTTGGCACAGGGTTAGGACTAAAGACGGAAGCGCGCTGGAACTCTTTCCCAAGCTGGGACTCACGAGGTCCTGATAAGAAATGTTACTGTTTCATTTGATAAATTTTCAGTTTACTAGCTTAGGTGTAGTACGAGTTAAGCATTCAGTACTGAGTCAGGAAATGGACTGGGAGAGCACTAACCAGAAATAAAAACAGTGAGTACACTAACGGCGACACGGTGCAGACTGCTCTCACATTCAATCCTTCTCATGGCCCTGTTTAATTTGCTAGTCTAAACATGAACGTTAACGGATGCCCTAAACCCTTACTTCTTGTGCCAGAGGATAAAAAGGAGATAAAACTAAGCAGACATCTCCCTAATGTTTAGACTCATAGAAATGTGCAGATATCCAAATTTGGTTCATCTCAACTTATTCCTCCAATCCTTTCCAAATAAGACAAACGATGTTTTTAACGGTGCTGCATGAAGTGCCTCCCTTTTACCAAAGGGCTAGAATAATGACACGAGCCACAAGAAAGAAGCAACCAACACTAGATTTTTTTTATATAAATATATATAATATATATTATAAGCCATATATAAACACTCACACAAACCTACCTTTTCACCAAGTCAACAAAACCAATATCATAAGACAGAGCAAAATAACGATTAAAATAATGGGATTTCACTAAAGAATATAATTGCCTATCTTCTGACTTCATTCAAGGATGTTTCCACGCCTCCACACCATGAAAATAAGATCAACTTTTCAGAGTCATGGTGATGAGGAAACTAGCATAATCTATTTGAGATTGTTTCAAAGTGCCTAAATCCATATATCTGTAATATAAATTCAGGCATAATCTGAATCTGCTCGAGTTGACATCACTCTTTTTATATTGTAATTAGAAAATATCCAAGACATAAACGTTCCAATGCAAAATATACTTCTGAGTAACAGATAGGAACAACTAATTTCTTTAAAAAAGCCTGTATGTTATAAGAATTTCCATGACGCCCCCCACCTGCTCTCTTACTATGCTTATTAAAAACAATATTGAAGCTCAAATTACTGAAACTGCCTCACACACAAAACATCAAAGGAACTTTGAGCCAGCAAGCATATAACATGTATTACACACTCCTTTCTATTTCTCTAAAACAAGATTGTCGTATGGATGGAGCAGTTAGTCCTGGACCCCATTTCCAAGCACTTGAAGAAAAAAATGACCATGAGAAATCAGCACGGATTCACAAGGAAAAAGTTATGCTTGACCAACGTGACAAGCTACAACAAACTGAGCAGCCTGATGGATGAGGGGAAAGCATTGAACGTTGTCCTCCTGGAGTTCAGCAGGGCCTTTGACACTGTCTTCCATAAGATCCTCACACTCAAGCTGTTGACATAAGGGCAGACAGTGTGGGAGGATAAAAACTGGCTGAACAGACAGCCCAGAGGGTGGTGATCAGTGACACGGTCTATTTAGAAGCTGGTAACTAGCTAGTAGTGTACCTGAGATATCAATACTGCGTCCAAGCCTGTGTAACATCTTCATTAACATCTGGATGATAGGGCAGAGCATACCCTCATCAAGTTTGCTGATGACAAAAAACTGAGAGTGGCTGACACACCAGAGGGTTTTGCTGCTTCCCAGAGGGACCTCAAAAGGCTGGAGAAATAAACTAACAGGAATCTCATGAAGTTCAACAAGGTAGTAGCAGTACAAAATCCTGAGCCTGGGGAGGAACAGCACCGTGCTCACCACTGGGGATCACTCAGGTAGAAAGCAGCCTGGCAGAAAAGGACCTGTGCTGCCCAGACACAAAGTTGAACATGAACCAGCAAAGTGCCCTTGCCACAATGGCATCCTGGGCTGCACTGGGCAAAGCACTGCCAGAAAGCTGAGGGAGGTCAGAACTGTTTCAATTAGAAGAGCTATACCTATGTCAGTCCTAATGGATGTATGTCCAATATGCTCTTAAAAGACATCAGAAATTCAGATTATTCTTAAGCAGCCTATTAAAGTCACTCCCAAGCGCTACCAATCATGCTTTCCTTCATTCTCCTTATTCAGCCTGAATCTTCCTTGCTGAAATTTGTTATCCTGTCTACCCTATATAACTAGAACACATTACATACATGCTTTCTTTAACAGCTCTTGACATTTTTCAAGAACGTTCTTGATTTTCTCTAAACTAAACAATTTCTATTCTTTTGGCCTGTCCTTTATAGTGAACTCTTCTCCCTACCTTGGGTACCCTCCAACTGGTCAGTATCTCTGCTGAAGTTCTATCCCTGAAACTGAAAGTTTCTTGCAAGCTCTCCTCTTGTTTATACATTCCAGTCTTTCTATGCAATTTTCATACCAGCAAGACACTGGCAGATCAGGCTCTGGCTATTTTTCCTGCCCAGACAGGAACTTCAGCCCAGCACTTCTTCCAACTGAATTACATGACATCTTCTCCCACTCTGCTACTGTCACGAACAATTTAAAATGCCAATTCCATCTCAATCTGTACTATACCTGTTCTCACACTTGGGTCACTGGTAAATGTAATGAAAATTGCCTACCTACAATCGAAGTTAAAAATTTCAATCATCAGAGCAGATCATCTCCATACTCTGACTTTAACCTGTGGTTAATAGCATCCTCATAGTTTTTACAATTCTGCACATATGCAGTGGAATTTTAACACAGACCATACTCCCTAGCAGACTGTCACGAGAAACAGCAGCAATGTTTTCTTACAAACCATCTAGAAGGTACCTATTGCTCTTCTTTTAACTATAAGCTTGTAAGGAAAGTGGACAGCTTTGACATATACATTTCATAATTCCAAGGTAATTATTATTCATCTTGTTTTCTTCTACTAATAGTAAAATTTGTTCCACCATTTCCACGGGAAACTAATTTCAACCAAAGTGATTTCCCAAGTGATTTCCCAACTCTGTTCCTTTTGCTGCTTATTTCTTGTTCCATTATCTACTGACTAAAGTTGTTTATCACCTGAAGAGACTAGAAATGAAGATACTACTTACAGGTTTCCTAAGGAAAAAAAGTGATAGTGCTCCAATTAGGGGCATGTCTCCAATTAGTGGTTCCAGGATAACCCTCATAGTACCATGGATCTGGGAGAGAGAAACAGAAAAAGACAACGGAATTGAATTCAGCTTAAGTTTAAATATAATCTATTCACTGGCAATGCTCACAGTTCTAATTCATAAAGTTCCCAATTTTGGAAGAATTACATATTTTATATATATATATATTTATATTTATGTATAAAACTTCATCCAAATCCATAAAATTGTACATACGCATTAAATTCTTGGACTTACAAATTCACTTCATTAATCTAAAAGGAGATGAGAGGCTGATAGATGAGGCCAGGATAAGGAGCAATGGCCAAAAGCTTGAACGCAGGAAGTTCCATACAAACATGTGAAAGAACTTCTTTACAACAAAGGTGATGGAGCAGAGGTACAGGCTGTCCAGAGAGGCTGTGGAGTCTCCTTCTATGGAGATACTCAAGACCCATCTGGATGCCCACCTGTGCAACCTACTGTAGGGAACCTGCTTTAGCAGGGGAGTTGGACTCAATGAGCTTGAGGTCCCTTTCAGCCCTTGCAATTTAGTTATTCTGTGATCTACATTATTAGGTAATACCTAAAGCTAAGATAAATGATTCCTTTTATGAACCCACACACCAAATGTACATTTGAACTAGCTTCATTCTCTCTCTTTTCCCGTAGAATATGGTACTGATTTAAAACAATTCTGTATCTCAAAGTACCCTTTTCAGCTCAGTCATGTTACTGAAGTTTTACATAATATCAATATTACTCAATTCTGGAAAAAAAAAAAAAAAAAAAAAAGGTAAGTAACAAAATCACAAAATTAGTGGCTCTCTCTGGCAACTTGTAAACTATTTCATCCACAAACTGCAGTGCAGTGACAACTGGATATCAAAATAAAGAAGAATTGTACTTCACCTGTATACTTTTTACACCAGCTCTACAGAAGTATCTCTTGATTTCCAAATCAATTTCACAATTTCCAACAAAACTAAGAAAGAAAAACAATAAAGGAATACATTTCACTTTTGTAAATTGAACTGCAGTAGAGTTAGTTCTGTCCTGCACAACCCAACAAAACTATATGATCCTTGGGGTCCCTTCCAGCCCAAGCCATTCTATCCACCTCATAACATCAACACTATTATCAAAACACCAAGAAATTAATACAGAGATGTATGCCATCATCCCCAGAAACATACATAAGACAAAACACACATGATTAATTTTGGGAATTCTACGAAAGCTGTTATACAAGTCTCAATGACATTATGTGGAGCTAGGTGCACTTTAATGTAATAAAAGAAGCACTATGCTGAGGTTGTTATTTTGCTACAAATGGAAGCTGTTTTGAGTTATCCAGAGACTTGTGAAAACAGACAATATTTAGAAATTCAATAAACTGAGCATGCTTAGTAGGATGATCCACTGAGCAAGGCTTAAGCCAAAAGAGACAAGACTTTGCTGATGGGGAAGGATAGAAGCAAATTAGAAAATAACATTAAAAACAATTTAAGTTTTTCCCTGAGGAGTTCTTGAACCTCATTTTGGGAGCACCCCAAATGCTTAAAATTTTGCACGTGCTGGCCAGTAAAACCAAAGCTTCTGCATGTTTAATTTCTTCCTGCTGCTTTTGGAGTTACTGCAAGACTTTCTGTTCCCTTTGAGTTTCAATTCAAACACAGAACAATGATCTGGCACTACCATTAGTTCCTCAAGTCATTCAAGCAGTAAGGACAGATGAATTTTTATTTTTACATCAGATATCTGTTGATAAAATAGAAAGGTATTTTTCCGTTCTTCCAAGCTTATCCTTAGGAGCCCAAACAGTTTCATAATACTAAAAACAAAGTCAATATCACTTGCTTGAGAAATTCTAGAACTGATGCACTTCAATCCTGAAATGTGAATTGGTTAACAGATACTTTCATCTTATAACCTACCAGCAGAAACATCTGGGTTCTTTTTAGATAATGTAAGCAGAGGTTATAAATTGGCTTGGATGTTGGTGGCTCTTCATATGTCAAATAGCTTTGCTGAAATATAGCTCCAAGTTTGAAATCATTTCCTTTCTGGCAAACATTAATGGCAGTAAGATGGAGCTACCAATACAAGATTGTCACTTAGGGTATTCTAGGTGCAGAATTATATTAACTTCCAAAAGACCTAAGCTGTATAGCAAAAACTGTTCAGCCATTTTTAGAAGTTTGATCTTATTACAGAGAAATTATTTCTGGGAAATTATGAAGAAAACGGAACCACTCACAAGGCAGAATCAAGAGAATGAAGGTGAGAGTGGCTGCATTCATATCTGTTATTCAGATCATCTGCAGTTTACTGTGCTGTGTGTGTGATGATGCTATCTGATTTCAAACAAATACAGTAAAAAAGAAAAGCACAAGAGCAGCAAAACATTCTTGTAATGCCCAACGTTGGAATTTATTTCAGACTACTCAAAATGACAAGTTTGGGGCACTGGAAGAAAACAACACAATGGGTTTAGGAAGATGACCATTGCTTTGTCTGGAAAGAATGCAGTTTAAAAATAGGTATATAATTTTTAATACACAATTTTAAACGATGTAATTTCTTTTTATATCTGTATCTAACTAGCCAGCTATTTATACACACACTCACACACATACACACACAGCCAACTCTATAAGCATATGTTATAAATTCATGTAACAGTATTACAGAAAGGCCAACTCAAACCTGCAATTGAAACTTCAGTCTTGGCACTGTGTAACAGAGTTATTTGTGTAATGATGACTGGGAAACAATATATTCATTTGACAATCCACAATAAAATGATTAGTAATCGGAGTAAGAAATGAACTGCCTTTAAGGATGCAATGTCAAAAACTTTCAACCTTACAATAAAGTTAAACACGGCTGTATCCATTAAGATATTCATCTGGGTCTGTCAACAGTCAAAGCAGCATAGAACTCCACAGCAACATTAACATACAACTTGAAGACTCATTTACTCAGCAAGTTCTATACATTCAGATCATAGTACCCCAGTAAGATTATGGCTCCCATAATGTACAGACCACAGGGATAGATTACAGTTTAATGAGGACAGACTTGTGTGAATACAAGAATAGCTGTACTGAATCAGATCAGAAGCCCAGTACACTTTATGTGATCACTGTAGCCAGTAGGAAATAGCCAGAGGAAAAAGCCTTAAGAATAGCATAAACACATTTCCCAGATTACAGTGATCTGTAATTCTGTATTCTGAACTACTCTCATTATTTTAAAAGGTCTACTAAACCAATTTTTATTTTTGTCTACTGCCAGTAGCAGTAGCAAAATTCTCCATTCTAGCCTCAATTGCTAGAAGCTATGATAGTTACCCCATAGTTCAATTTCTGTTTTCTGCCTGAAAGACAATGCTGTTGGTAGCAATGTCAGGCTGTTAGGCTTGTTATTTAAACAACTTCAAGGAATTTATTTCAGCCTGTTAGACTGAATTCTTCTCCAGCTGTTATCACTTTTCTAACTAGGTTCCAACGTCATGCCATGTAACATATGGCTGGAGATTTCACTGAAGTCTAGGAAATAAGACATTCCTGGAATTTTTTTGGCCCTTGCTCACAGAGGTAATCAACCTCCCAGAACTGCAGCTCAGGATGCAGTAACCGATTTAGATCTTAACCCTCTGGAGCCCACCTTAGACAAAGGAGCCTATATAGTCTTAAACACAGCAGAAATTTAGAAAAATATTTCAAAATTAAAAACAATCAAGTTTAAAGTTTGGAGCTGACTTTGAAAAACAGAGGCTGAGATGCCTAATTATCTTTTCAGTTACTATTGAGGAAGCAGCAAGAAATGCAGAAGGCTGCTTTCTGCAGGATTACAACGGACTGACAAATCAGCCTTTCCACAAGGTACAAACAGGCAAAATAGTCACCATAATACTTATCTACGACTGTTAACTACAGAAATGTTGCTGGGTTCACTGAGCAGGCTTTCAAAAAACCCTGTAACTGCAGACACTGTTGAGGAAAGTCTTTGGAAAGCACAGAGTAGGTCTATTTATAAACCTATATGAAAGGGCAAAGAAACCTGAAGCAATTGCCATTATATAATACATAGATTTACTACAGTTGGAGGCATGACCACAAGTTACTAAAGCAGCAATCATTATCTAATATTGTGTTTATAAAGAATCTAAGAAATTGAGAAAAGACAAGTCATACAGACCAAATCCTTTGGCAAAGTTGTAATGAATTAGAAAAATAAAGGCAGTAACTCATACATCATGCTTTAGATTTGGAAATCTTTTTTTTTAGTTAACCAATGTAAATTTAATGATGCAGTCATACAGATAGTTGATATACTATTTGCCTCATTTAAATGCCATTTACAGCATGCAGTTCCTTCCTCCATTCACTTGCAATCACAAGTAACAACATTTGTGTACCAAAGCAATTCTTCTCATTCCACCCCAACATAACTGCCCACTTAAATAAACAAGACATATTCTAAAGCACAGGCACTGCTGCAATATGAGAATAAAGATCACCTGATCTGAAGATCCAAAATGATCTGCCTTTTGTCCACATTTTCAGTGTACACTTTTACACCATTTATCCTCAGAGGCTGAAAAAAAGAAGAAAACTGAAGCTGAATCTTCTTACTGATATATGCAATATTAAACTCTGAAGTTAGAAATAAAGGTGCATATATACCTAATTATGTGTGAAGATACCAAGTTAGACATTTACTATAAGCACTATCAAAGGTGTGAAGTAATTCTATCAGTTTAGCTGAAGACATTCAATCACAACTCTTCAGGCAATTACTCTTGGTTTAGACCACTAGATTTCAATGCTTACTAGTTCAATGTTTACTAGAGGCTTTATACCAAACCTCTACCTTCAACTTCTCTAGTAAACATCTGATTTCTTTGTACTAGACACATCTTACGCTGTCACAGTATTGTGCCACTTTCTTGTCCAGGCAGAACTACAATTAAAATTACTTTTCCTTAGAATAATTTAGTCAGAAAAAACAATAATTCACTAACTCCATACACACACACACACAGAACACAACAGGTACAGCCCTTCGTGTGCTTTTCATCTTCTCAAAAAATAAAAATATTGGTTGAAGCAGGTAAGAATAAGTAGTGCCCAACTTATTGCAATTAGTGCTAACTTATTCTTAGCTTGGACTGGTCAAACAGGCTCTCCTGCAGGCACATGAGTTATATACTATGATCCCTTCTTCATGGGATTGAATAGCAGGTGAACATCTATCTGTTCCCTGAAACTGTAACACACAGTAGTGTGAAAAGCTGAGCCAGAAGCCTTGTCACTGGACTCCATACATTACATGCTGTCAAGTACATCTGTTACAAAACAAGATAATTGCACTTGGAACATCTGATAAGAAAAGGATAATGTTCCCTGCTCATTTAATCTAAAGCATTACATGAACAGTATTAAGATCGTGTTGCTATGTGCTCTTCACATAACTAGATGCTGCTATACTTTGAGACTTCACCCTGCTCTCAGTCAGTCTTCTGCAGTAGAGATAGCAGGAAAGTAATAATTAAACAACAAAAAAAAACACCATGAAATCTGAACCCTGATAAAAAAAAGCTACATTTTTATTTTAACGTTACACCAGAAATCAGAATCAGGCTCATCAAGCACCAAAAACTATTCAGATTTAAACAGGATACATGAAAACAGTACTTAAGGCAGAGCCTCTTAAAAAGATTTGACCAGAAACTGACCTGATGACCAATATCAATCTTCGTGAAACTGAAGGTACTGAGGTGGTTGTTTGCTCCTCTTACTGCTGGTTCTATGGTCTCCCGAAAGAGTTTCTCAATAAATTGGCAAATAAAAGGCCACATTTGTTTTACAGTCTAAGAAAAAGAGAAAAATAAAAAGAAACTTACTTATAAAACAGCTTCAGAAATAACTAAAAGTATTTTTGAAGGCAGATATTAAGAAATACTGTACAATGTTTTGAACATGTCCATTTTGTAGACAGTTCATTACAGACATAAGAAGGAAAAAAATGATATTAAGCAATTTCTTCTTTTATCACACGTATTCACACGCAGCCTGCACATGCTCAATGTTAAGCACATGCACTTTATTTACTATTTTCTAATGAACTCGTGTTCTTCTTTGATCTTTGAATGAAACGCACTTAAATAAATCCAAGCTACACAGATCAGTATCTCACATTATTATTACAAACACAAATCAAAACTGCAAAATTGATTTATTTTTAGATTGTAGGTCAGGAACTTACAGCAACTGGAAAGCATCCCAGAAAAGTAGAACATAAAAAACTGTGTTTACAGCTGTGATGACTTCCACACAATTATAGCTGTCATTATTCTAATGCCACCTAATGTCACTCTCCAAAAATCACGCACAATCTCAACCTTGTGAAAACAGATGTAATCTATCACAGCTCTGTCTCACGACTGACTGGATCAGCAACTAGGAACTTGTAAAAAGAGCACAGAAAGCCAAAACCATCCTATTCCCAGATTCTTCCCTGCTGTCTTTTAGATCTTGAATTCCCTTCCTCCTTGGATTTTTTGGGAAGCAGTGCTAATTGCTGCCCTCACCTTGTTGAGCCATTCTGCTCTTTCTGTATCTGGAAAATGGACCTAAAAAGAAAAACAAATAAAAAATATAAAATATGCATTAATTGATCATATCCAGTTATTAATAAAACAGGAAACTTAGTGGTCTCCATACAAACACTATATACAAGTGAACAACACATTAAATACCTGGTGTTCTTGATAAGATTATCAGAATTCAAGGAAATAAATACAAACTCATTTCCAAACTGCACAAATACAAGCCCAGGCATATACCTTATAGTGACATCTGGAATTTACTGTTGCTTTAAAACCACAAACAAGCTAAAAACAAATAATAAGCATAGCTGACAGCTAGTGCAAGATGTCAGCTAACTTTGCCTCTCATGTTTCAAAGGCTTTTAACACGACTGCCAGAATTCCGACTCCAACTGTTCCTTTCATTCGTGCCAGGTCTTTTGCAATATCAATAAATTACGATTAGAAATATCTACTACATTCAGCTGAATCTCAAATACATGGATTTCAGTTCTCCCAACAGCTCTTCAGAAGCTATTTTTAATAATTCCCATTCTTAGACAGCTGCAGAATTCGGTGAGAGACAGAGGAGTGATGGTATATAGCTGGATGGAAAGTGCTCATCACTACAGGAAAACAACAAATTGAAGCAGCTTTCCAGAAGTAAAGCCTGGTTAGTAACCTTGTCTCTTCCACGCAAACAAGACAGGTAAAAAAGTGCAGTTCAGCAGAAACAAAGTTTGTTTTTCTAATGTTGTGACCAACTTCAATGACAGGATGCAGGTCACACCACTGAAACATGAAGAGCCTCTGAACACACTAAAAATCCGTGACCTGCATCTGCTGACTTTTGTAAAGCAATGTCTCAAATGAATTGCAAAGTCTTAATCTCTTCAGAGCAGAACAGACTGTCACATAGTGTAACAGGCTTTACACAGCAATGTGACTAGTTATTTTCTCTAATAACCCATTATATACATAAACAGTGAGAGGCACACTTTTTAAACTGCATTTTCAACAATTTGAATTTCAAAGCCCCTTTAATGACCCTTTTTAAGTTTAATCGTTATTGTATTTTTGCACTAACAATCAGCATAACCATATTCTCAAGGATACTCAAGTTATCTCCTGAGCAGCACCAAATTTCTCAGGGTTGCTCCCTGAAGTGCAATCAATGTAGTCAGTTATTTTTCCATACAATTTTTTACAACTGTCTCACAGATCCAGCAAAACCACTACAAATGGTTGATCAGGATCATCGGGAGCATCTGCTTCTGACTGTAAGAAAAGCTTTTTTTTTTTTAGTAACAGAACTGTTTTTCTAAATAAATACATAGATGAAATTAACCAAAATAACCCACCACGTTGTTCTTTTTTCTCCCTTCTATTTTCCCTTAAGGATTACAGGTAAGAATTCCATTTTAGACTACAGTAAAAATAATTTGTCATACGTTTAAAAGACACCTGCCTGAGGCCATATTATTTAATGTACGGCTGGTTCCTTCCATCTGTACTGACTGCTTAATTATTTGTTGCTCCAGATGAAAATCTTCAAGAAACTTGACTAGTCACTGCAAACTTTGCTATACAGTCACAATATGACCCACATTCTCAATATAATTTCAATATAAATAACTATAACTGAATTGCTTTCCTGTTATTCCCCAAAGGTCTCCCTGATTAGACACCCATCCCTTCTGCTTGGTTTGGAAAGTTAAAACTACAAACAAAAATCCCTGTGTATTAATAAAAGCACGTGTGTCCAGCTAACATCAAAACCTAAAAGGGTACTGCAATCAGTCTACAACTTCTCCATGCATGACCAGTGGAAGGAGAGCATCCTGAGTAGGGATGAGCAGAAGCACAACCAAGGTGCTTCAAGCCACCCAGAAGTACAGCATAAAAAACGATTTAAACTTAGCCTGAAACCTTAGGTGGTGTGGGGAAAAATGAAACACTAAAATTAAGCGATCCCTTGAATTATAACTGTCAGATTAATTTGCTTAAATTTGTTGCCATTTTAAGTCAAAACGACTAGAAAAAAAATCATTAAAAAAATGAAGAAAAGGAATCCCAGTATTAAGAGTGTAATACGGTAGGATTGAAGCTCAGTTTAGCAGCACTGCACTTTTGTGTGTGTCCAGTCAGCAAGACAGGCATTTTCGGTGAGAGAGCTGAAGATGGCTGATGGCTTGATGCTGTGTATTCCAGGCAGCAATTTCCTTCTCTCTCCAGAAGCAGGTGGATGACTCCCTCATTCACACAGAGGAGTCAGCCCCAGTTTTCTTCTGCTCCACCCAATGTGAAAAGGCTGCTGCTCAAACACAAGCCACTCTTTTCTAATGAGAAGTAATTGTCTGTAAGTAAATTTATACTAAATGAAAACAAGAGTGAGCTGGAAGCAGCCCCCCCCCCCCCCCCCCCTTCCACTGCCTGCCTCCACCTTCCCTTCCAATAATTCAGCTCTGGTGTTATTCTGGCAATTTCTTAACTCTGTCAATGACAGAAATATCCTAGCTCCTGTATCTTCTGAATCACAAGGTAGAAACAACTGCAATTACTGTTGCAGAACTGCGGGATTCAGTATTCCTGAAACAGAAGCTGAAACAGTTAATAATTAGGGTTCCTCAAAAACACTGCAATTAACTTCAGCCATTTGTTGCCTAAATTAACAAACAACTGCTGTTTCCATTATTTTCCAGCAATCTGATTTGCTTCCGTTCAGCATACTTTGGCACGGATTCTATGCTTGCAGTCTTAAACGTAGTAAAATTATTAGCCTGTGCAAAGCAAAATCCGTATTCAGTGTTATAAATACAGTTTGCTGTATGAGAACTAGACAAGGACCCTGACACAATTCTACTGAGCATCACTGTGCATGCATTGCACAGGGAATGTCTTCAAATCCAAAAACATCTGTAAGATCCAGAAGGAGGCCAAGTATGGAAAATCAGCTTTGTCATACATACTATTACAGCCCACAGGGTACTCCACAGAACTGCAACTGGAAAGACCTATGTAAATCAGTGAGACTAACCATGTCCTGAAACTAAAAGCTACATAGGATAAGCAGCACAGGGTTTGATGGTAATTGGCTGTGAACAAAAATAGATAAACAAATAAATAAGTCAAACATCTAAAATCAAAGGGAGAAGAAACCACCCCAATATAAATCAGAGAGATACAGGTGGGGAAGGGCCTTCGAAGCAACTGCTATGGCTCTCTGATCACTGTAAAAACTAAACTAGAAGTAGCAGAAAAAATGGAAACCTATCTTAATGGAAGAAGCAGTTGTAATGGCATGCAAGGTTAAGGACTGCATTTATTTATAAACTGGAATGTGAGGCATTTGAATGCTTGGAAAACACATCGGAAAACAAAATAAACCATTTAAAAAAAAAAAAAAAAAGAATTCCATGCCCTTTGAGTCAGATCTGCACCTATGAGACAGAGCAGCATTAGACACACATAGTTGGTGTCACACCAAATGTTCCTGCAGCACAGCACAGGCTGCCCCACGTGAGCTCCGCTATCAACCCCACAAGCTGCCACGAGGCACAGCAGACGTCTGCTCAGCACACATTTCCCAGAGGGATGTCTGCCATATTCCTCACTGTCCCATAAGCTCAGAGCCAGGGCAGGAATTGAGGTGAAAGAAGGAATTCTGTCAGCAACACTACAACTAAACACAGAGCAGATTTGCGCTTGTAGGAAGACTGAAACAAGCAGCTTTTCAGCACATCCATGTCTAAATACTAACACATGAAAGCTTCTATACAAAAGGAATATACCTCAAGTATTGAAAAGTAGATACTCTGAATAGTTGAGAAAGTTGTATTTTGTTGTAGCCCTCTGTTACTTCTGTTATTCTCTTCTTCCTCATGCCATACCAGGCAGTTCAAAACAGCTTACACATGAGATAAATATCCTGGTATTTCATAAAGGGAACTTCCTAACACATTACAGCATTATACCTGGAAGACAAGGCAGCAGTGCACAGGGTATTCTTCCGTAAAACCAGGCAAAGGTAGCACAGTGCAGGTCTTCACAAAATGCTGCAAATGGTTGCAGCACTGTTGTGACAGTCAACCCACCTACACACACTGCTGAATTTAATCTAAGACAAAGTACAGAGGCAGATCACACAACTCAAACTTTCTGCCATGCTAGCATTAAAACATGAAATTGAGTTGAAAATATTTAATGCTTTTCTAAATGCTGCAAGCATCTCTTATCAATGATCATAGAAGTATCTACATTTCTCTTTTAAGTAACATAAGAATGCCATTTTAATCAGTATTTTTTTTAAGAAGTTACACAAAATGTGCATAGAATCACAAGGTTGGAAACAACCTGCAAGATCATCTAGTCCAACCGTCCTCCCATCACCCCTGCTACCACAAGCCACTAAGCCAGACCTCGTAGCTCCTCATCCAGACGCCTCTTGAACGCTGCCAGGGACAGCGACTCCACCACCTCCCTGGGCAGCCATTCCAGTGCCTGATCACTCTGAGAGAAAAAGTTCTTCCTTATGTCCAATCTAAACCTCCTCTGGTACAACTTACGGCCACTTCCTCAGGTTTCTTTTTGTTGCCTGGGAGAAGAGGCCATATCAGACTGCATATGAGACTGTAATTGGGAAAGTGACCCAGAAGGGCCTTCAAGTCGTGGCGGCTGTGGATCCCTCACTCACTCCATCCCCACTGCAACACTGCAGCACCACTAGTGTGCTCTCATTTGGACATTCCACCTGGCTGCTACAGGAAACACTGCCTTTGGCAACACAAAACAACAGTGTATTTGCAAAGGAAAATCCTCCCTGAAATACTGCTCTGATGTGACTGACAGAGCAACCCAGGACCACTCAGCTGAAGGATGCTGAGGCAGCAAAGCACAAGTTCAGTTTTCTCCATGCATGCCTTTCACTTCAGTACCTACTAAATATGCTTCACTCACACAGGCAGTGAGGCTTGTTGAGAACTGCAGTACTTTTCAGCAATTTGACTCATCAGTACAAAACCTACATAAAATTTGCTTAAGTGCTG